CAATTCATCTTTCATTAACAAACCTACTTGATAGTAGGTTCTTTACAATAATAACTTTATAACATAACTATTTAAAAGTACCGTAACATTTTTTTAACTAACAATATAGATTATAAATAGCCATTGATAAAGATTTGCCGCCAAACGCAGTCAATGAATACAGGAAAGAGATACTTCTACGAGTCCTAATCGACCACATGAAACAGTCACAATATTTAATAAACCATAGACACTCAGCTGTCTGATAATTATATAGTTATAATGGTCCATGTCAAATAATTTTCATCATATAGCTGTACAGTAAACTTATAATAATAATCCCGAAAATAGGGTGGACCCAGCTAAAAAGCTGAAATAAAAATTTAACCCCAAAATAATAATATTTCATACATCTCATAATAAAGTAAACAAGATAAAAAAAGTTGTAAAAAAATTCGCAAAACATTTATTTTAATGATGTTGCAAGATAGAATAACCCAATATTCTTTCGTCTTTTATCGAAATTGAAAATTTGACCTCAGAAATCAATCTTAACGATAAGGCCCGCCATTAAAACGTAAAGTTCGTGAAAGATAGATAATATTTTTCTATTCTATAGCATTTACAAAGGCAAGGGTCATAAATGGATTACAGAGCGTGTTTCGGTCACCCACGAGGTTACATACCAGATGTAAATGTATTATTTTATCTACTTATTCTATGTAAACTTGCACTAAGTTACTTTCTGATATGTGTCTAATAGATTTCGTATTCTCTTAAATTCATTCACGTTTCATGTGGTCAAGTGGTTAAATTTTCTATATCCTCTAACAGTAAAATACAATCAGTGCGAATATTTTGTACTAACAACATATAATACACTTATTTACAATTTCACTGCGCGTTGACTAGATACGGGGCTTGTGCTGCAGGTAAGGCAGACGACTCATACTTTTACTCAGTGGCTTTACTGAGGGTCAAAACATTCAATAATATGTTTATTAGATATAGGTCTGTCGGTAATAGGTATGGTAAATAGTAATTTATAGTATGCTCGGGTCAGACTTGTGTATATTAATATGGCCACTAGCAAAATTAGCCAGTGAATGGCGTTTAATACAAGGTGTCAGAAAGCTGCACATGGCAAGAGAGTCACAAAAATGTAAATAACGTAAAAAAACATTTAAAACATAATGTAATAAAAATTATCAACTCATAATAGTAACTAGTTATGTGCTCTTTTACTTCTATATGTATTCTAAATTGTACTTATAAATAAGAACTCTTCATACACCGAGCTTTGTTCCCACCGGGGTACTGTGAAATGTCGATGGAAAATTCGTATGAATTAATTTATGGCACAATATCGTGGCCTTGCCTAGGGAATAACGTTGAAATAACTGTTAGTTCCTTGTTCCCGAACATTACTAGCCTAACTTGCATACAAACACCAGTGTTGTTTCTATGTATATATAATACTTTAGGAACATTAACAATTACAACCCGAGTACATAATAACAACCAAATACAATATGGGTACAAATATACAACTTGGATTGCCCGGCAATAAACAGCTTGATTTACAGGTAGGCACTTTGACTCCGTGTGGTGACGGATTAAGAATACGGCATGTCACTACCCCTATTCATCCCGTGGGTGTCGTAAGAGCCGACTAAGGGAGCAAACTACGCAGGACAACAGCACTGCAAAGAGAAGGAGAACTTGAAACAAACCCTATATCAACCCGTCTGGCCAGCGTGGTATAGTAGGCCAAAACCTCATTTCTAAGGAGAGGCCATTTCCAGCAGTGTTATAGGCTGTTGATGACTTTGACTTTCGCGGGCTATTGCATACACAGTATTCGTATTGTTTCTTTCTATATCTCTGCCAACCGGTTCCGGGATTCAGGCGTGGATGGTATGTTTATAGAATTTAATATTTAAAACAATACATATAGAAGTAAATTTTAAAAGCAAAGCTATATGAATACATCATACATATAGACAAACACACACTTATATAAATATAATATACTAATACGCAAATGCGTAAAATTTACTACCTAATTAGGATTATTCGAACACTTGTGCACCAACTTGAAAGGTATAGTACGCGCCATATAACTCTGCGTCAACGAAGGCCGCGCGAGAACCGCAGCAAAATGATATTTTAGGTATCAGACGGGTAATTTCTGCGTATCGGAAAGAGACAGGGAAGGGGGGGGGGGGGGGGGATTAACCGCCGAAGCTTTGCACCGCTGCAAGGTCAGTAGTGCATCTCGCTCTAACACATTTAGTGAATTATCTGCTTTGCTCTAAAGTACTATTGTGAACTTAATTGTTTGTTTTGTTTGTGTTTGTTATCTGTTTTGTTTATGTTTGTAAGTTGATTTCCTGTTTTTAAAACCGAGATTTACTGAGAATTACTTCAGATTATTATAGATATTATTACACATATTATTTTAGTAATTTGCCACTTTAATAGACTAAATTTTGAAAATAATTCTAGAAGTGTCTATTTAGTGATAACTTATTCCCTAGTAGGCCGGAGTTGTTACCAAAACCGTGATATGTATTTTACTTTTTTGCCACTTTAGTATTTAAAACATTAACGTAATCGTTCGGAAATAGATAATTAGTTATAATTCTCAATTTATTATTACTTGATTGTAGCCTAATAATACACGCAAAAATATATAAAATTTCTAGGCTCAGTACGTTTGTTTGCGAGTGTACCTGCACCACATTCGGTTTGCAGCCAACTTCATTGACGCAGAGTTATGTGGCACGTGCTATAAACTTCGCACTATTAGTACTTCATAATTATTTCTTTCCTAATTATTAAAGATATAGTCGCGCGACTGAACGCCCGAAGAGGTCCTTTATTAACGGGTGACGCGACCTGTCAAGTCGGTGTCAGGCCCTTCGGTAGACAGGCCTAACCGAAGCACATGTACGTGAGTACGACCGTATACTATTTAATGAATTACCCTAATAAATTATCCTTAAATAGTAAATAAATTCAATAGGTAATTATCATTTTGTTATTTGTGATTGAGATACATCCGTATCATATTTACAAGAGTATACTGCGTTTTAAGAAAAATATACCTACAGCTAGTTACATTTAGGTACATATTCAAATGGTAGATAAAAAGTTTGTTATATTTTAAATATATAAAATCAGGATTTGAAGAACATTAACATTTGATTCCAATATTAAGTACAACAGTATGCTTTAGCCGGCAATGATTCACCAACAAATAATATCATAAAGTTGCTCTTAACAATAATTTTTATTTATTTATACTTCCTGCAAATACATTGCGTAAGGCGGACTTAATGCCATAGGAATTTCTTCCAGTCAACCTTAGGGTGATTCAGATATTTGTGTGTGGCAGGTGTATAATGAGATAAATAATTTAAATTGTAGTTGGTTGCAAGATTTCATACTACATAGATATAATGGGTATACATATATAAATGTAAATATAATTTATACATACTATACAAGGTGTAAGGGACATCGTACCGTATACTGAAATAGTGTATTCAGACCATGATTCCGAGTCGAAAATCATTGGAATTTTCTGCGGGAAAATTCATCATTTTTTTTTAATTTCCCATTTCTCTTGTTAAAAATGATGAAATATGATATCACAATAAGTAGACAGACCATTTTACCGAAAACGATTGAATAAATACCAAAAAACTGCAATGTAATTAATGCAACAGCCGAACAGCCTCCGGCCGCCATTTTGTGTTAGTGTGCGTAGACTGTTTGCACGGAATACACATGTAGTTATTACTTTAGTGCGATACCTACGGGGAATGACCTTAACCTTCGACAGCTGATTGCATAAAAAGTTTAATTTTCTGGAAAAGAAGAAAAAGTCCAATGATTTTCGACTCACAATGATGGTCTGAATACACTATTTCAGTATTCGTTACGACGTCCCTTACACTCTGTATAATACTATAAATATAAAAAAACATAAACATACATATATATGCCTACAACGATGAAGACACGAGGGGTTATTCTGATGACTCGTAATAATCGTATCAATAATTATGTAAATAGATTAATTAATGTTATTAGTTTCATATATACGTATAGGACCTTAATAAAAAATGTTCATTAGATGAGGAGAAAAAGACTATTACAATATAAATTATATTTGTATCACAACACCGATTATAATATTGGTCATGAAACCTATTACTCGTATAGAAGATATGGCTATATTTAAGGTTCATTAACATTAGTTGATTTAGTTAGTCAATTAAACATGTATCACTCGCAATGTAAAAACATCTAATGCGTCAACCTTTTTTTTTACTCGAATGACTTTACTAGTAGGTAAAGAATTTTTTTTTGCCGTAGCGGGGCGAGTAGACTACACGGTAGGTGCGAAACAACAGATATAAAAATCCTTTTAAAATTTAGAGATATACAGGTACAAATGACTGTATTACAGTAGCAATTTTTATTACGGAGACGTCGTCAGTATTATTTATTTCTAATGACATATTAATTCATAAAATTTTAAATATAAAAAAAATTGCTTGAGTTTTTGCAAATTAAATCATTCAATCAATCAGGCATTAGTAGCATAGCAAAATATCTGCTTAAATCTAAATAAATTAATGTCTAATAGTTTTCTGAGTTAGGCAGGTTTATTTATTTATGTTTACCACAGTAAACAGTTACTTTTTTATTCACGTTTTGCAAAATATACATCAATCTTTTGCAAAACATTATATGGAAAATATAATGTTTTGCATTTTAGTATTTTTTAAAAAAACTTAAAACGAAAAATGTGTAGGAAGTAACCGAACATCTTAATTTTTACATAAATATAACTATTAGATCTTAAACTATACAGTTTGAGTGCTGATAAACTTGTTATGGTAGTCTCACAAATGTGACCAGCTGTGGCAAGGACGAGAGTGGGGGTCAAAAAACCATGAAATACGTGTGACGTAATTTGTGGAGGGTCCCTAAATGTTGTGTAATTTTTACTTAGATTCTTTCTCTTTCTTGTCTTCTTTCTTGTCTTCTTTCTTGACTTCTTTTTTATCTTCTTTCTTGCCTTCTTTCTTGTCCTCGTGTTTCTTATCGTCGTCCCTGAAGAGCAGCGGTGTCATTCCCAGGATACAGCCAAATGTGATGCCTAGTACGCGTCCCTGAAATGTGTAATTACATGTGAACGTGTACTTAATACTCTGGGTGATCGGATCAGGAATGAGGAGATCCGCAGACGAACTAAGGTCATTGACATTGCCCGGAGTATTGCCACACTTCAGTGGAGGGGAGGGGATGGGGGAGGCCTATGTGTACGTCTTCAGCTGAGATGAGGATGATCTACTTAATTAAAGGGTATTAACCCCTATTTTTTAAAATTGTTACTTGTGTACTTCTAATTTAATACTGAGGCGAACGTAAACTACCTAAAATTTTACTAAAATCTAATTTTTTATCTGATGTGTTATTATAATGCACTTCAATATTTATATTATATTTTAAATTACTGAAACGCTAAACGCCACGTTGCTAATTCGAAATGAAGTTATGTAATAAGCAATAATACATCTCTTAACAAGAACTAATCAAATTTCGCTAAATTTAAAATGAGTTACTAGACATAAGATTGGTGATGGAGACAGAAAAATACATCCTAACATCAATGTTTTAATATGTACTATTTTGACAAAATAAAATCGTAACTTGTTTACTACCATGTCATAAATGAGCTTGTGGCGACTTCCACATAGGATAAAACGAAGAAATATACTACAGCGCCATCTAACGAAGACACCGAACTATGGAGTACCTGCTATTTAATCCTGTATCGCAGTATGCGAATACCGATTAGCATAATGACACCCGTTCCTGCACAAGCTTATTCTGGGTCTACCCAAAATAAGCTGCTTCATGACATGACTTCCTGCCTTGAAAAAAAACAGTTACCCTACAATTTTCAGTCTTTTAGACCATATTTTAAACATTTTTGTTCGTACAGAAATGTTTTGCAATTATTAGGATATCTATATCTCGCTAAAAGTTACCTATATCTTTGAATCTTGCTCAAGTGATGCAAGATTGTGTTCTGCTTAATAACAATAGTCTATGCCGCTACACTGTAATAATAGTCTATGCCGCTACACTGTAAAGTGTAGTGAAAGTACTTTACAGTGTAGTGACATGTCAGAAGGGTGGCATGTCAGGCGTTGAGGAATCGTATTCGCATGAACAGAGGGTTGGCCTACTAAATGAGCTTGTGAAGGTATACGCACCATGTTAGCAAAGCGCCTACTTATCGGCATGTCGAGCTGCACGGGGGACAGCGCCGGAGCGCCGAGGCCGAGGAGCGCAGCCAGTCGCTCCACGTAGTACGAGGACCCAATGCCGATGACGTCACTGAAAGTGTTGCCAAGCGCCGCCGCCGCCATCGTTGACAGCGTTATGTATGCGCTCATTGAACTCTCTATTCTGTCACCCTGGAAAAGAGATGACGTGAGACCTGAGGATCACCATCATTGATAGTATAATAATGAAACTTTTTACTGACATAATTAATAGGTATGCTTTATTTGTGACAAGTGGCTTAAATAATAAGTTGACACATCTCACACACGACTGTCTGATCCTAAACTAGGCATAGCCTGTACTATGGTAACCATAAATTACACCCAAACACAGAAAAATAATTGTGCTCATCACACAAATATTTGTTCTGGGTGGGAATCGAACCCATGGCAAGCTCGGTAGTCAGGGGGTCAGGTCACTAAGACCCGGGTTCTCTGAAGCCGGTCGCGTGCGACTGACGACTGACGCCTGTCGGCCGCCGGCGGACATGCTCAGCGCTGGGTTCTCAGAAACGTTGGCGGCGCGCGGCGGCGGACAGTGCGAGCGGACAACGTCGCACGCCGCATGCATCGGTTGGTATAGTATGTGTACTATGTGTGACTTTAAAATGAGATTTAATAGTTTTTGTGATTTAAATGTGTGAATTGTTCGTTATTTTCATAGGATATAACACTAACTTGTTCGACGTATGAAACAACAATTTATGTGGGTCGGTGATTTTATGAATATTGAATTTGCTTTTTTTCTTTTCTTTGATAACATCTAAAGTTCATCTTCCATTTCTTCTCTAAATAATGTTAATATATTTTCGTTCATTTTGATCAGAGTCCGAACACGATTCACAATCACAATCACGACTACGAGACGCTAGCGCCCGCGTCCAGTGAACCCACTCGCACGCGGACGACGGCCTACGCCACCGGTGGCGGATACGCGATGTCCAAGGACACCGCCAACACCACTTTGCCCCTGCTTCCTCCGCCAGAGATTCTCACCCGCATGATCGCATCCACGGTGGAGCGCCCCTGACGGAAACCGTACGCGTTGTCCGCCAGATCCGGCCCACTCTGAAGACGTGGTGCTTGACGAGGCGTCGTGCAATTACTCTTTCAAAGAGTTTGCACACTTCGTCAAGCAGCACTGGGCCAGTGGCCGGATGGTGATTCCGCCGGGCGCCCCTATCATTTTACCACTGATATAATATCAATGATGCTAAATGCTAATATTAATTTAATTAAATTATTAAAAATACTTACAGCAATTAACATTATGAAATTGTCTAAAAATCCAAATCCAATAAAGGGCACTGAATTTGCGAATGACACTGGGGACAAACAAAACTTAATTATTATCTGTAAACATTAAATCTTAACATATAATTCAACATATAATATTATAATTCAAGAACGGCTAGAAAGATCTATAATACTTAATTTTTTGGATAATTCTCCTCCGTGAATAATTGTTAGAAGACTTTAAAAAGGTGGAGGGAACCAGATTTCGCGTCAGAGCACCTAAGCGCTTGACTGACCAACTGAATCGCCATTAGAAATAGTGTTGTTGAAAAGCTCGAGCCCCCGAGCCTTAAACCCATTGAAGGCTCGAACCTTATTAGCAGACTCGAGCTTTAGACTCGAACCTTGTATCCAAAACTCTAGCCTATACACAAGGTGCGAGTCGTACCTACCTCTATGCAGAGCGGATTATTTATTCTATTTCTAAAACCATAAATCAATCACGTGATTTAAATTTATTTACTTAACATTTTAAAACTTTCTTTGGCCAGCGTAGCATAATGAGCTCGAGCTCCGCCTGTAAGGTTCAGTAGCTTCGACTCGGGGTTCGAGTTTTCCAAAAGCGGCGTATCTAACTGTATCCGACAATCTGCCGACAGCGATAGATTTCGGGAGATTGTACGAAGGGCTGTGTCCGCCTCTAGAACCGACGTGGACATCTCAACATGACCGCCACCGCTCTGCTAAGCGCGATATGACAGAGAAGATGGCGTACAGGGTACACTTAGAGGACAGTCGTTTAATCAGGGTTCCCTGACCCTAACCTGGTATAAGCATACTGTGTTTGCCACTGTCTGCCAATGACAGTCTCAGAGTCTATCTCTGCAGTTTACAGCCTCAGAGATAGAGAAATTTGTCTGTTATGATAACATATCTTAACAACAGTTAAAAATACATACTACATTTGTGTCAATAATTATCAAAGCTTTGATAAGATTACATTTTACCTTTCCCATGTTACGCTATGTTTGATGTCATAACAATATTATTTAATCACAACCATTACATTGATACTGAGATTGATTATTACTCAGCAGACAGTTCATGTAACATGTATTCAATATACATGTTAGGTACTATTTACACACACAAATACACACACACATTTTCATTTCACACTGTAATGACAGTTTTTTGTTTATAGTAATGCTTACCTAGTTCTTATTAGTTTTGTAAATTGTATTTAAATACCATCACTAATCATTCAGATTTGTTACAATGTTTCATTAATTACTCACTAATTATATTTGCTAATTATGAAAATACTTACAATGAAACAGTTCCTTTGTGGTAGGTTTTGGTACAGTAGCAGCTGGAACAATACCAATTAAATATCAACCAAATTTGTATGTAAATATGTTAAAATTTTAGCTCCTAATGGCATTCATCATTAACAGCCTTTAATAGTCCACTGCTGGACATAGGTTTCTCCTTAGAAAGGAGGCTTTGGCCTACTATGCCTACTACTACTAGCTAATGGCATAGCCTATATAAAAATTAGTAACATACTTGGCTTCATATTACATTATTTTTTTTTTAACTAAAAGTGTGTAATACATGACAAGTTCTATAGGTCTACTGCAACACTACCTTGAAGGTCATGAATTTGATTCTAGTGAAAATAATTGTATGATTAGCAGGATCCTTTGATCTGTGTCTGGGTGTAATGTATCTATTATATTATATATGTATTTAGCAATATGTATCTATTATATTATGTATGTATTTAGCAATATATAAGTATGTTTATCAGCGATCTGAGACCCTAGTGCAAGTTTATTTTACACCTAGTCTATAGTCATGGTTAATGTGTTTGGCGTTGCCATTGGCCCGTAGTGAAATCTACACCACTTGCACTGGCTCGGCCTCATGTAAGATGTGTAAAATTATCATTATTCCTTGTCATGATCATGTATTTTGATAAGTCTCCATTTATAGTTGAAATAAAGAGGTTATTGATCATGACTACAGAGCTAAAGTAGTGATTTTAACCCCAGGACAAACACTTAGATATAATAAAAAATATGCATATTGCAGATAACCTACACTCAGTCACACAACAAATGATACTACTCATAACACAATTGTTATGTTAATCGGATAATCTGGATTAATACATTACATGCTTTGCCAAGTTTGGGATCAAACAGTTGTGTGTGTGAGGTGTCTGAAGTTACATCACATCATCATCACATCAACAGCCTTTACTAGTCCACTGCTCGACATAGGCCTCTACTTAGAAAGGAGGTTTTGGCCTACTATAAGTTATATATAAAGTTACATGTGGATTTAATTAAGAATATTATAACATTATTTATTTTGTATTTAAATATAAATGTTAATAATTAACTAAAGATACTGTTAATGCAATTAAATTGTTAATGTAAAGTCTTCCCGGTATAACAAAGATTACATTAGCTAACAGTAATAAAGATTTCTACAAAATAAAATACAAATACACATATCACATAAAATAATGTGTATGACTAATCAACAGGTTAGTGACATCACTATGATAACCACATATCACTGCTAAAGAAGGCTAAAGACAGTTCAAACTCACCATACTTTTTCTTCAGCCAGTCTTCGGGCATGGGACAGTATTTACCCGTCGGATCGACGTCACCCAACGTGGGAACTTTGCTTGGTCTACCCAACTTACTTCGCCATCTACGACCAGCCAACCTATCTGCAAAAAAACAACATGTTTATTATTGACTACTCCATTTCATATTTATTAAAATCATTAGGTACTTAAATTCACCTTCAAACACTTCTTTGATCCTGTTCGATTCATATTCCTGTAGAGCTTCGAGCAATAATTTTCTCTCTCCATCTTTTAAATGAAGTACTAGTTCTTCGGCATGTACTTTTGTGAACAGCTCCCCAGCTTGTATTTTCGTTTCCTCAAAGTCTTTTGATGTTGGGCCCAATCCTAAATTACGGGTTTGTAAAGCAGCAGTACAAAATAACTTTGATTTAGAACTCACAACAGTAACACTGTGTCGCACTTGTATGTTAGCAGAATTTTCCAAATGACATGTGTGATGCCTCCCTATAGGCAAGGGACGAAGCCTCCTTATAGCCTGCGCTGCTTTCATATTTAATGGATTTTCACAGTAACTCAAATTACTCAGACATTAAAACTTTATAGTATACAAATTCTATTTAGGAATGTCAACGTTCCGTTTTACGCGTGCGTACATCTGTCAGTTATCAAATCAGCTGATCAGTGTTGCTAATTCTAATAAATCCAAGTCACTAGGCTTTATTTTTACCAACAGTAACTGAAACCGATTCTAACTGGACTTCCAAACAGTTCCAGCAGTTAAGCAGGGGGCCAGGAGAGGTGAAAAAAATAATAATTTAATATTTCTTATACGGCTAATAATGACTAAGAAAGAAGGCAGGCGAGTCAGGTTTTAAGTGGGACTGTTTAGAAAACTACAGGTGTTGGTTGGGGAGGATTTAATATCGCAATATAGGTTACTAGGGATAGGAACTATAAAAAAAAGTTGTAAAAAATTACGGAACTGCGTTGAAAGCAAAATAATCATCTAATGAAGGATTTATATATTAAATCAACAAATTACAAAAGAGAGATGGTGTGATATATAATAGCATCATTAAAAACCTCCGACACAAACTGTAAAAAAACAACAACCAACAGTTCATGAAGACTGTTCTAATAACTCCAAATATTGTACAAATGTATGCTGTAATTTTTGGAGGAGTTGGCTATCCTGTAGACTACTCGATGCAGCAGTAAGTTAAAGGTTACCATGTCGTGGAAATACTATCAAAGTAATAGTATACAAAATATTAGATCAATCGGACCTGTTGATTTTAGTAAGATACCTTCCTCACCTAGGAAGTGATAAACAAATAAATCCCCACCGAAATTGGTATATCCGTTGGAGAGCTATGATAACAAAGACAGACAGACAGATACACAGGTTAAACTTAAAACACCCCTCGTTTTCCGTAGGGGGTTAAAAAGATATGTAGAGTAGAAAAAGAGAGTGCAATAACACAAAATCAATATTCATAAAAACAATAAAATTTCGGACAACTGACACAGCTGCATCTAGTTTTAAACCAAGCAGAGCTTGTACCACAGATTAACAGATATGGCTAGTACTATGAAAACTAGATTGACTGATAGAATACTTATATACTTTTTTTGTAAATATATACATATTATATTTACATAATAGGGTATTTTCGTACTAAGAGGTTTGTACCGAAAGTCTAGTACGCATATAATGTATAATGTAATCGCTAGAAACACTGTTAGATTTATTTAGAGCTTTAAATTTAAAAGAATTTATTTACTGGAACACAAATAATTAATAACAACTTGTCAAAACATATTGTCGAAATGAAAACTTATTTTTCTTTTTAGAATTGGTAGTGAACCACTAACTCTACAAAAAATATAACATCTGGCAATACTTTGAAAGTCTCATAAAATATCTATATGAATGAGAATTTGCGGACCTTGAGTACCTGACAGCAAAGTACTTTTTCAACAGAAACCTGACAGTCATTGACAGAACTGACATCTGTTACATCGATTAGGAAAATCGGAAGCCGATTTTCTAAGATAATAGTGCCACAATTTTTTCAAAACTATGTATCTTGTATAATTTTCTTATTCTAGCTAAATAAGTTTTAAATTTTCGGCATATAGGCTTTCTATACAGTTACTATTTGCCGACGAAAAACAGTAACATTACTATTTAAAAACATAGTGTTGTGTAGGTCAATGACAACTATTTATGTGTATTATGTGTGTTATTAGGCTCTAAATAGTGCCATTGAGAGTGTAAGTGTAATTGAATTAGTGGTTCAGGCCAAGAGGCACGATGTATGATGTTGGAGGGACTGATAGCATGGGTTCTGAACAACTATCTGGGGAAGTACGTGGAGAACCTGAACACGGACCAGCTGAGCGTAGCTCTCCTGTCCGGTGAGTCCGTTTTTCTACTTAGTGTCGTATAAGAACCGTGAGAACCGTTAACAATTAAGAATACAGAGTGTCACCACCCCTGTTCATCCCGTGGCTGTCGTAAGAGCCGACTAAGGGTAAAAACTACGCAGAACAACAGCACTGCAGAGAGAAGGAAAACTTGACACAAACCCTATACCAACCCGTCTGGCCAGTGAGGTATATTAGGCCAAAACCTTTCTAAGGAGAGGCTTATGTCCAGCAGTGGACTATTAAAGGCTGTTGATGATGATGATCATGTAGGTGCTCACATGCAGATGGACAGGCATATGTTAATATCTGTGTAATACTAAATTATTTTTTTTTGTTCCAAGTGTTATTAGATCTTTTTCATATAATATTATAAATGCAAAAATGTGAGGTTGGATGTATGGATGTTATTTACTTAAATATGCCAGAATTGCTAAACAGATTTAGATAAAACTTTGAATAGCACATAGACTAATTTTTATCTAGAAAAATGATAAAATTTTTTGCATTAAAGCAAGTAAAGCCGGGGGTAAAAAACTAGTGTTAACTAGTTAAATAATTATGTCAAGATTTATTCTTTGTTGTATGTAGCTAAAGCGGTCACAATTCCTGTTTTTGTTCTGGCAACTAAATTAGTATTATATACAGCTCAAAATTGGAACAGCAAATTAAATTACGCAAAGCAATGATGATATACTAATATACAGCAGGCCTTAATTGCAAGGGCTTAAGGATGAAAATTCTTACTTACTTACTTACTATGAAATATGTTTGTTTAGCCAACCGTTACACATACATGCTATGCATATTTGTATTATCAAGTTTATTAATTCACCATTCCAATTCATTACAAATTATCTTTAACTAGCTGACCCGCGCAACTTCGTCTGCGTCTCTCAATAGTAATAAATTGTCTCCGTTTTTGAAACATTCTTCATTGGTGCTCCGCTCCTATTGGTCTTAGCGTGATGATATATATAGCCTATAGCCTTCCTCGATAAATGGGCTATCTAACACTGAAAGAATTTATCAAATCGGACCAGTAGTTCCTGAGATTAGCGCGTTCAAACAAACAAACAAACAAACAAACTCTTCAGCTTTATAATATTAGTATAGATGTGCAATAAATTCTTCAGTTTTGGAATTTGACGCTGCCAATGGCCTATTAATATGATAACCACAACATTTGGAATGACAAATATTTTACATAATTGCATTAAAAAATTTGGGTTCATTTTCAAGTAAAAATTATATGACACTAAATGGTTGTTGCAAAACATCATATTTTGTAACCTACATGACATTAAGTCACTTTAGTGAGGGTATATCTACAAGTAAGGGGGGGGGGGAGGTAAAATAAGGGATGAATGGATGTATGGAAGTTCTTCATTTTCATACCCCATGTATGAAATTTCGTATTACTAATAAAAGTTACAGATGGTTACCAATAAAGGATATATGTATAGTAGTTTTGCAAAATTTTCTCATAAGGGGGTAAATTAGGGGTTGTAAGTTTATGTGGGCAATGTGTTATTTTCATAGTTAACAATACAAAATTTCATGTACCTACTTCTCATTACAAATAAACAAACACACATATTGCCCACTGTTTGCCCCTTATACCATAAAGAAAGAAATGGGGTTTTGTAAAATTTTAATAATAATAATAATAATAATAATATATTTATTTGTCAGAATATGGGTTTACAGAGTTGTTAGTAGGTTCGTTTTAGATGCTAGCCACATTCTACCATTATCTGGTGAACAAAATGTTAATATACTGAATTTACTGTTTTTTTTTTTTACAATTTAATCATGCATTATTTAGTAATATAGTAATAATTATGTCATGTAATATAATAATAATTATGTTAATTAAATTAAGGTAAATTAAAGGTTGCAAAATTTACACAGAAACTTCATTTTTGTAGAAAGCAGGAAATTTGACACAAACTTTTTAAATATAGTTAGGAAAAAACCATTAATTTTAATGTTAAAGCTTCTTAGCTATACGATATACTTACGGACGGACTGACTGATTCATCAACGCTGGGGTACAAACATACAATTTTGGCAACTGAAGCTTTTTATGTTATAAGGTACCTAAGGGTGTAAAATAAGAGATGAACGGTTGTATGCAAGTTGTCATTTTTAAAGCTAAAATCACAAAATTAAAAATAATGTCATGAGCGAAGCCGCAGGCAATAGCTAGTGAATTCTTCAGAGCAAATTATACATAATTTGAGAGGTGGCAAATTCGATCTTGACTTGCCAAATAAAACCTTTCCTCATAGTCTTGATAGTGTTAGCATTTGTTTAAAAGAATCGTTTCTATAGTCCCGATTAAACTCAAACTCAAATATCTTTATTTCAAAATAAAAAAATATAAAATTTTGTGTAGACTGTAAAGTCATAGATCAACCCACACAATAGCAACAATCTCGGTTTTCTTAAATATTTAGAAAACTAATAATAATATGTAGTTGTATATCTCTTTGTCTATGTGGTGACGGATTAAGAATATGGAGTGTCAACACCCCTATTGGTCTCGTGGGTGTCGTAAGAGGCGACTAAGGGAGCTAACTAAGCACTGTAAAAAGAAGGAAAACTTGAAACAAAACCAGGGTAGTACATTAGGCCTAAATCTCCTTTCTGAGAAGAGGCCTATGTCCAGCAGTGGACTAATTAGTTCTCAACAATTAATTAATTAATTACAGGGAAAGTGGAACTAGAGAATCTTCCCCTTCGAAAGGATGCTCTTCGTCATCTGGGTCTACCAGTGGAGATCAAAGCGGGATTCATCGGGAAAGTCCAGTTGCAAGTACCAGTGCGACAAATCCGCTCCGCGCCCTGGCTGATCGCCATCGAGAAGCTGTACTTAGTTGCCGCTCCGGTCAATTTGGATGAGGTATGTTAGCTTCTGCTCTTGTTCTGTCTGCTCTCTGTGTCTGGTTGTAGTCAATAAATTGGATCAAGATATCATATCTATCTGTTGTAATAAACACGAGCTGGATAATCATATCAATATCGAAACTGATTGATGATACCTTATATACCTATGTATCTTTGTGTAAGTAAATAGTAATTCACAAATGACTAATGTTCTGTATTAATGGACTACAAACACGACCCTTTAAAAAAAGAAAAACAGAAAACCGGTGTTAAGAAATTCCTGCGTTGCCTTTCACTGAGTGAGTGAGGTTATCGGAGCCCAAATCCGCTCCCGCTGACTTGAGCGGGACGGACTCCAAGGGCAGCAACGCACTTGTGACTTTTGAGTTGCAGGTGTCGTCGGCGGTAGTTGCTTACCATCAGGTGACCCGTCTGCTTGTTTGCCCCCTTTTACCATAAAAAAAGATAAATCTTCAAATTACTATATTATCATGAATTGATGTTACTTTTTGTTTGTAATTAATGCCACTAAATTTAAAATAACCGTTTACTTCACGAATTCAGCAAAGCGAAAAGGCATCCTATGTTCATGGTCCTACGTTGCTGCGAAAAATGTCAAATAGGTGCTAAATTCCGTCTAATTCCACTTACTTGTTCACTGCAAAAAAAATACGGCTCCTCGTTTTTATTGTTTGTGTACTTAAGGAATATATATTTAGGTTTAGTGTAGTTTGCCAAAATCCACTGTTTACGTCTCTACTATCTTGGCATACCTACTATGAAGTCTAAATAAATAATATTACTGAGACTGGCGTCATTTTGAAGATTGATGAGTAGTCAGAGCGCTCATTGGCTGGCGCCCTGTGATACAATGTCGGAGAAATGTTGATTTATTTACACCGTTGAGGTAATTCTGTTATTGTGAAACCGACAAATATCATATGACTTTTTGTTAGTCAAATACATTCGCCAAACATTCGCTTCGTTTCTTGCGAATACGAATGCGGATGGCAAAAAATATATATTCGCGAATACGAATGCGAACATTCGTTACATCACTAATCCATTATGTGAATTCCATTTACTAAAGTTTTGCAATATAATCAGAATAATTTTTATTTTATATTTTCCCACACTAAACCTTGGCATCATGATAGATAACACTCTTAGCTTCAATAAACACCTTGAACTATTATCAGACAGGACTCGTAAACTCATTTTCATTTTTAAAAATCTCCGTCACGTTTCTGATAAATCAGTCAATAGAATGGTGTACATGGCCCTATGTCAATCTATCTTATCATATGGTATCACTGTATGGGGTGGCGTATATAAGACCAACTTGATCAAAGTTGAAAGAGCTCAAAGAGCAGTCCTAAAAGTTGGTCTATCACTACCTTTTCTGTTTCCCAGAAAGGACTTATATGAACTTGCCGATGTTTTAACATTACACACAGTAAACACCATTCTCAAGCAGCACTCTCTCGTCAAATTCAATCCCTCATACACACAAAATAAACTGCTTAAACACAAAGTTATCCATTTTTTATCCACGTTGTTTATAATCCACAAATTTGTCAAACAAATATTTTGGTTTTTTGGAGGATATCTTTACAACAAAATTAATAAGTTGATTAAATTGAATTAATTAAGATTAATTTAACTAAATTTAAATACAAGCAAAATCCCACAGTATGGCTTAAGTCCTTGAATTATGAGGAAACTGAAAAATTACTTAATGTAGGTCAATAGATGAAAGTATACCCACTTCCACCAAGAAACACACACACACACACACACACACACACACATGCACACACAACGAGCACACACATACAATAATGCACATCCTCTCAACTCAATGATTTTACACACATCTAATGTATAATAATAAAATGTTACTTACCTAAATCCAACTGTCCAAAGTCTGGAGAGACTGGTAATCTCTCTTACAGGCCTTACATAGATATAATGTAATCATACTAATTACTACTGCTAGTTTAAGCTACTACCTATGTATCAGTCTGTGTGAGAGAACAAGAATAAAGTGATTATTATTATTTATTAAGATTTAATTTCTCGCCAGCTTAAAAAGCCATAATTCCTGGCCTTCTCCTGCAAACATAGTAACCACTGCCTCCGAATGAACACAGAAATAGCGGACTTGTAGCCTCTCTTAAATATACTTTTCCTGGTCTTGCAGATATTCGGATATACAAATATATCCGATTATCAGAGTATAATGTATGTAATAAAGTTTATCGTATATATAATTGATTAGATGCTTTCGATCAATGAATTATTCCTCAAGTGATGTTAGTGATAATACAAATTACATAACACTATCAGTACGGTAATTAAAGGAACAAGAAAATAATCTTAGAACTCCTCATATGGTTTGATAAAATATTCCCCAATTTATTTGAGGTCGCCGCAATGACTTGTCTTCTTCCAATCTCCTCTATCACTCAGTCAGTTTACTGCATACTCCCTTTCTAGCCAAATCTTCTTTTACACAGTCCAGCCATCTTTGCTTCGGTCGGCTTCTACTCTTATATCCGTCAACTTCAATACGTAAAACAAGATAAGATATATACCTAGTAAAACAATAGATATAATTAGTGACAAATACGATGTATTTGTTGTAATAAACATATTGAGCTGTGAAATCAATTTTGTCAAGACTATATACTTAAAGAAAATGTGTAAAAAAAGGACACTTGAAGGTTGTTTAGGATTGCATAAACACAGTTTGCCTATTATTAAGCATTCGAAAGATAAATGCAAGGCTCCGATATCTATAAACTACTACTACTAGCTAGACTACTAGCTGGTACCCGCGACTTCGTTCGCGTGGAATTTGAAAAGCGTTGCCTTAGTGGGTTCGATGCCCGGACCGGGCAAAGTTTTAAAGGGTTATTCTGAGAGGAAAAATAGCCTAAGTTATTCCTTATGCTAACTGTTCGTTAAATATAAAATATATAATATATAAATATCTAAATCAGTCCAGCCGTTTAGAAGATTACCCGGAACGAACAGACAAACAGACAACAAAAAATTAGACTGGTTTTTAGGCATAGGTATCGTGAAAATAACCGTGTGAGCATAAAAAAACCATAATTTTGACATCACCAACAGTCACTTCAATTTTATTTATTTGTGTAGATTACTTATGTGCCTAAACTTTGCAAATAATAATAATATGCAGAAAGAACTTTAAAAATACCTAGAAAACTGTTGGATACAGCATGAACATTAGTTCGAATCCAACTTTTTGAGCAGACAAATTATAGATTACCTTGACTTTCGAGCGCAACAGTTCTCAGCTGACTACGAGCATCGATGTTAGAGATTCCATTTCTTCTTTCTCTCCACCCCTAGAATGTAATCGTTTTTCTTGCGTGCTGCGGTAACTTTCAACAGTCTTTCCTTAGACCTAGATATGACCTATTTTATAGCAGTCCCGCAGCAGTAAGGCGGCGTTTGGCAAATAGATTTTTTGAATAATGGTTTTCTGGTTTGGCAGTCTATCGTCATACGGTTTGTTTTAAACATATATTGTTTGTTTTATACATAGTCTGTAAGCCTGCTTAAAATAAATAAGACTTCATCTATAAGTAATAGTACAAATATTTAACAGTTCGAGGATCGATGTCTAAAATGAAAAAAAATATATATTCGCGAGGGTCGCCTACGTATTCACTTTTGTGAGAATACAGAAGATGATGATAGTTAAATTTCATTCTTATTGGTAGATATTATATAATCTGTACTAAAAAAAAAAACACAAAACAACTATTGAAAGGATTTATCTAGAAAGTATTCAATCATAATATTCGGTACCTCGAGATATGTACGAGTAATGTTACCTTTACCTAACTATCTAATCGCCAAGAATTCATAAAGTGATAGTTCACTTGAATATTATTTAAGTGTCAGAACGCTTACGTGTCAGATAAGAGTATTTCGTAACTGATATTAGAATATTATATTATTTTCTTTGGACATGCTATTTTCGGACATTAAACTTTACTTAGGGACGGGTGGGATGTAAAACATTACTTACGGTACTGTCTAAACCACTTCCATTCGTGCTGATTTAACTTACTTTTACTTTATTTTTTAAATTATTAATAAATGCGAGCTGGTCATTCACAAACATACGTGGTTACAATATCTGTATAACGTCTTTTCTTGGTTATGATAACACCGAATATACACGGTATCTGTGTGATTAAGAATACAGTGTCACTACCGCTAGTCATCCCGTGGGTGTCGTAAGAGCCGACTAAGGGAGTAAACTACGCACGACAACAGCATTGCAAGGGAAGGAAAACTTGAATCAAACCCTTTTTTTTTTTTTTAACGTGTGAAAATCCCCTCGGACCGTCACCCCACCGGGGTTTACGGCGGGGTGGTGTGTCGGACTCGGACCGACTAAAACCACACGGTGTGCCACTCTGCGCCTGTAATAGGAGGGATCCGGGAACAGCTGTTATTAAGACATCCGGACCCCTCCTAGCGCCGGACCGCTCCAGTTGCGGGCTCCGTCTCAAAAAATTTTTTTTTTAATCAAACTCAACCCGTCTGGCCAGCGTGGTATAGTGGCCAAAACCTCATTTTTAAGGAGAGGACTATGACCAGCAGTGGACTAGTAAAGGCTGTTGATGATGATGATGAATACCTATACCTATTAGACATTCAACTCGGGACTTAATTGTGATCATGTTTATAAGCTACAATACTTTTTGTTTGGATTGAATTGGACCGAAGTTGTCGTGGGTGGTCTCTTTCTTATGATTTACACTGATAACTAATTTAAAAAAGTGTAACCAGTTATACTTTATATAAATAATTTATATTTGCAACTATAATCAATATAAATCGTAAACGGAATCGGCGCCATTCACCTCTTCTATTGCCAAGACTTTACCTTTTTTCTCCATACCAACCGACCTGGCCACCTTTGTCACAGTACGAAAATTATCTAAAAAAAATATAGACTCGTCTACACAAACTTGCTATTCTAGAGTAAATCACAGGATATACAATTAACATAACAAGTATCCATATTAAACTAACCTCCAACAGTCATGAAAGTCAAGCGTTGTCTCCGAAAAAATCATTCTGTAGTAGGTCGATGTCGCGACGTTAAAAGACGCATTCAGATGAAAAATGAGTCAATAAAATCATTATTTTCGGCTGGTAGCTAGTTGAATCGAGAGCTATAGATAGCTACGAATCGTATCGTGTATACATAATGAATACAGTTGTTGATGCTATAACCAATTAATTTCAAAACACAACGAATATTTTAGTTGCGCCCAATCCGCGCCCCGGTTGACTTACAAATATTTGATATCACAATGATTACATAGCCTCCTAAAACAATTACCGCACTGTCTTTTATATAAACATTTATAAGTTCTATTAATAATAATGTACTGTAAACAATAATGTTATAAAGATATGTAGCTGCCTGCTTAATTTGTGTCAAGAAATATCCATGACGACTGGGTGGCGTAGTGGTTAGTGTAACGGACTGCTATTCCAAAGGTCGCGGGTTCGATTCCCGCTCAAGTCAAACATTTGTGTGCATGAACATTTGATGTTTGATTTGGCCTGGGTGTTTTTATGTATAATATGTATGTATTTACAAAAAAAAAGTATATATGTTTTTATATCAATTGTCTAGTACCCATAGTACAAGCTCTGCTTAGTTTAGGACTAGATGGCGTTGTGTGAATGTGGTAGAATATATTATTATTATTATTATAAGAAAGACTAGGTGTGCACGATGTTATGAACTCATTGATCTCTAAAATATTATCGAAATACATCTGATAATATTTTTTATTAGGCTCACTTTCAGTGTTTAAACCTACTACGCAAGACTGATGGCTATCTATGGGTAGCTGTGCAGGATTCCAGAAATCTCATACGTGTACATCTTGTACATGTATGAGGTTTCTGAAGGCAATACTGTTGTCATTGGCTCTAAGAATTAATTTTGCAGCACCCAAAATTCATTAATGTTTTAAGCTAGTTAAATCTTTTTGTTTTCTTTTTACGTGTGTAAACCCCCTTAGGCTTTCTCCTCACCGTGTTTGTAGCGCGGTGGAGTGTCGGCATCGAACCGACTAAAACCACACGGTGTGCTACTCTGCGCCTTAAACGGGAAGAATCCGAGAACAGCTTTTATTAAGACATCCGACTGTGGTTCCAAACCATAGCCTAAACATTTTAGTACTTTGAAATATACACGTTTTATATGGTAATGGGCAGTTGCCCTTGTTAATGGTTGGCTTTTAGACAACTGGACAGGTTAATGGAGCTGCCTAGATTTGACGAACTAAGCGTATGACTGACTGATGATCGATGTTCTCTTAGATTTTATGTATTATTATCCATTGATAATGATATTTTAATGAATTATACGTGGTATTTACGGAGATTGTTGACCAGTGGACTTGCGTTGCAGATTGGAACTGTAATCGGTCAAGTTCACGAAACTATAATTCAAACAAAATGTGTAGCAAATTGTATACTCTACATTTGGATAACAGATGTTGTTAACATCACTCGAGCGGTAGTAGCCGATGATTGCGAAAAATCAATTTTCATGACCTTTGACCTTAAATAACTTACGACGCGCATAAGAGATTTAGTGACACTCTTGAGACAACTATTAGAACGCTAAAATAAAAGCGTATACCAGTTGCCAGATTATTTTCTCTCATTGCGAGATTAAACCCCTATTTGAACGGGGCTATAACAGTGACATAGGGTTGCTGATTTCTTGATGGTGCCCGGTATAATAATAGATAAACCGCTTAATTGAGCCCTCGCCTACGGACTCTTTAAGAAGAATACGCCCGCCTCCCGCACCTCACCCGGTCCCCGTTCTCATCATTTAATTAATATATTTAAGATCTTATCAGTTTTGTAGATTTCAAAGCTTGTTAGTATTTATGTAATGTAGTCGGGTTTTATTTATTTTTTAATCATAAGCTAGATGTTTCTGCGAGATTTTGTTTCGCGTCAGATTGTTCCTTAATTTTTAATCCAACCAGTTCTAAGTAAGCGATTGTAGCGCTTATTCAAATGCTCAAAAGCCTTATTTTCTATTATCCTAGAGAAATATAACTTAAATTTATTAATTGTCGAGACCTTCTAACAATACGATAACATTGAAATAGTTTATATGTGTAGTCAGTGTAGTGAAAGTACGATTTATATGTAGGACGTTGCTTATGAATTGTTACGAAGCCTTGGATGATTTTGTTGCAATTTATAACTAAATTTAAAATTGAAATATATTAGCTTACATAAACGTTTTGTTGTTGTTATTTTAGATTATACACATAGATCTCAAATAAACTACTTCTCTTGTTATTCACCTAATCTATAAGATATAATATAATAGTAAATTATTTTACTTGGGATGGTGTTCACAAAAAGATAAGTGTATATGTTTTACTAGTTTTTTATATCGCTCTCCTCGTCTGATAAGTCTTGACTGGTTTCGACCTTTTAGGTTTAACCCCGAGCGAAATCCAGGAGTGGGAGTTCTCTCGCTCGATAGCCTGATTGCGGCTATCGTGCGGAGCGAGAGTGCGTGGAACTCTGCCGTCTCCTTCTGCGAGCAAGTTATGCTCGCGAAGGAGACGGCGGAGCGGGACCGGGAGAGGTTTTAGAACTCTCCCGGCCCGCCAGGCCCGGGAACGGGCCAGGTACCGGAGGCGACTCAGGCGCCGGAGGTCGCAGAACGACCTCCGTCCTCCATAAGCGCAGGCCTGGGGGTGACAGGTGAGGCCATCTATCACCCTAGCAGAAGCAGGCTGGGGTGGCGGCGAGCGCGTTGCGAAGCGCGCTCGCTTCCAGGGAGCAGAGGGAACATGGGGTTCCCACACGGGGGGGGGGGCTCGTCTACTCGTCTGTAGATGGCCCGAGGTATGTCGAGGCACCAGGAACTTCCTTTCTACGAGACGGCGTGCGGTTTTAGTCGGTTCGAGTCCGACATACCACCGATAGGTGGTATCCGAGGGGATTTACGCACGGAAAAAAAAGGAGCGAAATCAAACATAAGCGTACCGTTGAGAGTAAAATTCTGAGAGTGATCGACGGTAGAGTAATGACCCGGTTATATAAAAATATTTACCACTACCGTCATAACATACATCACAATGAATTATTATGTACATACCGTGGGAGAGCCATGCTTCGGCAGAAATGGGCCGGTACCGGAGGAATACCACTGGCCTAACAGAAGAACCGGTGTTAATCAATTCTTCGTTGATTTTCATCCAGTGGGTTGAGTCACCGGAATCCGACCACTCTCCTCCACTCCCCTGTGACACGCCTGCTCGTTTGCTCTCCCATACCATAAAAATAAATTTTAATTTACGGGAATCCAAAGTAACGAGATCGCGTTACAGGAATTGGGGTCTGGCTAGTGCAACCTGGTTGCAAAGTAGAAAACTTCCAACATAGTATGACAATTTTGCAAGAGAAGTGCCAACATCCCCTCTTTCACTTTATGATATAAGGCAGGTATAAAAAACAATGTTTTCTTAAGGTACATAACTTGTCATGGTATATTACTTACAATATCTTACATAAGATGTGGTCATTTTTGTAAGACGAATACATTACATACGTACAGGAATGAATGCGATCATTTAATAGGTATTAAACACCTTAAAATTGCCTGACAATTCACCCAGGTTGCACGGCCATAGGGCTCAGTTTTTAATTATATATTTTTTTTTTTTTTTTATTTTTTTTTTTTTTTTAAAAGACAACTCCCGCACTAGGAATAAATCCTGTGTCGCGGGAGACTTTACAAACATACATGAAACGGACACAAAGTACACCCAGACTCAGAACAACAATTTGTGGATCACACAAAGTGTTGGTCCATGTGGGGTTTGAACCCACAACACTCGGCGTAATAGAAAGCGGCGTGGCGACCGCTTTAACCACTACGCCATCCGTGCAGTCAAATCCATCCGTGCATTTCTTATGGAATAAATATATTACGTCACAGTTATCCATTGATCCTATGTTTATTTTCTTGTCAGTGGGACAGTACCGCAGAAGCGTCTATCGCGCACGAGCGCAAAATGGCGCTGCTGGATGCATTGGAGGCGCAATGGCGTACAGAGTACGAATCCGCCGATACGGCCGGGTACTACGCCACTTCGTACTCATCCTGGCTCAGCTATGGTACTGGACTGCTCGCCAACATTGTGGAGAACTTGCAGGTAATATTACTTTGAATTTGAGTTTCGGCAACCTTAAATAGAACTCCATCGTGTGAAATAAAACTTTTTCTTCATTTGCGATGACTCATTCGAGTTAATGTGTTCGAGGTAAAAAGGTGAAGTGTTATCCAAATATTGTTGTTCCTCAGCTGAAGTTGAACGATGTACACATCAGATACGAGGATTCGATTACGTCTTCTTTACCGTTTGCCTGCGGCCTGACCGCCGAGTCTTTGTGCGCCGAGTCATGCGACTCCGAGTGGCGATGCGGCTTCACCTTCTTGACGGACCCCGAAGGGTGTTCGTTCAAGCTGCTGGAACTGCAGCGCCTCGCCGTGTACTGGGACCCAATGCCAGTGCCCGCAGGCATGTTCGCCAACCACAGCATACAGGAGCTAACGGTTCGTATTGTCACTCGCTTGATATGAAGTAATAATAATAAGTTTATCTGAATTTGAGTGATATATGTTTGTGCAGGAGTGTATGTCGGAAACGTGGCGCGGATCCCACCGATACCTGGTCCGGCCCGCGTCCGCGTGGGCTCGCGTGCGACGGGAGCGCACCGAGCAACCGCTCCGGTCCCGCGCCCGCCCCCGGCTCGCCTGTCACCTTACGCTGGACGCGGTCACGCTCAACCTCAGCAGCGTTAGTCATTTATTTATTTACTTCTTAACTGGACATGGGCAATCTTTTTAACGGAGATGCTCTATCGAACAGTCGCTTGTTATTGTAAAATGTTGTGATCAACCTCAGCAGTGTTACAACCTTTACTTCATCATTATTATCTTCATCCATCATCTGTATCTTCCTACCCTTCTCCCATTTTATTTTAGGTGTAATTGCAAAGAGTATTGTCTTATTTCTTTTATGGCGGACCGCCTGCCTGTCGCCAACCTACCTTTTGAATGTAATAATTTCCAGACAGGGCTAATGAAGAAGGTTTGGCTAGGATACCCTTATCCTTACCGGTCCGGGCCCAGATGAGGTACCTGGGTCTGGTCCTAGACGGTAGGTGGCTCTTCGACGAGCACTTCCGACAGCTTGGTCCGAAGCTGGTGGACACTGCCTCCACCCTAGGGCGACTTTTGCCCAATTTGGGCGGGGCCAGTGTTCCCACGAGGCGGCTGTACGCGGGGGTTGTCCGGTCCATGGCGCTTTATGGAGCACCGGTGTGGGTGGCGGCTCTGACCGCCCCGAATAGGGCGCGCCTCTGGCGCCCCCAGAGGATATTGGCGGTCAGAGCCATACGCGGATACCGCACGGTGTCCACCGAGGCGGCTTGCGCCTTGGCCGGAACACCCCCGTGGGATTTGGAGGCGGAAGTGCTCGCCGAAGTTTATCGGCGAGTGGCTGACTTCCGGCGGAGGGCGAAATCCGCTCTCCGCCCGAAGACGTGCGCGAGTGGCGCGAAGCCGCTCGCCGAGCCACCATGGTCAGATGGTCGTTCCGACTGGAGACTCCACGCGCTGGCTTCGCCGCCGTGGAGGCTCTCCAGCCGGTCATCGCCGAGTGGGCAGGTCGGCAGCACGGGACCCTTTCCTTCCGGCTGACGCAGGTGCTTTCCGGGCACGGTTGCTTCGGAAAGTACCTGTACTCGGTTGCTAGGAGGGAATCGAGTCCCGCCTGCCACCACTGCGACTGCAGTGAGGATTCGGCCCAGCACACGCTGGCGGTTTGCCCCGCATGGGCGACGCAGCGCCGGGCCCTCACTGCAGTCATCGGAGCAGATCTCTCGCTACCGGCCGTAATTCGCTCCATGGCCGGTAGCGACAGTTGTTTTACCGCGGTCGCAACCTTCTGCGAGGAGGTAATCTCGCAGAAGGAGGCGGCGGAGAAGGCCCGGGAGGACGACCTCCACTCGGACCGCTTACCTGCGCTTACCTGCGCGTCATGCCGCCCTGAGTGTGGCCGCGGGTGGACGGGATGGGTTCTCCCCTCCACCCGCATTAGTTGGCCAGCCGCGAGGGGACGGCGTCCGCGTGTGCCGGACGCCGCCTAAAGAGAGGAAACTTTGAGACGGAGCCCGCATCAGGAGCGGGCCGGCGCTGGGAGGGGTCCAGAAGGCGATAACTACCTGGACCCCTCCTAAACTGGAAGCGCAAAGAGGGCACACCGTGTGGTTTTAGTCGGTTCGAGTCCGACACACCGCCCCGCCGAACGAGAGCCCCGGCGGGGTGACGGTCCGAGGGGATTTCCACACGTAAAAAAAAAAACAAAAAGATACCCTTATCCTACAAGACAGGACAAGAGTCGGATGGGAAGTTCCAGGAAGTCCGCCCACTTTATATTAAGTACTTACATTAAAATGTTTCATTTAAACTAGCAGCCAGATAGTCGCAGAACGTCTTGGTTGAGAATTGAAACGTGTTTGAGATTTTAACAATAAACAATGTGTAAACCGTGTGTCCGTGGTCCGAGCAGAGGCAATACAACGAGGCCGTGTCGTGCGTGGCCGGGCTCGAGCGGCTGGCGCGCGTGCGCGAGTACCGCGCGCGCCGTCCCGCCGGCCCCGTTAAGCACAACGCGCGCGAATGGTGGCTCTACGCGCTCTCCTGCCACATACCGGTGCACTCCTGTGAGTACATGCACCATACTCGACCTCGAAATCATTACCTTATCTTCCTTTCCGTAGTAAAACATAGGCTAATACTCAATTCTTGTTTTGTAGGGACTGAACCTAAGCCGACGTGGGAGTCCTGTCTGAAGTGCGCTCGTAAGACCCGAGCGTACGTGGACGCTTGCTTGGTGACCCTGAGCAACCCAGCCGCGACACTGCCCGCTGACAAGAAGGCCGCTAAGGATGAGTACGAGTGGGGTACGCCGCTACATCAGCTCAAGGCGCTTAGAGAGGTACAGAACAATGTACTGTCAATTAAACATAGGGTTAAATATACATATATATATTTTCGTACATACATATATATTATTTCGTTATATAGCAATATAGGTATTGATAGATGACATGTCGGTCGAAGTACACAAAAAATGCCTGCATGAACCTAGTACAATAAATTAATTTCATAGCCCTGTAGGTCAAGCGATCTTCAATAAGCCACAGATCATTAGTCAAATTTACTGTTGACAAATAATATATTTAAATATTTTAGGAATACCGCAATATATTTTAAGAATACACATACAATTATAGATAAATTACACACTGACTCGAGCGGGAGGGACTCCAAGGGCAGCAATGCACTTGTGACTTTTGAGTTGCAGGTGTCCATGGGCGGCGGTAGTTGCTTACCATCAGGTGACCTGTCTGCTCGTTTGCCCCCTTATACCATAAAAAAACACACAGACACAGAACAATACATCGTTTTCATTGCACAAATACTAGTCTTGGGTGGGATCACAATCACGAAGCCGGGATCGGATAAGAGTTTATAGTCAGGATCACTAACCGCTAAAAAGCCTGTCTTATTGATAACAAGTTAAAACTTAATTTCCTTAACAGGTGGCAATGCGTAAAGTGCCAAAATCAACTCCAGCATCAACACCTGACAAGCCAGCCAGCTCTGGTCGCAACATGCTGGTTCACTGGTTCCCACAGTGGATGGGATGGTACGGAGCACCATCACAAGACTCGGCAGCATCCACCCCATCTGCGGCGTCTGCACCCTTCCCGTCACCAGTTACGACACCATCATCGAACCCTATGCCAGCTCCCAACTTGACACCAGCAGATCTGGAGGAAGAGATCCTAGATGTGATAGCAGACTCTATAGATAATAATACTATGTTGAAAAGAGATACAGTGTTTGGAAAGTTTGAGTTTATATTGAACAAGGGATCGCTTAATTTATGTATGGAAAGCGAAGACGAAAATAATAAGTGAGTAATTGTGCATTATTTTCTCTCTCTCTCTCTCTCTCTCTCTCTCTTGCTCTCTCTTCTCTCTCTTCTCTCTCTTCTCTCTCTCTCTCTAACATTTTTAGACATTTCATCTGTGTGTGTGCATTTCATCTTGAAACAATGTGCAGAGGAGATGAAAAAAAGAACTTTTAGGCAAGGGAACGTCATGTCCTAAACCAATCTACTACGTATACCTACGAGTTACATTGATTATCATATGTTTATGACTATGTGAATAATTCTTAGCCTTAAATTTTATACAAGTACCGTAAGCTGCCAAAAAAAAAACTTACACCTAGTAAAGTCATCAAAAATCACTGCAAACATTTAAAAAGCTAGTCACAAATCATTACTTGGCATCATAGAGGAATTTGTGTATTTATGTAACTCTGCCTGTATGTTTTTATATAAGTTGTATGTATTTAAATATATAATATACCTACTGTAAACGTATATATTAGTAACCTTGTGTTTCTTATATATATTATTATATATATTATTTAGTATAGTATTTATATTATATATTATTTAGTATTTTTTATTTAGTTTTTCAATTTGTTGTAATTGTACATCCCAGGCTACCCTAATTTTGTTGACAATATCCGTATAAAGGTTGTCTGTAAGAGATCGCCGTGAGCGATAAGACCGCCTATTGTTATACCGAAATGTATTTAATATCTGTATATATAATACCTCCATGGTGTACAATAAAGAGATAAATAAATAAATAAATAAATAAATAAAGTAAAAGACTTTTGGTTGTTTACTTGGAAATAAATGTGTTTTGAATATGTTCCGCAGAGCCCCCCAATCGGAGGGCGGAACGGGGAGTGCAGGCAGTGCGGAGGCGCAGGGCACGGGCATGGAGCTGCAGTTCTCGTGCGTGCGCGTGGGCATCGAGTCGCGGCCGCGCGCCTCCTCGCACGCGCTGCACGTGTCGCTGGGCTCCGTGTGTCTGCGGGAGCGGATCACACCCAACACGCTTTTCCCTATACTTATTGCGCCGCAGGTAAGCTCACAATACCTCCACTCGCCATCCATCCATATACTGTACGTCTCCATTGGCAATTATTTTTCATTTTTGATAAGCCTGTTGGTCTAGTGGTACCTAAGCGATTCTGACTGCCAAACTGGAGGTCGTGGGTTCGATTCCCACCCATGACAAATTATTGATGAGCACGGTCATTTGTTCTGTGTCTGTATGTAATTTATCTATAATATGTGTGTATTTAGAAATATTTATGGAGATTGGTTAACATAGTACAGGCTCTGCTTAGTTTGGGATCAGACGGTCGTGTGCGAGATGTGTGAAGTTATTATTATTAGTTTGGTATAATACTCTATTTTATTTACTTTTGTTGTTAATATTCTATTAACACAGTAAAATTGGCAAGAATGCAGGCGTGCTGGGCTCAACTTATATTGTTAATGTTAAACTTTTTAAAATTTAATTTAGATTTGTAGAATTATGTTTTATTTTTTTGATTTTGTGGCACAGACATCGAAAATGTTGTTAATTAAAATTAAATACTTTAATTAGCCAATTGTAGCTCGCTTTACCCACTTAAAATCATTATAATACAAAGTGAATTCCTGCGTAGGGTGTTATCCGCGAAGGTCTGAGCTCGCTGAGCGCGTCGGGCGCGGCCATGTCGTGGTGCCGTGCGCACGCGCAGCAGGGCAGCACCGCCAGCGCGCACGCAACTCACGAGCCGCTCTTCCAGCTCACCTACGAGAAGAAACCCTTCGGCATGAACTGTGATTATAAGTTAGTCGTCCGAAATATTTTATTGCTTTCTTTACTACTATATATAATCCTGATTGAAGCAGAAAAAAAATCTACATGTATAATTTCTAGTCCAAATCTAAATACATATCTGGAAATGTTGGTTATATTCACAAAACGTGCTTCTGTATAATATTTTATAAATAATCAAGTAAAAATAAAACATCAATTTGTGTTGCCGTTTAAGTGTTTTTACATTAAATATTGTACAGTATTACATGCTATTCTTTCTTCTTTCTTTTAGTAAACAAATATTATATCATCCGTCATCATTCTATAACGATCTCACGGCAAAGCGGTAAAGCTTGTCTCGTATTAAAGTAAAATTAGTTTTATATCTGTAATCGTATAGTACGAACATAGGTATCGAATACCATTATGTACAAAAGCATAAGGAATGTACGTGGTGCGCAGGCTGTGGGTGAAGTCGGCCCCGCTGGAGGTGGTGTACAACGCGGCGGCGGTGCGCTGGGCGCAGCAGTGGGTGTGCGCGCCCTGGGCGCAGGCCTACGCGCACGTGCGCGACACCACCAGGGCGCGCCTGCGCACGCACTGGGAGCACATGATGTACACGCACGCGCACCCGGTACGTTACACCTTGTTCGATACGTTCATCTGAACCCATACAATTTATACCACAGAAAGCATATCGAAAATATCTAAAGAGTTTTGATTGAGATTGAGATTTCTTAACATTTGCTGATAATGTTTACTTTAAATAAACATTAAAAAAAAAACTGAGAAATAAAGGACAAAAAGATACCATCTGCTCTTTATAATATCTTAGTTTAGTGTTAACTATAACTTCACCAAGACAGACAATACTATTTTTTTTATTTATGAATGTACTTAAAGGTATTTAAAGAGTTTTTAATTTTTTTCCCCGTCTACCCAGGGCGACCGTGGCACATGGCAAGTAGAACTGGACATATCAGCGCCACAGATCTTGTTCGTGGAGCAACTATCCTCACGCGACTCGGCCGTGCTGGTGGTGGACTTTGGACGACTTCGCCTCGCTAACGCCAACCTCGCCGACTGCGCACCACACACACCGGTGGACGACGAAGGTACTGAACTATTTACCTTATAAAATATTTAGCAGATGCCATGTAGAAACTATTTGTATTTAGAGTTGTACATTCGTTCCAAATTCAAATCGCTTATGTCAAAAACAGCATAATTTCTAATAAAACTTATGCAGTCAGTTGTAGGAGTTATGTTTTTAGCGTAAAGTCAAAGCACTCTAATCATTACACAGATTATTGTTTGTTAACAAAATTATGGAAGTATTTCAGTCCCTCTGTATCTCTCCTGTTCGTACATTAATGTATTATTTATTTATATATTGCATAAGGCGGACTTAATGCCATAGACGTTTTCTTAGAGTTAAACTTTTGGGTGTTGCAAACCCGTGTGTACCCGTGGATATATATTTAGAACAAGTAAGATATGAGATTGAATTAAATTATATTACAAAGTAAAAAAAAACAACTTGTATTAGTAACACAATTCAATATTGTTGTGAAATATTTGTTTGTTTGTGACAGAAATGTTCATGACTCCGTGCTCGACTCCGCCGGGCAGCCTGCTGTCGCCGAGCTCGCCACCGGAACCGCCGCACCATCCGGCTCAGTCTGGTCTGGACGCCGATAACCTACATAACAGACTCTATGACAGGTACGATGCTCCATATATATATTGTTGGCTACTGTTTACTAATTGTAATAACACAGGTCAACAAAATTTTTACCCAGATACCAAAGTATACTTTTTAATTCAAAATCCGGCCGCAGATTTGCTTTTTTAATTTTTTTTTTAAATTTAAAAAGGTATTTGAGCAAACTCAACGTCATTTGAAAGCTAAGGACTTGAACTTCAAGATACCCTTTGTACTTTTTTAGGCATAATAAAATTTGAAGGGTTACATAACCTCAAAAATGGAAAAAAAACCTGACGTGATAGAGCAATTCTGCGGCCGAATTCCGATTCAGCGCACCAAAATCATTTGGGAAAGAAAACACTGGTTTCTGGGACAGATACTTTGTCAAATTTTGTTGTCCTGTGTAACCTAATTGCCTACTTTATCTTATAGTCGTAGTTAGTTTGTGTTCATTTACTAAGTATATATTTTTTATTACAGATATAAAATAGAGTTAAGCGATTTACAAATCCTAGTGGGTCGCGCTCGCGACAACTGGAAGTATGCACACACTAAGAGTACCTCCTCGCTGCATCTCCTTGACAGATTCAGCATATTGCTGCAGGTAATAATGTAATATTAAAAGAACTATGATTAAACAATTTTTTTCCTAATAATCTAATTAGTTTATTCTAAAATGGTGAGCATATCTAAAATGTAACGTGCAATATCATTGTATAAATATTATTTACACATTATCTTTTTATAACATGCATAATTGTATACTAATTTACTGCGACTGCACGGATGGCGTAGTCGTTTAAGCGGTCACCTCGTCGTTTATTACTATGCCGAGTGTTGTGGGTTCAATTCCCGCACGGGACAACACTTTGTGTGATGTATAAATTGTTGTTCTGATTCTGGGTGTTCTGTGTCCGTTTCTATGTATGTTTGTAAAGTCCCCCGCGACACAGGATATATTCCTAGTGCGGGTGTCTTTTTTTAAAAAGAAAAAATAAAATATATTTTTACTATATTCTAGTTTTGCTTAAGTATTCACATACATATCAACGCACAAAATAGGAACGAAAGAAAGAGATATTGAAACATAGAGTATAATGTGATGGTGGTGGTGGTGGTGCAGGCGGAGCGGCGCGTGGTGGCGACGCACGACCCGCAGTACCCGGGCGCCACGGTGTGCGGCTCGCTGCCCGCGCTGGTGGTGCACCTGAGCGAGCAGAAGCTGTTCGCCGTGCGCGCCGTGCTGGCCAGCGCCGCGCCCGACCACGAGTAAGCGCCCACGCTCACTCTCTGTCTCTATCTCCACCACCTTCTGTCATACGAAACGACTACTCCTCTTCTTAGAAAAACACATTTCCAGCTTTTCCCGAGTTTTCCATTTAAAATACAGTCGAATTGAGAACCTCCTCCTTTTTTTGAAGTCGATTAAAAATATATATATATTAACAAATGTTTGCAACGACCGTACCAGGCGTGTTACAGCATGCTTGTTATTAGGTGTCGTATTTTAATAATCTCATATAAATTTCACAAAGACAAATAAAATAATGACCTAAAATAAAATGAGATTATAACTATTTATATTATAATTTTTCAATAAAAAGTTTCCTTCGTTACGTAACCCAAAGTCACTTCGTTAGAAATTATCATTTGTACAACGTGACATTTTTTAATCCTTTTTAATTTTTAAACTGTTCAACACCAATATAATGTTTAGGAATTTAATTGTATCCACTTATTATTAATCGTCGAAAAACAAATGGACATTAAGGTAATAGGATAGTTTAAAGGCAACTTATACTTGTACGAAATATTGAAATACTGCCTCGTAGTGACACTTTTCGCCTCGCGCAACCAATCTATGGAACGGGTTATCGTCTGCGGTATTTCGACCTTCGGACCGATACGACCTTCAAACCTCCTTCCTAAAAGGCCGGCAACGCGTTTGTGACTCCTGAGTTGCAAACGTTCATGGGCGGCGATGCTCACTTTCCATCAGGTGACCCGTTTGCTCGTCTGCCCCCTCTAACATAAAAGAAAAATGTTCTTATAAGTAAACATAAAAGTTACAAAAACTTACAAATATATAATTGCGCAGTACTCCAGAGTACCAAAACCAGGAACCGGAAGGCGCGGAAGATGACGAGGAGAGCAGCGCTAGTCTTGACGTCAGTTCCATGATGAATCTTCAGCACAACTCCACGCTATTCATGATGCAGTTTGCCATAGAACAGATGTCTTTAGAGGTCAGTGCAAAACAGTAAAAAAACACGCCTGTTCCTTAATCACGTAAAAATAACATATATGTAAAATCATAGATTAAAAAATAACACATGGGATGACACTTTGTGTGATCCACAAATTGTTGTTCTGAGTCTGGGTGTTATTTTGTGTCCGTTTCATGTATGTTTGTAAAGTCCCCCGCGACATAGGATATATTCCTAGTGCAAGAGTTGTCTTTTTAAAAAATAAACAATAAATAAATAAACATTTATGTTAAATTATTAAGTACCGGTCACCGAAACAATAACTAAAATACATAGATTAACTGAGCTATGACAATTAAGACTTAATATTGCAGTTAAAAAGTAAAGTAATCTGTAAAATAAAATTAAATACTATATAAAAAATTTAGAAAAAATGTTTATACCTAATTATAATTGTTCGTTTTTAGGTACAATCAATGGGACGTTCAATAGCTGAAGTCCAAGTGTGTGGTGTGAAAGCTGCGCTGACGGTGAGACCGCGCGATGTCTCCGTCTCGCTCTCCGTGCATTCTCTGCTGCTGGTGGACGCTCTGCAGACGTATGGACCCGACTTCGAGTTACTCGTAGCCAGTCACAAGCATGTCGGGTGAGTACTACGTGTTTCGGAAGCTGAGTTATGTAGGTTCAATACCTAAATGGAACTATTGCCTTTAACTTTTTTTTTACTGATGGTGTAGTGGTTTAAGCGGTTACCTCGCCGCTTCCTACTGTTCTGAGTGTTGTTGGTCTGACTGGCTGTTCTTTGTCTCCATTTCATGAATTTTTCTAAAGTCCTCCGCAACACGGAATATATTCCTAGTGCGGGAGTTGTCTTTTGAAAAAGAATGTATTATTTATATTAAAACATATAGTCGACAGCAATGTTGGTAATTTTTGAATTATTGTATTATTTAGTATTGAATAAATACATATTTAGTGTCCGTGTGGTGACGGATTAAGAATATGCATTCTCACCACCCCCAATAATCCCGTGGGTGTCGTAAGAGCCTGCTAAGGGAGCAAACTACGCAAACAACATCACTGCAAAGAGAAGGAAAGCTTGACACAAACCCTATACCGGCCCGTCTGGCCAGCGTGGCATAGTAGGTCAAAACCTCCTTACTAAGGAGAGGGCTATGTCCAGCAGTGGACTCTTTAAGACTGTTGATGATGAAATAAATATTGTTTTAATGTTGTAATCATATTCCAGAATGGACACAATGTCTGGCAGCATCCGAGGCTCGGAGCCCACGTCCCCAACGTCGCCCACTTCCCCCACCTCCCCGCATTACCCTCCATCGCCGGACGCTCGCTCAGCTCCGTCACTAGCTCATCCACAAGCGTTACATCAAGCTTTGAACTCGTTACATCTTGGGGCTAGAAGTAAGTTTGATTTTTCCATTAAAAAACTGCTTTATTCGTTTTTTTTTATTGTTGAAGGTACTACCTGAACACGTAGGGGCCACACACGCCATTGAAATGGCTTTAATTGATTTGATATAACTGTCCTTATTAATATATAAACACGCATATCTCGCTACAGTAGCTTTGCAGTATAACCCTGTATCGACTACATTATGCCACAAGTAACTGCTGTAACGGAAACCTTCTCCAATTTTGGTCAGGCTTGGCTTGGTATACCCACACTTTACGGTCGCTATAAGGACTCGCTATATAGGAACGCATGCCATTCAATGCCATGTCATTTAATTAACCCTAAAATATAGATCGTTTGTTGATAGAGCCTTCAGATGCTGATCGGGTCAGCCCAGCGCCGAGCTGGATCTCAGGCACGGGCTACAACTGGAACGGTAGCTCAATGTTCGGGCCGGGGTGGGGCGCCACGTGGTCGGCCGGCTGGGCTGGGACTACCACGGCGTGGGGCGCGCCGGGACTCGTCGACTCTGAGGCGCTCATCGCTGTCGAGCTGTGCATCATCAAGGGAAATAACTCTACTGAAGATCTGAGAATTGCGAATATACTGTTTAATAATCTTGATATTATAGGTAAGTCCCAGACTGCCTGACAAACGGGGAGTGCTTACGAGTTTTTTTTTTCAACCGTTCTCAATTATTTTGGTGGTGGCCTCCTTCAGATTGCGCCATTTAACCCGATGCTGGGCTGCTTCCATCTAAAAATTATTAAAACTGTAAAATATGAAAATGGCAAGACAACACAAGTGTATGTCAATTGAAAAGAGGTAGCCTCATTTGCCAAACGCTAGAAACAAAGACTGGAAACGCACCCAAATCGTCTGACCATTAGTCTAGCCAAACCAGTTTGAAAAGAGCCTGAAAAGACCGGCTATAATGAGCTTAGCATCTGACAATAATGACTGAAGCGTCGATCATTAAATAGGGATCCTCCTGGACAAGTCAAGCCCTACTTCACCTTTTCTGCTTAAGGATGCATGCATGCATGATATTCAATTTTGAAAAAAAACACTATTGTTATTTAGCTAACCAAGAAACTATAGTGGAGTTGATCGGGTTCACACAACGCGTGATGGGTCCTAAAGCGACTACTAAGAAACCCCCGAGTGACGTAGGACTCGAGGAGCCAATCACTACAAGCACATATTCATACACAATAACTGAAGACGAACCAAAGGTAAGTAAAATAAGTGTACCAACAAAAAAAAAGTATTACATTAATATTGTTGCATTAGAACAATATAATAATATATTGACTGAACGGATGGCATAGTGGTTTAAGCGGTCACCACGCCGCTTCCTACTACGCCGAGTGTTGTGGGTCCGATCCCCACACGGGACAACACTTTGTGTTATCCACAAATTGTTGTTCTGAGTCTGGGTGTTCTTTGTGTCCGTTTCATGTATGTTTGTAAAGTCCTCCGCGACACAAGATATATTCCTACTGCAGGAGCTGTCTTTTAAAAAAAGGAAAAGAAATGAAGTTGCGGTCCTCGTATCACACCTCAGCTGAGCTGAACTTATATTGAATTTATTCTGATTTGTATTCTTCGTGATAAGAGTAGACATATTAAACAGACGGAGATATAAACGTCAACGTGTTAAATTTTTTATGTAACATTACATTGAAAAATAACTTAATTGAAGGTACAAATCTTATATATTTTATTTATACCACAACAAAAAGTGTGTTATAAATATATACGAAGACGAAATATGTAGAAAGGACGAACGGAGTAACATTCGCCGATGTGTTCATAGTGTCCAATACATCGTGATATTTTGTTTCGTACAGAGGGATGTTCGGACGGAAATAACATTTGATTTCCACCGCCTGGGCGTGCTACTCCTGCGAGCAGCTGTCCACGAGGGGAACGTGGTCGCAAGGAAGATTGCCACAGCCACCATTAGCGAAGCCAAGATACAGGCCACTGTTGGTAAGAAAACTGGATTTTAAAATATTGATATTTTTTTTTAATTTCTTGAAAACTATAACAACACACAACACAATACAAAAAATAATAAATAAAGGATTGTCAGTGTGTGATTAATAGAAATAGTTCAAATTGATCTCCAGATTTTTGTGTGATTGACAGGTATGCAGTATTGGTAGGTTTTGATCTCAAAAGCCATTATGCGCCTGTAAAGGAACAAGATTTAACGGTTTACCTTTACTTTAGACGGCAGCCGAGTTGAAGTAGGCGGGTCATTGGGCGGTGTCCAGGTGGTGTCGCTGTGTGAGGGGGGCGGACTCCACACCCGTGTACTGGCGGCGGGCCGAGCTCCTCCTCCCCATGCGCCCGCGCCCGACGAGGACGACGAGAAGGCGCTGCTATTTACTATTCACAGGAAGGTGGACAAGTCTCAGGGTGGGGATGCTCCAGGTATGTGTTGTTTAGGTATACATTGGTTTTAATTTTGGGTAATCATTCGTTTAACTACAATTTTCTTACGGCTTAGTAAACTTGATGTTGCCAAGGGGATTTAAAACTAAACAAATTGTTTATTGTTTCAAATATAAGAAATTCAGTATATAAAAGCAAGAAAGAAAGAAAATATGTTTTAGCCACAACACTATATTTCCTTTTAATGTCTAATAATTTAAAATATAGAAATGGTGTTCATTATTGCAAAGTGTTGCAATTAAAAGTAAGCAGAATTGTCAATATTTTTGAATGATGAATTATTTCGCACAGTGGTGGAGGCAACAGTGAGCCTGCACGTGGCGAGCGTGTGGTACACGCACTCGGGCCCGCTGCTGCGCGAGCTGCGCTCGTGCCTCACGGAGTTCAAGCAGTACCTCGCCAACCTGGCGCGCTCCATCCGCGCCGCCGCCGCCGACATGGCCATCGGACTCGTGCACCCCAGGTATGTGTAAAACTCATCCCGTGGGTGTCGTAAGAGCCGACTATGGGAGAAAACTACGCAGGACAACAACACTGCAAAGAGAAGGAAAACTTAAACAAACTAGGGTTTGTTTCAAGTTTTTCTGACCATACGGCTGGCTATCAACCCGTCTGGCCAGCGTGGTATAGTAGGCCAAAACCTCCTTTCTAAGGAGATGTCCAGCTGTGGACTGTTATGGGCTGTTGGTGAATTAAAATTGAATATACGCAAAGTATTAAATTTCATTTTGAATGTCTTGTCAATATAACACTTAACAGATTGAAAATGATTAAATATTGGTTGAAAGCATAGGACACTATCATAGGATAGTCAACAAATCAGATTGTGGGTATAGACCTACAATACGATAAGTTAAACAATATAAAAGAGAATGTAACGTAAGTGTGTGTCGGTGCGGCCTTGCCCAGAGGCGAGCCGCTGTACTCGAACCCGAAGCTGTCGCAGTCGACGGAGGGCGTGTCGCCGCGCCGCCGCACCGTGAGCGCGGGCGCGTCGCTGGACGAGCCCGCAGACCTCAAGTCCGACAACATCGTGCTCAGGTATACACTCCACACTATTCTTCTTTTATTTTTAACACTCCCGTTCCGCTATCTCCGCCCCGTTGATGCATAAAGTTGTCCATAGCAAAATCCACTCCACAACTACTGTTGAAGACGACTCTCCATCAAGTAAAATTTTTGTAATTTCTGTGAAAAATGTTTTAATAAAGACGTCAATAAAACAACCATCAAAAGACTATCCTTAAATAATTGACCTTTACGTCGATTCTTGTCTACCGTTGACTATACTAAACTATTATACATTAAGAAATATATCTTTAAACTTTAAATTAAAAATCTTAGATTCACTAATGATATTTTTTTCTATATTTTGACATTTACGTCATCATTTACGTTCATAAAGAGAAAAGGCAATGTAAACCAAACATGACAATTTAAATCTATTGACATTGTAATACGTAATATATTGTGTTAGCGTGAGCATTGAGCTTGAGTCTCCGGTGGTGGTGGTGCCCCGCAACGCGCACAGCTCGCAGGTGCTGCTAGCGCACCTGGGTCGCATGAGCCTCGCCAACCGGCCCGGCCCCCCGCACCACACTCTATACAAAGTGCGAGTGAGAGACATCTCGCTGGCTACCGTTAGTATCTCTATATTTTACTATTCTTTCTCTTTCCGTTCTATATTCGTCTAGGAATCGATATCCAATAGAATTTAATCCTGGCTACCAATCTTCACTATAACGTTATAAATAAGTATGTTAGTTTGTTTGTAACGTAATCGACGCCGACAATTCGCTTCGCCATACATTTTTTATTATTTGTAGTATGGCATTAAACGATGGTTCCAGTTTAATATCTTATTTTATTTCTATAAAAGTAGAAGATAGGAATCGGCCTAACAGATGGTCCTTCGAGCCGGATCATTTGTTGGGGTGATATAGAACCGCGCGCGTATACAATAATTTAAACCGCCGTTACGTAAATTACATCTCTTAATTTTATGTATTTAAGAGTCAAACACATAGTTAATGCATACCAGTTTCACGGCATCATAAAAAAAATATTTATTTTTTAATCTCAAGTGTGCTTGTACTATTATACAGTTGGACGTCGCTGACAAGTTGTCAGTGCAGCAGTTCTCTGAGAACATGTCGGACATGTACGACGTGACGGCTGCCAAGCCCGTGCTGCACAACACCGCCCTGCAGTTCACCGTCAACTACTGCGACAACGATCCTGATACCAGGGCTGATTATCAGGTACCTTTCTAATTTAATTTAGTTCAGCAAAAATACTGATTTTCTGAGTAGGCATAACCAGTTTAAATTACCCTTCGAATAGAATGACGTTTCGATCGGTATCAGTTTGTATAACCATAAGGAATGGGGGAATATGTAAAGCATAAATGCTAGACGGTTAATATTTATTAAAGACATAACACTGTATGTCTATGACTTCTGTGTGTATTTCGGTGAGTGCAAAGGGTCAGCTGTGATGTCCGGTAATGTTGCTGTAAGACGCTTCACGTCTTGCAAAAGGGCTTACATCGAGTTCGAAACTAATCTAATTCGACTGCACGGATGGCGTAGTGGTTTAAGCGGTCGCCACGCCGCTTCCTATTACGCCGAGTGTTGTGGGTTCAAACCCCACATCGGACTACACTTTGTGTGATCCACAAATTGTTGTTCTGAGTCTGGGTGTTCTTTGTGTCCGTTTCATGTATGTTTGTAAAGTTCCCCGGGATACAGGATTTATTCCTAAATCAATAATAAATCCTGTGTCGCTGTGTCTTAAAAAAACTGGTAACCTCAAAAACTCATAAGTTAGTAAGATTATAAAATTGAATAATAATAATAAGTTCACACGTCTTACTCACGGTAGTCTGATTTTAAACTAGGCAGAGCAAATGACAGTTAGACTACTGGTGAACGTTAAGTATATTTCTTAATAATATATTATAGATAAGTTATACCCAGACACAAAACCAATGAATGTGTTCGTCACACTATTAGTTATACAGTCAAGAACAGTAACTACTAGACCGACACGCCCGTCATATATAACTTTAACGTGTGTTCAGTGCGAAGTTGAGGGCAAGATAGTGGGAGGGCTGCAGGTGTCCGCTTGCCGCGAGCAGTACGAGCAGTTGTTAGAGACACTGCGCTGGATCAGCAGTGACTCGCCGCCCGACGTCGTCGACGGCGTCGGTGAACACACCGTGCCTGCTCATCACGCACAGGTCAGTTGAGATTAGAGGATTCGATCCCGGTCGATTTTTATAATCCCGGGATTTTGGGATTATCTACAGTTAATCTCGGGATCCCGGGATAGTCCCGGGATTGTATTGGCAATGGAAAGTGGTAACAAAAAGACAGTAAAACATATCAAAATATTTTTTTTGTTTATCATTTAGTTTTGTGAGGACATAGAATATTTAAGTTTTAAATCTCCAAAAAGGCGGTTAACCAAAATTATACTTTCTTCTTATAAAATAAACAAACTAGTGCCTAGTTTGTTTTGTGTTTCGGTAAATAATTTATGAAACTAACAATAAACTTCAAAAAATTATTTAGATAAACTATAAAAAAAAAACGATATGCTTAAGAGACCAATGTTTATAGATACCTACTCATATCTTTTAATTAAATTGCCCAGAAACTTTATAAATTACACACTTTTACGCATAATCCAGAACCGGTCATTAGCAAAAACAAATGAATTCAGCTGTGTAGACAAGATGGCTGTCAAAACATCAAATCAAGGCAAGTGCGTTTCTTTCTACGCACATTTTTATTGACTTATGTAAAAAATGTATCAATCCCGAAAATCCCGGGATTCATTAAATTTGATCCCGAAAATTTCGGGACTAAAATATGACCGGGATCCTCTAGTTGAGATATAGTAGACAGAGATGAATTTCATAGTTTTAATCAGTTTTAAATGAACGATGTTCTCAATTGTATTGGTTGTAGTCCAGGCACGTTGAATATGGAGAACAAAAAAATGTTATCCAGAAACCTACGTTTTTAATTGGTTAAAAGGGTTAAAGTCAACATAAGGAAAATGTGTTATGTGCCCAAGAAAGTTAGGGGATGATTTTAGGGGTTGAAAAGGGGTGAAAATGGATACATCTCGTGTTTTTTGCAATTTCACGCGAAATTTGATGTCCCACTGAAAAATGTTAAATACAAAAGTTGTAGATCTTGGAAAAATCTACAACTTTTGTATGGGTCATTTTTTAATATAACCTCAAAATTTCAGAAAAAAATGCAATAAATCAAAAAAAAATTTGTTTTTAGTTTTTTACTTGTCAATTTCTCAAAAATAAATATTTTTAAACCAAACTTGCTGAAAGTACTCCTTTTTGTGTCCCAAACAACAAAAACAAAATTTTAGATTGAAATATTAAAACCTGTTTGAAAGATTCATTTATTTCGGTCCGAGACACGTTGTTTTCAAAGTTACATTTTACTACTTACAATAATCGTAGAGAGGTCATACAGGGCTCATTTTTTTCGTTTTGACGTCTACTTTTTAATGAAATAATAAAACAATACAGCTTCCATTTAAAAACATGTCTAAAAATTGAAAAATATAAAAAAAATAATTTTGCAAAAACAAATTTTTTGATTATTGTTAATAATTTGTTATAAATAAAAAAAAAATCAAAAACTAATAAGACCATTGAATTGTACGGGAAAAAACACGAAGATACATATGTTTTCCTATTTAAATACATTTTTTATTTTTGTACAATACTGCTATAAACATTGTAATAGCATATTCCGTGTAGTTGAAAGATGTCAGGTAAGTACATACAATGCGATCGCTTTTACTTTAATAAGAAAAGTTCCTCATTTCTCGCGATGAAATTAATTTATTCAATTATTTTCTACATATTTTGATAAATAAATCGTCTTATAATTAACTTTTGTATACAATTATTTAAAACATGCTTTTAAATAATTGAATGATTTTTTTAAAATGAATTCTGAATCTAATTTAACTTGCACCGAATTTATAATTGAAATTTATATCAACAAAATAGATACTACTAATAATAATAATAAAAAAATAATGGAGGTAAATGACAATAATGAAAAACTCAATTTTAATCAAGTTGATTTTTTAATGAAATATGCTCAAGTACTGATAAATATCATACATTTACACTTATACATAAATATTATACATTTATTATGCGATTTATTACATATTTAATAATGAATACATTATGCACACTAGACCAATTTTTGTCTTTTCGCTAATTGTAAGTTTGGCTGATCATCATCGATTAATTGTTCGTCGAAATATGTGACTTCCTCATTATCTTCAATCGTTTCTTCATCAAATTCCTCTGGAAACTTTTCCATAGCAAGATTTTCTGAGTTGAAGATGTTAAATGGTTGTTCAATTTCATCCGGATTATCAGAAATTTCATCAAAATCACTTAAATCTTTTGAAACTTTTTCAACGTTTGAACAACTTTCAGAACCATGGCATTTTGTGCATAACTCTGTGCATCGCAACTCATGCTTTCTGCAACCGCATCTATTGCCCTCACATCCAGTCTCACAACTGCAACAAATTATCTTAAGTAACTCATCTGGAATAAGTGAGTCATCTGTATAATGTGGCATAAGTAGTTTTGTATTATTTACAATCACTTGTTTCCAGCCCCATTTCGTTGCTTGTAATGTATGTCCAAGCCACATTTGTAGTTGGAAGTATACTCTGTAACTGTAACGAAAGTTGAATTGCTGCTCCAACAGAAGGGGGTAATTTTTCGAATTTAAAAGTCGACTTTGCAGTTAATAATTTAAACTGTAAATCTTAAATCATCCAGTGGTATTTTAGATTTTTTTGATTGATAAATCGATGCAATCAGTTTACAACCATTTCGAGCAATGACTTTGGGATCTGCATTACTTTGATAAAAGGGCAGTGCTAATTCTTTTAACTCAGGAGCATTAATCAACGAATTAAAACTTGTTGTTTTTCCTTTGCCAGCAAAAGCGGATGTTGTATCACATCCAGTAAAACAATGCAGAAGAGCAACAATTGAATTAATTAATTTCATCGCGAGAAATGAGGAACTTTTCTTATTAAAGTAAAAGTCGATCGCATTGTATGTACTCGTAGTTACCTGACATCTTTCAACTACACGGAATATGCTATTACAATGTTTATAGCAGTATTGTACAAAAATAAAAAATGTATTTAAATAGGAAAACATATGTTCCTTCGTGTTTTTTCCCGTACAATTCAATGGTCTTATTAGTTTTTGATTTTTTTTTTATTTATAACAAATTATTAACAATAACCAAAAAAATTGTTTTTTCAAAATGATTTTTTTATATTTTTCAATTTTTAGACATGTTTTTAAATGGAAGCTGTATTGTTTTATTATTTCATTAAAAAGTAGACGTCAAAACGAAAAAAATTAGCCCTGTATGACCTGTCTACGATTATTGTAAGTAGTAAAATGTAACTTTGAAAACAACGTGTCTCGGACCGAAATAAATTAATCTTTCAAACAGGTTTTAATATTTCAATCTAAAATTTTGGTTTTGTTGTTTGGGACACAAAGAGGAGTACTTTCAGCAAGTTTGGTTTAAAAATATTTATTTTTGAGAAATTGACAAGTAAAAAACTAAAAACAATTTTTTTTTTGATTTATTGCATTTTTTTCTGAAATTTTGAGGTTATATTAAAAAATGACCCATACAAAAGTTGTAGATTTTTCCAAGATCTACAACTTTTGTATTTAACATTTTTCAGTGGGACATCAAATTTCGCGTGAAATTGCAAAAAACACGAGATGTATCCATTTTCACCCCTTTTCAACCCCTAAAATCATCCCCTAACTTTCTTGGGCACATAACACATTTTCCTTATGTTGACTTTAACCCTTTTAATCATTTGAAAACGTATGTATCTGGATAACATTTTTCTTTTCTTATCTCTGTAAATGAGTCAATGTGCCTGGACTATTGTACTCAGGTCTTTTTTTAATTCGATAGCCAATTTTCTAAATTCGTAGTTTGAAATTTAAATTGTTACTGGTCTTTTTTAAATTTAAATTATTAGCTGTGATTAAAGAAAAATAACATAAAACATTAAGCTTTGAAAAGTCTATTCATTGCGAGCACGAAGCCGCGAGATCGTTGTATCATGGTATCGTGACATGGCGTTCACACGTATTTTTTTTTTAATCAATAGGTTTTATGACAAACTATTATTATATTTATCATTATGAGGAGTAAAAGTGGTGGTGTTCGTGTACAGATGCAGCAGAGCGTGAGCTCGGTGCTGGAGGGCGCGGTGCCGACGCTGCGCCTGGACCCGGCCGTGCGCGCCGCCGTGCTGGCCGTGGCGCCGCCCGCGCCGTCGCACAGTGCGCGCGCGCCCCCGCACCGCCCCGCCGCGCAGCCCCCGCCGCTCACGGGTACGCTCTTTTTTTTTTTTAAATTTTGTTGAGTTGAGTTTGCGACGGGGTGGTGTGTTGGAATCGGACCGACTAAAACCACACGGTGTGCAACTCTGCGCCTGTAATACGAGGGATCCGAGAACTGCTGTTATTGAGACATCTGGACCCCTCCTTGCGCCTGCCCGCAACGGCGCGAGCACCATCCTCCAGTACGTTCTCAATATTCCCACGTGTGTCGGACGTTGTCTCCTCACGGTTGACTCGCGGACGGACGGCGCTCGGGTACACCCTGCACCGGCCCCACCGTTTCATCATGTCACCAACTACCACCGCTTCATGAAACGGTCGACATCATTAAAGCGATCGACTCTACGATCTAGTGACGACATATCCACCGATCTCCATAAACAAAATGGTTCAAAATCTACATAGATAACGGATGCCACTATAAAGCGTATCGTGTATCAAATACCAATAACTTAATGTATTGCGTTGAGACATAAACTATAAATAAAAAAAACTGCAGCTTTAGTTAAGCTACCTTAAAAAAATATAACTCCGATTAATACATTCATACCTGAACATATTAAATTGTTTCCGCAGTAAAATTCGAGCTCCCAACGTTTAGTGTGGAACTGCGAGCGGACCTCGGCGAAGGAGAACGCAGCCTCGTTGAACTATCGTTTAGAGAATTCAAGCTACAGTACCAGAAATCACATCCATACGAGAATATGTTACAGGTATCTCAGTAATTTCTCATTTTTAAGTTAAATAAAATAGACATTTATCTTGCAACTGACATAACGACAAGTGACAATGATTATTTTAACTATATCAGAATTAAATTTAAACTTTGCTTATTAACACTCATGTTGATTGGGATAATATATTATTAACCAGTAACTAAGAGTAAAGACTATGCTATAGGTGTACTGAATCAACGTGGAATTTTTGCTTGTCTGTTCATATTTTAAAATAATTTAAAGTGTCAACACTAAGAAATCTTAAACTAATAAATATTTACTTCAAATTTGATAAATTTTAAACATTAGAAGCTACATCATTTTCGTATCCATCGTTGTTTTTGTTTGTATTTTTTTCTTGTCCGTCTGTCCGAGTGTCACCACTGATTTTCTCAGGAACGGGCAGACCTAGCAAGTTGAAATATATACTAGATACTGAAGTCTATGGTCCCTATTAGGTGTATAAAAATCAAGGTCCTGAGTCAACACGATAAAAAGTTATGGGCAAATTTAGATTTTCGCGAAAACTCGTAAGTACCAAAATTTACCTTAATTTTCAACTTTTTTATTTTTCATAATTTTCTCTTTACTTGTGCTGTAAGACCTTGCTTTTGACCAAAATTGACAATTCTAGGTCAATCGGAAGTACCATATAGGTTTTGGGTCGAAAACCTATACGGTAGTTCCCGTTGACCTAGAATCACGAAATTTGCCAAAAAGAAACGTCTTACAGCACAAATAAAGGAATAAGTCCAAAAAAAAATGAAAATTCATATAAATTTTGGTACTTACAAATTTTCGTAAAAATCTACGTAAAATCTGGGTAGGTACGGAACCCCCGGCGCACGAGTTCGACTCGTACCTGACCGGTTTTTTTTTATTTTCTTTATTAATTTTCAAATAAACGCCCTCAATAATAGTCCACTGCTGGACTTAGGCTTCTCCTTACAAAGGACCTTTTCTTTAAACACTTGTGTTATAAAACCTACTGAATTGTTTCCGAACGTACAAAAATCTGACAAAGACACTTCTATTGTAAGGTATCGCTTCATTCTATAACAATGGAAGACCTCACCAAAGAGCCGGACTCCAAGCACCGGATGCTAATGGTGTCCCACACACCACAAGTGCCGCCCAAAGCTGTGTTTGTGTCCAAGTCGTGTCCGGACTTCGTCACGGAGTACGGCGATGACATGTCCAGCGTCAGCTCGCTACAGCACATGAAGTACTGCTCCTGTTCGCTACCGAGTCAACTCAATGTGGCTGCAACACAGGTATGCTATTATTAAATCTATCTATTGATATGTAAAAAAATCTTTGTACTCTTCTTAAACAAAAATGGCAAACGGAAGCTTATCATAATAATAATAATATCCCAAACTAGGCAGAGCCTGTACTGTGGTAACCAGACTATACTTATATATTTCTAAATACACACACATTATAGATTAGGTACACCCAAACACAGAACAAATGACCGTGCTCATCACACAATTAATTGTCCTGGGTGGGAATCGAACCACTAACCACTAGACCAACAGGCCCGTCATATTTGTCAAGCAGTTCACAGAGTTATCATTTAAATCAATATGTGCTGATAAGGTAAAATATATATCAAAACGGCAACAAAAAACAATATATACAGGTCCGGTATAGATTTTAATCTGTCATGGTATAAAAGTTTATACAATGACAGTTCAATTTATACTATTCAGTGATATAAAACAAAACATTCAAAACGCTCGAAATTCGACCCCACGCGATTTCCAATAATTATAATATCTCTACTTTTTTGTTAAATGTACAATTTTTATATCTTATATATAAAATTCTCGTGTCACAATGTTCGTTCCCGTACTCCTCCGAAACGGCTTGACCGATTCTCATGAAATTTTGTGTGCACATCGAGTAGGTCTTAGTCCATCCCTAATTTTTTTTGTTTTGCAATACAACGTTTGCCGGGTCAGCTAGTACCTACGTATATTTATCCTATCCGTGTGGTGACCGATTAAGAATACGGAGTGTCACCATCCCTATTGATCCCGTGGATGTCGTAAGAGCCGACTAAGGGAGCAAAATACGCTGGACAACACCGCTGCAAAGAGATGGAAATTTTGACACAAACTCTAAACCACCCCGTCTGGCCAGCGTGGTATAGTAGGTCAAAACCTCTTTTCTAATGAGAGATCTATGTGCAGCAGTGCATTACTAAAGGCTGTTGATGATGATGACCTATATTTATATCTGACCTCGATTTTAGTTTATAGTACTGTACTGTTCATTTAGAAGAATATATATACATATATATATGAGAAAACTACGCAGGACAACGGTATTGCAGAGAGAAGGAAAACTTGACACAAACCCTATACCTACGTCTGGCTAGCGTGGTATAGTAGGCCAAAACCTCCTTTCTAAGGAGAGGCCTATGTCCAGTAATGACTGGACTGCACATAGGCAGTCCATTGACTATTAAAGGGTGTCGGTGAGTAAAAATTTACACGTATTTGGAGTAGGAAATGATTTAAAACTTGGTGTGTCAACATTATAACTAATCTGGTACGGTAAAATTTTGTTTCTTAACTTAGTGAGTTCTGTGACGTTTTGTGTTAGAAGTTAGAAAAAAGAGATAATTAGTTTAACAAAAACGATGACGATGTAATGCAGTGGCGTGTCCCCCACAGAGCGCTACACAGCGCAACAAGCGGGACAGCAAGTGCGGCGCGACCCCGCCCTGCTCGCCCGAGCCCGCGTCGCGCCGCACCGCGCCCGCCGCCGACGACCACCTCGTGTGGCTCTCCGTGCACACGCGCGACCCCGCGCACCCGCACTTCGCCGACAAGCACGACAAGGTGAGGGCGACCTCGACCTCGCCACGGACGAGTTGCCTGCTTAAGGGATAACCGAGCCGACTACACCCGTGGATACCTGTGGCTCAATAGCCGCAGGTGTATTATCAACCTTATGATATTACTCCAACCCTCCTCTCACTGTTAGAGGGTTGTGGTTTTTTAAATAAGATTCACAAAACTAATGCACAACAAGCATGAATATAATAATATTCTGCTGACTGGGATCTACTGGATGTGAATCTTGCATGTTTATTAATATTAAGACATAACTTATTATCATTAAAATACAAAGCTGCTTAAACATGGCTCGCCCTCAATTAACGTGTGATGTCGTTCTCACCTGGACACGCCTGTGACATAATTTACCTAAGTGTATAATTTATCTAACAGATGATTATCTTATTCAGATATCAAAGTTGACGAAGATCGACTTCAACTGTTTGAATCTGGTGGTGAGCATAGACAGCTGGGTAGCGGTGCTGGACTTCTTCGGTATCGCCGGGGATGACGTACCCGACGGTGATAACGGACACGAACCACTGCCGACCAGTAAGTAGTAGTCGTTTGCTTTTTGTCAACGATCAGGTGTCAGCGCTCGATCGTTGACTACCCAAAAATACCTAAAAATAAATAGTCGACCTTAATTTTCTCCATTCATTTACAAATATCCATTTTTGGAAGTCATAATAGAAAAATTTCATGTTGTCAAATGCAGTGTTTGTAAGCATAAAAGGTGGATTCATTACTAATTGTTATGTATTGTTAGTTTCTTTTTTTTTCTCTAAACAACTGTGACACCATATAAGATGGAGTCTCCTGGCACAAGTAACTAATAATAATAATAATATGCTACCACATTTACACAACGCCATCTAGTCCCAAACTAAGCAGAGCTTGTACTATGGGTACTAGACAACTGATATAAATACATATATACTTTTTTTTTGTAAATACATACTTATTATACATAGAAACACCCAGACCAAATCAAACATTAAATGTTCATGCACACAAATGTTTGACCTGAGCGGGAATCGAACCCGCGACCTTTAGAATAGCAGTCCGTTACACAAACCACTACGCCATCCGGTCGTCTTTTACAATTCGTCGTATTTCAACTTTTACTTAAAAGGAGACGCCATATTTTTTGTAACAATGTACAATGTTTATGAAGTATATTATAAGTCATATGATGAGTTTCGTGTACTCGTATATAACCCGCTAACGAACCCGTTCGGCGCCCAGCGTCGAGCGCCCCCGGGCCGGTGCGCGGCAGCAGCCAGACGGAGCTGTGGGTGCGGTCGCTGAGCGTGGTGCTGGTGACGCGGCGCGGCGAGGCGTGCCGCGCGCTCGTGTCGCGCGTGCGCACGGTGGCGCGCGCCGACGCGCACACGCACACGCGCACCGTCACGGGCCGCCTGGGCGCGCTCGCGCTCACCGACCTCACGCCGCACGCGCCGCTGTGGCGCGAGCGCCTGCGCACGCACGCCGACCACGCGCTCACCTTCGACTACCGCCGGTGAGCGCTCCTCTCCTGCATACCTATCCTCTAATCTAATCTTGCAATGTTTCCTTTCATAGTTATGTCACATATTTAATTTTCTAAATCTTATGTAAAACTTTAAAATAATTTGTTTTACCATAGACACTACCACACACACGTACCGTCTTATTTACCAAGACTAAGAACTGTTCTTAGTCTCACAATGAAACAACTATAGGTACTAAATCTATAATTTGTTTAACAGACTCAGCAGTGCTGAAGCGGCCGTGGCGGGCCACGAAACGAGCTTAAACATTGAGATGGGTCCCGTCACTTACGTACACACCAAACGCTTCGTTCAAGAACTACAAGCTTTCGCCAGAGACTTCAGTTTGCTCAGGAGAGTTATATTACAGGCCAGACTCAAGGTAATTTATTTATAAGACGTGTTTGAACTGCGATGAATATTTAAGAAAATTATGTGTACCACCCTGTTTTAAATTTAAGTTAAAAAAATAAATAAAAGAAAAATAAACAGTGATAGAGTTATCCAAGTGTTTAATTTAGCATCGAGCTTAGCAGCAGCCCATCGAAACGTACTCTACTTTTATAATTTACTTTTATAAGTTATGTTAAAAAAATGTTATACGACTGATTTACTTCCTCTTTATCGTTTGTAGGTGTCAGTGGTAGGCGGGGGCGGAGGCGACGAGGGCGACGTTCGCGCTTCACGAATGAAGCTGCGCGTGCGCAGCGAAGCGCCCGTTATAGTGTTGCCTGTATCCGGGCGGGCCCGTGCTGCGCTGGCTGCTCATCTCGACCAGCTGCACCTCGACAATTGCTTCAAGTATGCCGGTGACCCTGGCACCGTCAGCACTGTCGTCGACCCCAACTCTTGTGGTACTTTCTTTTTCAATTGATTTTTAAAAAACAAATAGCGAGTTCTAAATATAATTTCTTTACAGTTTAATTTATATAAATTGGATTTTGGTACAATAGTAACGTGGGACATGTGTGCAGGCAAGCGACCGCTGCTGGACGTGCGCACGGTGCGGCTGGACGGCGTGGCACTGTGGTGCGCGCGCGGCGGCCGCGGACTGCGCGTGCGCCGCGCTGGCCCCCCGCTGTTACATGCGCCTGCGCAGTTAGAGTTGAACATTGAGTACAATATGTCCGACTCGCATAATGGTAAGCTTTTGCGTCAGATATGTGCCAACCAAAAAAAATCATAATTAAAGGAAATGTTCTAAAAATGATAAAATCCTAATTTAAAGTTACTATTAGTTTAAAGTATTGAGCATACATAGTCATCATCAGTCTATCGCAGTTCACTGCTGGACATAGGCCTCTCCCATTGCACACTACTTAGCAGCATACATACATAATCACAAAAAACTAGAAATGGAATTGGTTCATGGAGACGATCCTACTGCCTTAATTAGAAGGTATTATTAATAACTACTTATGTTTACAATAAAGAACAACCTGGGAACATAAAAACGGTATTTTAAATATCGAACATGTGGAAATGTGTCGTTTTGTTGCAGTGGCAGACATGACTCTCCAGGGGTCCCTCTCGACCCTGCAATGCGCGTTGGACCCCGCGCAGTACCGGCTGGTGCGGGGCGTGCTGGCGCACAACCTGGGCGAGAGCGTGGACGACCTGCTGCCCAGGGAGGCGCACCCCTTCCCGCCGATACAGGCGCATGAACAGGTACCGGTACTAGACTCATTTTACAAAAAGATATACAAAGTGAGTCTTTACAATTGTATTTTAACATTCTTTATTTAATTTATATTCTTTATCTTTTTAAAGGAGAATTCCTTTATATTCTCAACAATTCAATTCAATTTAATACCTATAACATTGCTTTGAATAATTATTTTACATTGTATTTCATAATTCTCAAGTATATTTAATAATTCTTGACATTGTATTTACTAATCCTTCCTGGAAATATTTATACGCTGGAAACAGCAGAATATTATGGATGTCATATTATGTCTAACACCTGTACCTTAACAATATTCTGACAAATAAAGATATTATTATATTATTTAAATTGGATTTTTAACCAACTTCATACAGGATTAGGTTATCCATTCGGATGTTCATAAATGTTTTTTTGTTAATGTATGGTCGGACATTACTCCGTCACATATAGACGGTTTTTCAAAATTCTTTCAAAAATCGGTTTATACCGAAATGGTCCCATTTAAATTTCATATAGATCTGATGATAAGCTTTAAAAATAGACAACAGAACTCTTCAAAAAATGACCAACCGTCAACCGCGATTGCTGTCACGTTTTTAGTGCGCTTTGTTAGTATTGTTTGAAGTCGGTTCAATTATTTATTTACATTGTCAAACTCCCATCGCCAATAAATATATTTATTGAATATGAAGACCAGTTTTATTTAATAAAATAGAAAGGGATCATGTACAAGACAAAGCCTTATTGTCATCAATATTGTTAATTAAGTACCTAAATTTCTATCTCTTTGTCATTACTAGTTGTACATTATTATACAAAAATTCGCCAAAAACGTACCATATTAGCCCAAGATCCAAAAAGGCCACTATAGTTTTCTATTGCCCACCTCTACTCCAAGAAGTAAAATTAAAGCATTGTGATACCAACTACACATTCATACAAAGTTAATTTAGACACTATATCATCTGTCTACCCTTTTCCCAATTTTATTTGGGGTCGGCGCAGTATGTATGATTTTTCCATTCTACTCTGTCATGCGTCATCTCACTGTTTACTCCCTTCCTAGCCATATCCTCCCTCACGCAGTCCATCCACCTTTTCTTCGGTCTACCTCTTCTCTTGTATCCTTCAACTCCCATACCTACTCATATTTAGACACTATAATTAGAAATATATAGAAATTGACTCTTAAGATTTGTTTACATATTAAATTACAAGTGGAACTAATAAAACCTTTAAGAAAAGAGCTTACTCCTTTCTAATAGGCCGTTGCGAACGCGTTTGTGAGTCCTGAGTTGCAGACGTTCATGGGCGGCGATGGTCACTTTCCATCAGGTGACCCGTCTGCTCGTCCGCTCCCTCTAACATAAAAGCACGTTACAGTACCATATCCCACCAAAACTTTTATATTTTTATTATGTGTCAGGTGTGGACCACAAGCTCGTTGAAACTGGACTTGCACGACGTGACAGTGAAGCTGGAGCCGGAGCACGGTGTCTCTTCCCTGGCGTGTATCAACTTCATCAAGTCTCGCCTACACATCGAGACGTACTCCGACTTTGGCCAGGATATTGATCTGGTGTCGCAGGTGTGTTCACAACTCAAGTTTAAAATCATATACTATTTTATAAAGCTTAAATATTTATAGGCCCCTCCCATTTCACGCCACTTAGATCGATTTTGGGCTGCTCGCATCCAGAGAGGCCTATGTCCAGCAGTGGACTGCGATAATTTATTAGTATATTTTATCTAATCAGTAGTGTGGGGCGATCAGCTTTCGTATGGTGCAGGAGAAACACTCTTTTTCGGCAGCCACTCACAAATGGTCGATGAGATGAGACGTTTATTAACGGCAAAAATATTTGTTTATATGATTATTTTTGTCGACCGGATGGCGTAGTGGTTTGTTTAACGGACTGCTATTCCAAAGGTAGCGGGTTCGATTCCCGCTCAAGTCAAACATTTGTGTGGATGAACATTGAATATTTGATATGGTCTGGAGATTTCTATGTATAATATGTATGTATTTACAACAAAAAAAAGTATATATGTATTTGTCAGTTGTCTAGTAGCCATAGTACAAGCTCTGCTTAGTTTGGGACTAGATGGCGTTGTATGAACGTAGGCAGAATGTTTTTAAAACTAGACTTTATGACTGTTATCGTTTTCTAACCGGATAGTATATAGGGGATAGATGCAATCTAAATTAATCGTTATAAATAGGTAATCATCAGCCTATCGCAGTCCACTGACATAGGACATAGGCCTCTCCCATTGCACGCTACTTAGATCGATTTTGGGCTTCTCGCATCCAGCTCAATCATATAAACAAATAGGTAATAATCAAATCAAATCAAAGTTTTTGGCACACACAGTTGAAAGCCGAATTGAAATAAGACGATTTTATTTATGTGTTGAGTATTTCTGTGTACGTGTGCAGGAAATCTTGGTGAGCGATACTCGGTATGCGAAGGAGCCGGCCAACCGGCGCGGTAACGTGTTCAGCCACATCGTGCAGCCCATGCCGGAGCAGCGTCACAGCGTACAGGCCGAAGTGCACGCCAGGTACGCGCTCTCAGCTATAACTCTAGACTGAGCCCACAAGTACTCGAGGTGTAGATACTATAGCTAATTGTCTATGGTTTGCAGAATGCGGCGAGACTCCTCAGCGTACACAATACTGGTCAACAACATGCGTTTGATGGCGATCCTGGACTGGTGGGAGGCTGCCAACCAGTTCATTATGCAACCGCCACCTCCACCTGCTGATCCGGATCAAGCACATCTGTAAGTTTTTTAATTTATGACATACTACATACGCTACTGCATTTGTCTTTTTGTCTGTCAGCTAAATAAAATTGACTGTAAATCTACGTTTGATTTGTTTCTATTTTTATAAAGACAACTCACGCATTAGGAATATATCCTGTCTCGCCGGGGACTTTACGAACATACATGAAACGGACACAAAGAACACCCAGACTCAGAACAATAATTTGTGGATCACACAAGGTGACGTCCCATGTGGGGTTTGAACCCACAACACTCGCCGTAGTAGGAAGCGGCTTGGCGATCGCTTAAACCACTACGCTATCCGTGCAGTGCAGTGTTTGTGTGTATGTATGTTTACCCGGGCACACCGTCATCGCGGCGGTAAGACCCGTTATGGAGGATTGGCTCGAGAGGAGTCACGGGACCCTCTCATACCGACTGACGCAGATGATCACTGGGAAAGGATGTTTCGGGGATCACCTGTGTCTGATCCGCAAGGAGCCAACGCCTGAGTGCCACCACTGCGACGGCCAGACCGTGGACACGGCTCTCCACACGCTGGCAGAGTGCCCGGCGTGGGTTGAGCAGAGGCGAGACCTCGTGGCGGCCATCGGAGTGGGGGAGTTCACTCGCTCGATAGCCTGATTGCGACTAGGTGACTCAGGCGCCGGAGGTCGCAGAACGACCTCCGTCCTCCATAAGCGCAGGCCTGGGGGTGACAGGTGAGGCCATCTGTCACCCTAACAGAAGCAGGCCGGGGTGGCGGCGAGCGCGTTGCGAAGCACGCTCGCTTCCAGGGAGCACAGGGAACATGGGGTTCCCACACGGGGGGGGGGGTCGTCTACTCGTCTGTAGATGACCCTAGGTATGTCGGGGCACCAGAGCCTTCCTTTCTAGAGTATACCTGATTCCCCGGCTATTAGTACCCGAGACGGCGTACGGTTGTAGTCGGTTCGATTCCGACATGCCACCGACAGGTGGTATCCGAGGAGATTTCCGCACGGAAAAAAAAAAGTGCTTGATGTTTATGTTGTCTGATGTCTACCACAATTTGATTATGACCCTAGCCTATAAACAGAAAGTGCTCTAAGTTTTAAAGTTGAAATGTTCTTAAACACAACAAATAATAATGTATGTAGTAATATGTATTTTCGCGTCAATTAAGTACAAAATAAGCACGACACCTAGAGTTGGTTATAAAATTTGGGCCTGTTGATCTATTAGTTAGTTACCCTGACTGCTAAGCCGGAGGTCGTAGGTTCGATTTCCACCCAGGATAAATATTTGTGTGATGAGCACGAGCGTTTGTTCTGTGTCTAGGTATAATTAATCTTTAATATGTATGTATTTAGAAATATATAAGTATGTTTATCAGTAGTCTGGTTACCATAGTACAGGCTCTGCCTATTTTGGGATTAGACAGCCATGTGTGAGATTTGTGAGGTTATTATTATTATTATTAACTTTGAAAATTGTACGACACATATTTTCTGATTGGTGTTTGCAATCACGTGACTCAAAAATATGTTTTCACAATGGAAATTAAAATAAATTATTAATTACCTTTTCTTAATTTATATTATCTTAACCTTTGTATCAAGAGCTATTCAACTACATAGTTATTTCAATATGTTAAACATACTGTCAACTCGCGGATTGTAGTATGGTACGTTGTGTGTCTGGTGTATAGCGAGGAGGCGCTGTGCGCGGTCCGCATCGCGGCGAGCCCGCAGCCGCCGCAGACGGCGCAGTCGGAGCCCAGCATGGAGCTGAAGCTCAATGTCACAGACTCACAGCTCGTGCTCGTCGAGGACCCCTCCGTCTGGGACACCAACGCTGTCATACTCAGGGTGAGTTACGCACTCAAACCTTACAACTCTTGACTAAAACTTAATCGCGACTGTAACTCATGTAATAAATTGTCTGGACCAGAGATTTGTCTTACAGAGGAGCAATACTTTTATTATACACTAGCTAACCAAGCAAACGTTGTTTTGCCATATACAATGTTTCAAATATTTGGTCAAAAAAATTAATGTGGATGATGTTGTCCGATTCTCAGACCTACCCGATATGCACAAAAAATTTCACGAAAATCGATAGAGCCGTTTCGGAGGAGTTCAATTTCTAACACCGTGACACGAGAATTTTATGCATAAGATTATCATTCGGTCAGAAGACGGGTGGGGGAGGAGGGGTTTTAAAGATGGAATCTCATTGCAAATGTAATCGCATACCGAATGCAAAAAAAGTTTTTTTATTTTAAAGATATCTTAATTTTTTTTTCCTTAAATATTTATTTTCATTTCCTGGTTACAGAGCACAACAGTGATTACCTACCGTAACGCCAACTCCCATAAGCCGGTGTCGTGTGAGCTAAACGAGCTGGAGGTGTTCTCGTGCGTGCTCGGCCTCGAGGAGGAGACGGCGCTGTCCATCGTGGACCCCGCCGCGCTGCACGTGTCCATTGATGCCGACAGAATATTGCACGTTAGTATACATTAACGATAAACTGCACCTGTACTAGTCGTAGTATATACTGGTCCAAAGCCCTAAAAGGCAAAAAGATCAAAGGAACTAAAAGGTAAGTATGCAAGTTACTTATCGAGAACGTACGTATACGTATACGTACATACGTAACGTATCAGTGAAGGCGTTTCTCATCTCGTCTCCTGCACCTCCTATTTCGGCTTGCACAACCACGATGGACCTGTCAAGCTATAGGTGGTTGTCGAGCTTACCCTATTTCCCAAATCCAAAAGTAGATCACCTGAAATTACTAGCTGAGACCCGCGGTGTTACCGCGTTTGTTGTTATAACCGCGGGTAACACCGCGGGGCGAAGCTTGTCTAAAAAAAGTAGCCTAAGTTACTCCTTATGTCATCAGCTATCTGCCAGTGAAAGTCCCGTCGAAATCGGTCCAGCCTTTCCAGAGATTACCCGGTACAAACAGACAGACGGACAAGATTGTAAAAAATGTTATTTTGTACCGTGTAAACATACGCATATGCGTTTAGTAAAAAGCGGTTATTTTAATATTACAAACAGACACTCCAATTTTATTTATTTGCATAGATGTAAATCTCGATCCTAATAAATATCCGTACCAATAAATGTTATGACATTTGCCTTTTGAAGTACACAATATGACTGCACGGATGGCGGTCGCCACGCCGCTCACTACTACGCCGAGTGCTGTGGGTCCGATCCCCACATGGGACGACATTGTTTAACCCTAAAATTGTTGTGCTGAGTCTGGATGTTCTTTGTGTTCGTTTCCTGTATGTTTGTAAAGTCCCCCGCGACACAGGATTTATTCCTAGTGCGGGAGTAGTCTTTAAAAAAATAAAAAAATATCATACTCTGTTGTATTTAGGTGGCGATGAGTACGTTGAACCTTCGTTTGTCGTACCACGACATGCGCATGTTCGCTTCCATGTTGCAATCGTTGCCGGTGCAAGCGAGAGCGGCCTTGTCTGGTAAGTTGTGGTATTAAGTATTTGAACTTTGTAAACGTATTTAGGAGCGTATAGAAACAAAAGGACTTAGGAAGATATAATATGAACTTGTAAATTTACCATTATAAGCCATACATAACAAAGTCTAAAATTATGTAAAATTCAGAACTTTCCGGATATGTCCGTATATAAATAAATAAACGAACAGTACCTCATCATCTTCCTGCCATTAATGTCATGGTCACTAGCGTAAACAATTTGAGTGTTTGTTGTTGTTTTTCATACGGAGCGGTGGGGCTAAATGCATGTTTAAAATTATGAGTCTCAATAAATATTGTTGCAGGTAAATCGACGGTATCGGAAGTGGAGGAAGACGCGCCCGCCAACAGCGTGCACATGCACGCGCACATGTCGGGGCTGGCGGAGGGCGCGGGGGGCGGGGCGGGTGCGTCCGCGGGGGGCTGGATGTGCCGCCCGCGCTGGCTGCGCTCTGCGCCCGCGCCGCCCCCGCCCCTGCCGCCGCCCAGCGCCAGCATCTGGCCGCTCCGCGCCGTGCAGGTCCCTCGAATACTGTTTAATTGACAATATATGCTATTTATTATATTTAATTGGTTTACCACCATTGAGGCGTATTTTTTAGTTTTGACAAACTGTGATTTATTAAAAGCTAATAATATTTTCATGAGTAAATTACTTTAATCGGAGTATTTAACTAACGATATGTTTGCAGGTGTCTGCGGACTGCATCACTCTGTGCGTCATCGACGACTGCTTAGATTCAGATGTCCCATTGCTGGAAGTGTCTCTGAGCGAACTGCAAGTTGAACAAGTAAGACTTTATTAATAATATGCGTACACGAGATTGCACCTGTATTTATGCTTTTTACATAACAGCATGGTGCGCTGCTAAATAATTCTATAATACAATTTAAAAATATAAACTAATGCAAACAACTCGCTAGCCGTGCTGAATCCCATACGTACTTACCGGCTACTTTTTTTATATCACAGAGATTCAAAGTTTATGCAAATAATTTGATATTACAGACAATTAAAAACCAGATTAAATACGATATTTATACACTGTAATTGGTAACATGCAGGACCTACGCTGCGTCGAGGAATCTTTCGAGGACCCGATGCTGGTGAGCACGCCCAGCTCGGCGGGGGCGGGGGCGGCGCGCTCGTCGGGCGCGGGCGGGGGGAGGCTCGGCGCCACGCTCACCATCGACTACTACAACAGGACTCTGTCGGGCTGGGAGCCCGTCGTCGAGCCTTGGAGGTAACTGCGACCAAACAACCATAGCTATCTTTGGTTTTATGACTTCTATCGGCTTTCTCACGATATTCTTGCGAAAATAGGCCGAATTGTTCCTGTATCGCGCAAGTATAATTCTCGCCCTGTTTACTGTAAATAAAACTTCGGAACGTTAAATGTTTAGCCACTATAAGTTAATTATAAGCATCTAGCCTGATTGGAGAGTCCCCTCTTTATCTTAGGGGGTCATTACGTGTAGATGGCCCGAGGTATGTCGGGGCACCAGGGATTTCCTTTCTAGGGTACACCTGGTTCCCCGACGACTGGTACCTGAGACGGCGTGCGGTTTTAGTCGGTTCGAGTCCGACATTGCCACCGGTAAGTTGTATCCGAGGTGATTTCCGCACAGAAAAAAAAGGGGGTCATTACGTCTATGCCTATTTACATAAATATATATTATTCTATTGTAAAACAAACATTACTTCCTACACTTACCCTATTCTCGTAGATTTGAGACATCGTGGGAGTATACCTTGACCAGTGAACTGTCCCTCGGTCGCGTGCAAATGGAAATATCTTCCACTGAAGTACTGAATACTAACGTGACGTCATCACTTATCGAGCTCTGTCAGCTCGTGAGGGCCAACTGGACCGCAGACTATTATGCGCCACAGGTTTGTTCATAGCACACAGATATAATATAATATGAATATATATGTGTATTACTGGAAGTTTTGGTTCGATCAATACACTTAAACGTGCAATAAAGGTGAGGTTTATATATCCCCTGACCATGATGGATACAAATTGCAAAAATTGTGTTATGTCCATTCCCTCCCTTCCCATTATCATTAACTAGAAGTTTTACGTGCGGTTTGGGTACTGCTCGTCTTGTGAAGTCCATCATAGCGTGATATTTCAAGTCTGATTACCTTTAAAAAAAAATTATATAAAAATATTATTTTTTCATCCAACAGGCTTCAATTATAAGTGTGTAAACACTTCACCTATGTTGTAGATGAAATATATCAAGTTTAAAATGGTCCGTTTCATTTGTGCAGTCGTCAGGAACGCTGGAGCAGTCTCCGAAGGGAAGCCCGGCGGGTCACCGTCGCCGCTCGCCCTTCGTGCCCTACGCCCTGAGGAACCACACGGGACACAAGCTGTGGTTCACCACCCTCGTTACAACGTCCGATGTGTAAGTTAGCTTTATTATTTCGCACGTAGTTTTTAATGAAACTTCACTACCTACTACTTCACTACCTCAACTACCAATAATATGATGGTTAAATAATAGGAGTTGATATCATAGATCAGTAATAGATGTGTTAACGCTTTGTCAGTTTGAGCGAGCAGCAGAGCTGGTCGGGCCCGGACGACTCGTGGATGAGCGTGCGCGCGGGCGACACGGAGCCGTTCTCGTTCGGCGCGCGGCGCGGGCGCAGGAGAGGCGCGCCCGCGCCCGCCTCCGCGCACGCCGCCACGCTCAACCAGCTCGCGCTGCGCCTGGACGGCTGGAGCCCGCCCGACCCCGTCTGTGTCGACCGCGTCGGGGTCTACTTCCGGAACCTCACCCACATCGTGAGTACTCATCTATTTCATTCTTAGTTTTGCTTATTTTTTAAACCCGTACGTTTCAAACTAAAATGAAAAATTCGTAAATGTTTTTTTTTTCAAAATAATCGTTGTATTTCAGTGCGTATTGGGGGCTCGACTGGTTTTGGTTACGACAAGTGCTCTTTATAATGAAGTTAAAGTATTCATGAACTAGTCGATCATTCCTACGATTAATAATTAAATACCATCGTAACGTTTCTTATACGGTGTAATTTACTAGAAAAAATCGAACGTACTGTTAAAAAAAATAATACAATAAATGTTTGTGCACAGAAATCCGGTGGTGAAGCTCGCATCGTGTTCGAAGTGTCACTGGAAGGGTCGGCGCGCAAGTTGGTGACGGTGCGCTCGGCTCTGCAACTCGTGAACAAACTGCCGCACCCTGTAGAAGTTAGGATCGATGATGCCCCCTACATCGGTAAGTTTGTATCCAAGATTATAATTTGCCGTTAATTTCTTCGTTGTTACAAAGTCACATCTTACACGTTTTCTAATTTTTTTGTTATTTTAAAACCTTTTCAAAATGATTTTTTGTCTTTTTAACTATTATTTGTAGTGCATTAAGTTTCATCGCCTCATGAAGCTTCGTTAGGTGACAAGATAAGAAAAAAGTTCTAGTGATCTGTCTATTTGATTACAGATATTAGTATTTTTGGAATAGGTTAGGTTTCTCCCTCACGGTAGTGTCGTACTGCTATTATGGGACCATAACGCAGTGAGTAGACGGTACTGCTAGCCGTGGGGCGGTGACGTGCGGCGGCGGTGGCCGTAGGCGATATAGGGTGTGACTAAACATGTGTGTGTGCGAAGGCGGCGCGCCCGCGTCCCCGCTGGAGCGCGCGCTGGCGCACATGCACGCGGCGCAGCGCGTGCGCAGCACGTGCGCGGCGCTCGCCCGCACCCGCGCGCTGCACTCGCCCCCCGCCCGCCCCGCCGCGTCCGTCTGTCCGCTTCACCCTATATCTGCCGACTGCGGTACTCTTTCCATTACCACCTCCACGTACTGCATCACCACCGCCGCCTCACCCGTTCACCGCTTCTAGTTTACATTCCACGGTTAATCGACTACTTTTAGTTTCTTTACGAACGCATCCAAATGTAGCGAGACTCAGTACTTGTAGATACTGTGTAAATATATTGTACATACTGTTGTAGTATAAGAGATACCAACTAATTATAGCCTATAACTGTTAGTCATTTAATTTATATTCAATATAATAGTCTTCAGTTGTAACTAGATGTACTAGTTGTTTACTTAGTTATCGTCGACGTAATATCTAATAATGCTAGGTTTCGAGGATCGCCAAGGGTACAGAGTCGATGGAATTATTATTTATTAATAAATATAAAAATTTTCAGGAATAACAATAAAAAGAAATAAACAACATTTTATGTTAAAGTGTCTGTATTTGATAAATCTAATACAAATGTAATAATTTTTTTAATGTACAGGAGATGGATAGTTACCTCAAGCCTAGGTGGCAATATGTGACAATAATGTACCCAAAATAAAATGAAGGCGGATGATAATAAGATTACAAACAATCATAAAACCCTTATCATTGTTCCTACTAATTCAGAAAATCTGTTTTTTGTTAACTGAACTAGACTTACTTATTGAAAAAAGATATGTATAAACTAATCAAGTTTTAAAATAAAAATTAGTTCAGAAAGAAATAATTCATAAAATGAAATAGATACATCCGAAGATGATGTATTTATTGAATGTACGTTATGTATAATTGCATAAGTGCTTCGGAAAAATGCAAACATTCGAGAATACTGGGATTTAGTGCAATACAAATAATTGAGCGTGTCCGAGTTTGCGCTACACTATAATCTATGGTTTACTAATCGTTCAAAGTTGTAATCCGCCATGATAAACACCATTAGCTAAAATATACCTAAATCATAAAAATAATTGTGTGAGTGAAAGAAAACATTAAAAATAATATAGTACTTTTTGGCGAGCTTACAATAGTAAAGTGATGTACGTACGCAGCGAAGTGGCGCAGCACGAGCACGGGCGTGCGGTGCGCGCAAGTGGCGGCGGGCGCCACGTGGGCCGCGCCCATCGCCGCGCACGCGTCCGCGCTGTGGACGCGCCCGCTGCTGCGAGCCGCCGCGCACCACTCGCCCACGCCGCTCGACTGGCGCCACTCGCACTCCAAGCTGCTGCTGCACCACGAGTGCACGGCGCCGCCCGACCACATCTACAGGTACACCTCTGCATCTGTACACACGCGTAGTAAACACGCACGTTTTACATTTGCGTATTTTACGAGTTGACACTATGTTTAATATTTTCAAATAATGTAATTGAATAGAAATATTGATAGCCATCTATTGAAAACCTTAAATAATAGAAATAAAGAAAAAATAATTACTAGTTTATTATATTTTCCCTTGAAAAAAATTATTTCTTTTTTATCCGTGAGTCACGTGCCAATCAGGAAATGTGTCTTAATTGCACATTTTTAGAAATTCAATTAGCTTCTTATCTTACCTTTAGTTGGCGTGAAAAAACAAATAAGTACATATTTGGTAAGTAAGTGATTTGAATTTGTGACAAACGATTCAAGTTTTTTTCTTTATTATATTCTTCTAAATATAGAAATATTAAAATCTATATACCAATGCTAATTTTAAACCAATACCACCAGTACCAAACCAAAGTAAATTTTCATACAAAATATAAGTAATCTGTCAAACGATGACATCACGCGTAGATCCGTGACCATAATGCCGGGTTTTGTGGCATTTAAAACTATTCTTGAAAAGATGTCAACCCTCGGATTCTGTTCCCTATTGCCGCCAAGCGGCCTCCATGAGTATTAGACGCGACCCCGTATCGATAGTACAGTTCTCAACTGTATTTCACAAAATATTCGGAATTGTCAGTCCGTCTACTACATGATACTATACTGCACAGGTTCTGCTGCGTAATCATCAGGGAGCGTTTCCCGCCCGACCGAGGTATCGCCGGCCACACGCTGACCTTGGTGCCAGCTCTCAGGTTAGAGAACCTACTGCCGTTGGAACTGCAATTCAAAGCCAGCCCTGCCACACCCGGCTCTGGGATCGTCAGCGCTGCAGGAACTGTTCCACCCGGTGACACAAGACCATTCCATGAGGTAATTATTATTATTATAGTATATTGTACTATATATATACGTATTCAGTTATAAATAAGATTAGTTCATCCGTTTATTTTCACTATTACTGTCACGATATACAAGTCAGGGTACAGAAAACTCACTCCGCAAATTCATTTAAATATATGGTTACTCTTGTAATGGTTGTCTTAATTTTAAGTAGGGTGAGTATCGAGCTATAGGCTTTAGACGTTTAATAGTGGGCCGGCGCGCGCCAGACTACATCATTTGGCCCAACAAGCTGAAGCCGCCGCAATACCTAAAGTGAGAAGTGAGCCGATCGCAGTACTAAGATAAAAAGAAAACTGGCTTAACTAGTTGTTTTTGACCTCACTTGGCAACATTCGCCTTAAGAACCAATTGGACCAATTCAAAGGTTCCAAGCTTTCGTACGTGGCAATAATTTCTTAGAACGTGATAGGTCAAGAGGCGGGGCTAGATCTGCGTTACTATTTTATTAACGCGAATGGACTTTCGTTGAAAAAATAAATAAAATATATAGTTAATAATTAAACCAACATAACAATCTTGTTTAATTGAGAAATTATTGTTGAAGGTAAATGTAGAAGAGGGTGTAGAACTGAGCGTGAAATTGGAAGGATTCGGATGGTCAACGGCTTTGAGCGTGTGTGGTTCCGGTGGCAGCAGTAGTACGGCGGTGGGAGGATCCGGCAATGGGTCCTTCAGTGCCAGGCTAAAACTCCGAGACTCCAGGTCGAGAAGACTGTACCTCAACGCCAGAGTGACTATTAAAAAGACTGACGGTATCAAGGTGAGCAAGCGATTCTTTTTATTTTAAACTACCCATTTTGTATAATTTAAACACATAGGTACTTAAAGTTGTACAGTAGTCAGGTTCACTTGAACAGGAGATAAGCATGTGAGTCATCGTATGTCGTGACTGGCAGGTGTCGGTGTCTGCGGCGTACTGGCTGGTGAACCGCACGGGTCTGCCGCTGGTGTTCCGCGCGGAGGGCGGCGCGGCGGAGGCGGCGGGGCAGTTCGCCGAACACGAGCTGGCGCGCATGGTGCAGCCGCTGCTCTTCTCTTTCGCCGAGGCCGACGGCGGGCCCACGCTGTCCGCCCGCCTCGGCAGCGGTCTACCCGGAAACCCTGAGGCACTTACATCTTTATACATATTTGCTATATTTTATATAAACTTATACAAACCTAATGATATTAATATATGAATGCTTGTTCGGATAGTGGTGTTCGCCATTCGGTCTGGGCGTGGGAGTGGGCGTGAAGAAGTTGGAAGTACGCGGCGACGCGGAGTCGGGCACGGGTGAGCGCGTGTACGCAGTAGGCGTGCGCGTGCGGGCGGGCCGCGGCCGGTACCGACACACCAACATCGCTACCTTCACGCCGCGATACCAGCTGCACAACAACACCAGGCACCATCTGCAGTTCGCGCAGAAGTGCTGCGCCACTACACTTGTTAGTTCAACACTGTTTTAATTTACATAATTAGGTTACAAATATGATAACATTTTCAAATTATCCTGGTATATTACACAGTTATATAGTCTAAACCAAGTATCGCTTGTCCTTTATGGATTCTATATTAATACTAATTATATGAGCCACACAGTTGCAACTTAATTCGTTCATGCTGTCATGAAGAAAATTATGCACATTCCAGGAGGTTGGATTGGCCGCGCAATTCCGGGAACCGTTTAGTAATGGTGCGGGTTGGCACGGAACAATAAGTTCTATAGCAATACGTATAAGATCGAAGATAGATTGTCGCGCGATTATCTTGCTTACATTCGAAACGAATTTGTATTTCTCAGAAGCGGACGGTTCTCGTAGGGATTGGAATTTGCTAGAATGATCTTTTACGAGTATTATAAATACGGATACGTCGTCTTTGGAGTTAGTTCAGTTCGAGCTACATTGCGATAAACATCGAAGCGATTGAAGTGTATAGAAGTGTGACCCAGCGACCTCGGTGATCATTCTGGACTATTCTTTAGTATTGTGTGAACGTCTTAAAGTGTAGTAATAATAAAGTCACTTTAGTCGTCAAAATGCTTATTATTCCGAATCAACTAATCCGAACACGTAACAATACTTTGAATTAGACAGCGTTCATATTCGACTGTCAAAATGTATCAATCATATCAATAAACGATAGTATTAATATACCTCTCTTCTGTCAATGTAGTCGTTTAAATTTATGTCTTGAGTTTACTGATTTATCCTTTTCTATCCTAAATTAAGAAAAAACAATGTTTGTATTTACTGTAGATACTGTAATCGTGTAAGCACTGAAAACATGTGTGGTAAGCCATTTTTAAAAATATGCGTTCTTATGTGTGTTAGAACGACCCGGGCGCGATCGCGACGCACGTGTCGGCGGTGGCGGGCTGCTACCTGCCGTGGCACTGGGCGCGCTGGGAGCGCGAGCAGCTGCTGTGCGTGCGCGTGCTGGCGCCCTCGCCCAGCCTCGCGCCGCTCACGGCCTGGTCCGGCGGCTTCCGCGTCGACTCCACGCGCAGCCTGCACGTGGCCTGCAGGTGCGCACCACCTCTTTAGCTCTTTGAAATGCTTTACTTGCGACATGTACTTGTCTTTAGTATAATTGTACGACTCTCCTCACTTCGTTTTGATTTGTTAAAGTTATTTATATATAAAAAAAGTGTATTGTTTTGTACACTGCCATAAAAGTGTTATATAAATAGTTATACTACGATGAATATTGGAATTTGATTAAAAACACAAGTAAAATGAAAAATAAAAACAAATATTCATAGTGAAATGACAAAAAAGGTAAATTTCTTTATATAAGGGAGAATGATTTTGTATGTATTTTAAAATATCTTTATATTAAAGAAGAACCGCAAAGAAGAACCGCAATGATTTGTAAGAAATGTAAATTTCGGTTACATGTTCAGTAATCAAATGTGTAATTTAGTTCAAAGTTTTAGATATATATATGTTGGCTACCAGGGAGTCGGGAGGCGGGTACCAGCTGATCCGAGTAGAAGTGGTGTGTCAGGGAGCGACCATGTTCGTGGTGCTGACGGACGCGGAGTGCGCGCCCCCGCCCCTCCGCATCGACAACTACTCGCCCGTGTCTATCATGTTCCATCAGGTAACGTGTTGTGACAATGCTTTATTGATGTATTATTACTTATTGTTTATTGTAACATTTGGGGGAATGATTTGCTTTAGTCACAGCGATTTCACCTGTGATTGTATTTTGGTGATAGATGTTTTTTTAGATTTAGACTTTTTCCGAGTGGTTTTGTAAATTAGTCTAAGATGTGGTTAAATGATTTATCACAGGTGATTGTGATTTTATTCTATCACTAATTTTGTAAGCAAGTTTAAAAATTGGACGTCAGATTTTAGATTTTCATTATTTTTTTATTTTTTGCTCAACAAATTTGTGGAATTAATTATACTACCTTGGAAATTGAAGTAAAGTCGGACCTCGAAGGCCGTTAACACGCTTGTGGCTCCTGAGTTGCAAGGTGATCCGTCTGCTCGTCTGTCCCTCTCATATCATAAAAAATGTTATTAGTGTAAGGCGCTTTATGTTTTATAATTGTTTTAATTAATGAAAAATAATATTTTTATTTTAGTTTTGATAGAAAGGTTATAGATATTTCTCGTATTTCTACATCATCGTCGACTGGGAGAGAATGCCTCGTGGCAGTAAGACCGCCTTTGTAAAAGTGAATTAAGTTTAAAAAAATAAAAAAAATACATATGTATTCGAAATCTATAATCTTAATTTAAACGTATAATTCAAGGAAATCTGTATCTAATCTTTCGCAGTATATCTTTTTATGGGAAGAGAAAGTGTTGTAAAAAGCTAATAATGTAAGTGGTCGGTCGCTCAGGTGGGGTGCGGCGAGGAGTGCGTGGTGGGCGCGCACGCTCGCGCGCGCTGGGCTCCGGCCGAGCCCGAGGGCGCGCCGGCGCTGGCCCTGCGCGCGCCCGGCGGCCCGCGCACCACGCTGCCGCTCGACCAGCTGCCCGCCACGCACCACCTGCTCTACCAGAACTTCATCTACGTCGCCTTCACCGCCACGCACGCGCACGCGCACACCGGGTAACCTATACAACAATACTTCACATTCTAACGTTCAATCGATTATAACTAATTACCTATTTATTTAAATTTAAATTACTATATTTATCAAAAAATCTTTTTTTGTTGAAACAACATTCGTATTTTTTCATAGACTTTTCTTCTTACCTCCATTATCTCTTAATGTTCCCAATTTAAATGCCCGTTCGACAAGCTCAGGTTAACGTTAATATGACCAAATTATAATTGGCAAAATGTGAATATTTAAAGCTCCGTATAGTAAGAGATCCGGCTGCAGAATCAATGCACTCATCGAGTATGTGCTAAAAACCCATTGTTTTTACGCATATTTATAACTAGCTGAGACCCGCGGTGTTACCCGCGTTTGTTGTTATAACCGCGAGCAACGCCGCGAAGCGAAGCTAGTCAAAAAATAGTAGCCTAAGTTACTCCTTTTGTCATCAGCTATCTGCCAGTGAAAGTCCCGTCGAAATCAGTCCATCCAGAGATTACCCGGAACAAACAGACAGACAAAAATTAAAAAAAATGATATTTTGGCATATGTACCGTGTAAACATACATATGCATTTAGTAAAAATCGGTTATTATAATATTACAAACAGACACTCCAACTTTATATATTTGTATAGATTAGGAGATTATATATCTACCAGGTTGCCTATCAAAAGGTGGCCGCTAGTATTTTTAATTAAATTTTGGTTAATAGATCTTTTGGAAAATATTTCGTTCACTTTTTTTTTAAATAAAATAAAGATTAAAATGCGTAAAAACTGGGTTTTTTGCACGTACTAATACCCCCTCTGGGATACAGATGTGTGTTATTGCGTATGTTCTACTATTTAGTTTATATTCGTCAGCAGGGACAACAGCATACAATCTTCCACAACATCACCAGACGACAGCGTGCTGGTACTCGAAGTACCGCTCGGCAGTCCGCGCGTCGTGCTCGGCAGAAAACGATATGGAGACAGGTATGCACGGATGGCATAGTGGTTTAAGCGATCACCTCGCCACTTTTTACTGCGTCCAGTGTTGTGGGTCCGATCCTCACATGGGACATCTACAAATTGTTGTCCTGAATCTGGGTGTTTTTTGTTTATGTTTACTGTATGGTTGTAAAGTCCCCGCACACAGGATATATCTCTAGTGCGGGAGTTGTCTAAAAAAACTAAGGGTATGCATTTACAAGTTCCCTCTGTTTCTGTTGGTGAGTAAAAATATAGGGACTACATCAGTCAATATATTAATTAGGTGTTTACCTATGAAATTGCCGTTTTGTATGCAATAAGTGAAAGTACTAATTTTTCAAACTTTTTTTATTTCTGTTATTCGAAGTAATCACCCATGCAATCGAAGCATCTTTGCCAACGCATTGGCAGTTTATTGATGCCCTTCTTGTAAAAATCAGCAGGACGGAAGACAACAAACTCTTCAAAGGCATTTTGTACTGCCTCTCGGGAATTGAATTTTTTACCCACTAAAAAGTTGTCTAAATTTTGGAAAAAGTAATAGTCGGTAGGTGCAAGGTCTGGTGAGTATGGCGGATGAGGGAGAGCTTCCAACCCCAGCTCTTGCAGCTTGGAGACTGTCTGTTGCGCAGTATGGGGTCGCGCGTTGTCGTGAAGGAGCAGTGGGGACGACCGGTTGACCAAAGCTGGTTGCAGATGTGACCACCAGACCTTGCACCTACCGACTATTACTTTTTCCAAAACGGCAATTTCATAGGTAAAGACCTATTATACTAGCTTGTACGTAAATAGTCAATTGTCAACCCCCAATCACCAGTGATTACAATAATTTCGATATCCACATATTTTACTTAGACAGAGCCTGTTGGTCTACTGGATCCTGCCTGCTAAGACAAAGGTCGCGCGTTCGATTCCCATCCAGGACTCTCGTTGATGAGCACGACCAATATTATTGGTCTGTGTATGTGTGTAGTTTATCTAATATGTATGAAAAATGATTGCTGTCATGACACACTGGCACTCGTAACTGATATTTAGTTTTTATCATCATCATCACATCAACAGCCTTTAACAGTCCACTGCTTCACATAAGAGAAACGAAAATAAAAAATTAACAAGCACAAAAGAAAACAAAAGCCTGAAAAAGACTATTGTCATGCAAGAGGTTGACAGTTAAAAAGAAAAAAATAGTCCACTGCTGGACATAGGCCTCTCCTTAGAAATGAGGTTTTGGCCTACTATACCACGCTGGCCAGATGGGTTGGTATAGGTTAGGTTTCTGTTGCTGGACGAGGCGGGCAAATTGTTTGAGAGGGTTCTTTCTGCCCGCATCGTCCGGCACCTCTGCGAGGTGGGCCCCGATCTGTCGGACGCCCAATTTGGTTTTCGGGCGGGGCGTTCGACAGTCGACGCTGTGTTGCGCCTGAGGGCCGTGACCGAAGAGGCCGTGAGCTGTGGCGGCGTGCTGTTGGCGGTGTCATTAGACATCGCCAACGCATTCAATAGTCTGCCATTCAGCTGCATCAGGGAAGCACTCCACTATCATGGGGTGCCAAAGTACCTGAGGCGGCTAGTGGCAGACTATTTAGAGGAGCGTACCGTCGTGTACGAGGACCGAGAAGGTAATCTGAGGTGTCGGCCCATGTCGTGCGGTGTTCCACAGGGGTCTGTTCTTGGACCCCTCTTGTGGAACATAGGGTACGACTGGGCCCTTCGCGCCGATTTCCCCCCCGGGCTGGGTGTAATCTGTTACGCAGACGATACCCTCGTGACAGCCCGGGGGGCAAACTTCCAAGAGGCGGCGCGCCTGGCCACAGGGGAAGTCTCCCTGGTGGTCGGGCGCATTGAGGCGCTGGGCTTACGGGTGGCCCTAGATAAGACGGAGGCCCTGTTATTTCATGGGCCCCGTCGTGGTCCACCCCCTGGCACCTCAATAGTGGTCAACTCGGTCCTCGTACCGGTTCGGGCCCAGATGAAATATCTGGGCCTGATCCTCGACGGGAGGTGGCTCTTCGACGAGCACTTCCGACAGCTTGCTCCAAAGCTGGTCGGCGCTGCGTCTGCCCTAGGGCGACTTTTGCCCAATATGGGTGGACCCAGCGTCGCGACAAGACGGCTGTACACGGGGGTTGTCCGGTCAATGGCACTGTACGGTGCACCGGTGTGGGCGGCGGCTCTGACCGCCCAGAATAGGGTACGCCTCTGGCGCCCTCAGAGGGTAATCGGTCAGAGCCATACGCGGTTACCGCACCGTTTCGACGGAGGTGGCGTGCGCGTTGGCCAGAACTCCCCCGTGGGATTTGGAGGCGGAAGTGCTCGCCGAAGTTTATCGGCGAGTGGCTGACTACCGGGCGAAGAGCGGATTTCGCCCTCCGCCCGAGGATGTGCGCGAGTGGCGCGAAGCCGCTCGCCGAGCCACGATGGCTCGTTGGTCGTTCCGGCTGGAGACTCCACGCGCTGGCTTCGCCGCCGTGGAGGCTCTCCAGCCGGTCATCGCCGAGTGGGCAGGGCGGCAGCACGGGACCCTTTCCTTCCGGCTGACGCAGGTGCTTTCCGGGCACGGTTGCTTCGGAAAGTACCTGCACTCGGTCGCTAGGAGGGAACTGAGTCCCGCCTGCCACCACTGCGACTGCAGTGAGGACTCGGCCCAGCACACGCTGGCGGTCTGCCCCGCATGGGCGGCGCAGCGCCGGGCCCTCACTGCAGTCATCGGAGTGGATCTCTCGCTACCGGCCGTAGTACGCTCCATGGCCGGTAGCGACAGTTGTTTTACCGCGGTCGCAACCTTCTGCGAGGTAGTAATCTCGCGGAAGGAGGCGGCGGAGAGGGCCCGGGAGGACGACCTCCACTCGGACCCGATCCGCCGCCGGCGAACCGGGCGGCGGAGGCCCGCCTACCACAGCCTCATGCCGCCCTGAGTGTGGCCGCGGGTGGACGGGGTGGGTTTCCCCTCCACCCGCATTAGTTTGGCCAGCCGCGAGGGGGCGGCGTCCGCGTGTGCCGGACGTCGCCTAAAGAGAGGAACAAAAACATTGAGACGGAGCCCGCACCAGGAGCGGGCTGGCGCTAGGAGGGGTCCGGATGTCTTAACAACAGCTGTTCCCGGATCCCTCCTGTTACAGGCGCAGAGTGGCACACCGTGTGGTTTTAGTCGGTCCGAGTCCGACACACCACCCCGCCGCAAACCCCGGAGGGGTGACGGTCCGAGGGGATTTCCACACGTTAAAAAAAAAAAAAAAAAAAAAGGTTAGGTTTCTGTAGAAGCGGGCCGGCGCTAGGAGGGGTCCGGATGTCTTAATAACAGCTGTTCCCGGATCCCTCCTATTACAGGCGCAGAGTGGCACACCGTGTGGTTTTAGTCGGTCCGAGTCCGACACACCACCCCGCCGCAAACCCCGGAGGGGTGACGGTCCGAGGGGATTTCCACACGTTAAAAAAAAAAAAGGTTAGGTTTCTGTCAAGTTTTCCTTCTCTCTGCAGTGCTTTTGTTCTGCTTAGTTTTTGTCCTTAGTCGGCTCTTACGACACCCACGGGATGAATAGGGGGGAGGGGGGGACACGCTGTATTCTTAATCCGTTACTACACGGACCTGTTTTTTTTTAATCTTAATTTATTTTGGGGTTTTTATCCAGTAGGGATATTTCAACCCCATCTTATAGTTTCCATTCCCCCATCTCAGAGTTTTTAATTAGCAGGTATAGGTTGATATTCCATTGGTTGGTTAGTCTGGTGATATAACCTGATATTTGATGTCCCTTTGTATATAGCGCCCGATGAGATGGCTGCCGGGTTCATTATATTTCGTGTTTTTATTTAGATCTCAATTATGGCGTCGCGGCCCTAATGATCAACTCATACACGAAGGAAGCTCACCGCCCCAACCAACAGATGCTTTACTTTCGGATGACGCTCCACTTTCTCCACACGCCATGGTAAATATATAACAATTTATAAAATATTAAAATAGGTAAGGCAATAAATCTCTTAGTAACACGTCGTATCGTAGGTGTTGGACATCGAAGACGCAGCTCCTCGGCCTGGCCGTGCGTCAGCACTCGTGCTGAGGCGCGCCGACCCGCGGCGGGCCTCCACGCAGGCCTGGCGCCTGATCCCGCCGGGCCGCATGGCGTGTGCGCACAACAACCTGTGCGTGCAGCCCGACGGGCTCTCTCTCATGGCACTCACACCGGGTACGTATACACTACTAGTACACATTTATACAATTTGAAACAAAAATATTATTTTGGTAGTTAGTGCAATATTTATGTGTAATCCTAAATTAGTCAGCCTTCCGTGTTTTATACATCTCTTACTCATTTTATAGGAACACGAGTGGTGCTCGGTCTGCCAGCGTCCGGGCGATCAGGCTGGAGCCGGGGCTCACCCGTGCCAGCCGAGCAAGCGGTGTCGTGGCACACGCTGCGGCCAGGCTCCGGGCGGCTAGAGGTGACGCTCACCGCTGATGGACCCACCAGACTTGTTAAAATACACGACCTCAAAGATCCTGTAAGTTGACACATGTCTTGAATACATGTTTTCATTTAAACAGTTCTTTGATGTAACTGACTATGCCATTGCTTTGAGTGTACTTAAGCTTTATAGGTATATTTGTAAAGGTTTTAAGTATGATTTAAATTTTATTCTATTGCCTTACTTTTTAACCGACTTCAAAAAAAGGAGGAGGTTCTCAATTCGACTGTATTTTTTTTTTTTTTTTTTTTTGTATATTTGTTACGCGATTACTCCGGCAATTATAAACCGATTTGAATAATTCTTTTTTTATTTGGTAGGTCATACGTCAGAGGTGGTCCCAGTGTCACCAGGTCAGGATCTGATGATGGGATCCTGGGGAAATCGAGGGAAACCCTCAAATTTTGTAGGCAAATACACTGTTTATCAGAAATTATCTTAATCTATGTAGATTTTTGCATCTAATGGTCACCATCTGATGTTGCTGAGCTGATGATGAAGCTGATGATGAATGGTTTAGGAGTATGGGATCTCTGTAACAAAATTATGTAATACCATCGAATTTGAATGTTTTTGAGTCTAATTAATAAGGACTCCGATCCTATGTGATATTCAGGGTCTGATGATGGAGACGGTAAATAGCCATGGGAACTCTGTAATAAAATAAAGCAATTCCGCCGTGTTTGTGCTCATTTGATTCGTCTCGACTAGGAGCTTCATGCTAGTCGATTTTTAACCAACATCAAAAAAGGAGGGTTTTTGATTCGACAGTATGTTTTCTTTTTAACCGACTTCTAAAACACAAAAGAGGAGGTTCTCAATTCGTCTGTATTTTTTTGTTTTTATGTATGTTTGTTACGCGATTTCTCCGTCAATTGTGGACCGATTTTCAAAATTCTTTTTGTAATCGAAAGGGTATGCTCCCGAATTGGTCCCATTACCACCAATTCAGGATCTGATGATGGGATCCTAGAGAAATCGAGGGAAACCCTCACAATTATTGGGAATTTGACAGCCCCGACAACGTGTTTTAGCAACGAGTATTTCTTTAAAACCATGGCAACCGTCAGAGACTGCGCGATGTGATGCGCAGAGAACTTGCAGTATTTATGTCACCACAGTAATTTTCGTTGTATTAATAAGAAGAAAAGGTTGAAATTTTGTATTTTATCTTGTTAAAATAATTCGGATAGACGTTTTGTTGCTATGGATGGCATCGCATTTCGTTTGTAAGTAATTTTATACTTAATTTATTAAAATAGTTCTGGAAAAAACTCTTAAATTTTGTGTGGGTCAACTAGGTTAATTTCTAACATACCAGTATTAACCCTTCTAGTTGGAACTCCTATAAAATATTGAGCATATTTGTTGAGTAGTCTCACTAACGCTTCCCTATCTTCACCTTCGAGGTCAGTGTCAATTGAATTGGAAGTTATTTTGTTCGGTTGCAACTCACAAGAATTTGACTGTTTCTTAGAAAAGAATTTAAGCTGATCTTGATCAGTTTGGACGCCAATGTAGGAGAGGCCTATGTCCAGCAGTAATTTAATATAATATTTAATATAATCTAACAAACTACAGTTTGTTACTATACATTACGGTACGTAGTGTTTTAATATCGTACTTATCTACTCATTACAAACATATCCTACACTAAAAATGGTAAAATAAACCCTTTTAAAAAAAAAGTTGAACCGACTTCAAAAAAACACCGACAAAGAGCACTAAAAATTAAAAAATAATTACAAATCTAAGTAAAAAACTATAATAAGTACCCTCAATGTAACAGGTAACATTATAATACCAATAGTCCCTTCTAGTCTGTTTGAAGTCGGTGCCAAGCTCGATGCACAATAAGTACCTAATACTGGTCTATGTCAGCTTTATATTAGCACAATGAAAAATTAAGAATTCAAAATAATTCTTATGAAACATCGAAGATTTTGTTAATTAATAACGACCAACCAGATCAATTACGTGCGCAAACGTATCAACTCCTTATTAAAGCATTCAAAATAATAATATAATTGGAGATGTGCGTCCACTTTAGCTCGTTCAACATGTTTTGCGCAGCATGAAGACTGTTGCAGCTGCCGCGCTACATTCTATCAAGCACCTATTTGGCTTGGCACCGACTTCAAACCGACTAGAAGGGACTATTGGTATTATAATGTTACCTGTTACATTGAGGGTACTTATTATAGTTTTTTACTTAGATTTGTAATTATTTTTTAATTTTTAGTGCTCTTTGTCGGTGTTTTTTGAAGTCGGTTCAACTTTTTTTTTAAAAGGGTTTTTACTTATATTTACACAGATTAAACAAAAATATGTTGGTACCGAATTTGTAGACCACGTGACTTGTATTGGAACTGCCACTTTCTGCACCGTTTCAAAGTCTGATAATAATTGTAAACTATTCTTTTCATTATGATTTTATATATAAACCTGCTAACATTACTTATATACTGGTGATTAACACAGTATAATTACAAATTATACTGTGTTAATCACCAAGCATAATCAAGCATAATCAGTTTTATTAGTTAATGATATATTCATTCAAATACTATAATTTTCCTTATTTCATAAAAACAGTAAAAAATTTAATCACAAATGACTATGGCTCAATAAATAATGGATGAACGGTTCAGGAGTCCGGTTGGATCGAGGGCGGCGAGGAGGAGGACAAGGGCGAGGAGGCCGCGTGGCGGCGCGAGTGGGGCGTGCGCGTGTCGCTGGCGGGGCTGTCCGTGTCGCTCGTGTCCAAGGCGCCGCCCGCCGAGCTGGTGCACGCGCTCTTCGACGGCGTGCTGCTGGAGCTCGCGCTCGGGCCCAGCCAGCTCGCGCTCGCGCTCTGCGTCACGCACATGCAGTGGGACAACCAGGTACTCTTCCTTACCTAGCTGTAGTCACTTACATATCCCCTGAATAATAACTTGATGGTCATGTTCTAGTGGTTTCCCCAATCGTATAATAATCTCTTTGAACTACTGCAGTTCCACTTTTGCATCACTTCTATTCTAGCTCCCTCGACCTATCCGTTTACGGTAGTTCAATTTACCTTTTTTTTTTATCTGAAAACGATTATATACCATATCCAAAACCTGTTTTTAATGTATACATTGCGCTTACCTCGAATAAAATCGAAAAAGGTGCTAATGTAGTGATGTTACAGTATCATCATCAGCCTATCGCAGTCCACTGCTGGACATAGGTCTCTCCCATTGACCGCCACTTAGATCGATTTTGTTACTGTATACCTAGCTTAAACTAATAAGGTAACAAAGGGGAAAATTTCAATTTTCATCTTGCCTGTATTAGGTATTTATTAAAAAACCTCTAAACCATTAAGAAAAGACTGTATCTCAAATGAGCCAAACTCCTGAGTTGTCACTTTCATCATGTAACTCGTCTACTCGCTTGCCCCAAGGTCGTATCTGTGTAGTAATAGAACCGTTTCGTGTTTACCAGTTGCTGGGCACCCCGAGCCCAGTGCTGCTGTACTGCCTGCCGGCGCGGGGCGGCGGGAGCGGGGGCGGTCCACTACCAGCGCTGCACGCCGCTCTGGAGCTGCAGCAGGCGCCCACCAAGCGCTACAACGCTTACTTCTTCCGGCACCTCGTCGTGGCGCTCCGCCCGCTTGCCATCAGGCTCGAGGAGAGGTACGACAAATCATTATTTTAAACTAACGAAGACTAGCTTTTGCCCGCGGCTCCGCTCGCGTGTGTGTTATCGCAGTAAAAAGTCTATGCTCTTCCTCAAGAATCAAAGTAACTCAACACCAAATTTAATCTAAATCGGTTCAGCGATTTAAGGGTGAAGAGGAACAGACAGACAGACAGACTTTCAAGTATAACAGTTAGCGGTATGCCTATAACTAGGATGAAACAAATAAAGTTAGAGAATAAAAGTACGGTAGAAAGTCTGTAATTTACCAGAACACTGTTGCTATTAAGTCTTTCGATAACACCCGTGATTGCCGTAACTTCATTTCGTTACGAAACTAATGGTAATTTAAGTTAATGAAAGTTTTTTAAGAAGAAAAGCTTATGAGAAGTGGTATTGTTGTTCAATAGGTTAATACTCCAGCTGTGGGCGTGGGCGTGGCGAGGCGAAGCGGAGCTCCGCGAGCAGCCCGACGAGGCGGATTATGAAACGCGGCGAATGCTCGCAGAGCTAACCGCCCTGCACGCCACGAGATACTACTTCGCACTCATCAAGATCATACCCAGCCAGGTAAATTCTTACAGCAGACCCAACCAGTATGTACTACTTTAGTTGGCTTTTTATTAAATATATGGTTGTGAAGTTTAATCGAAATATTGTTATGAAATACAAAGAGATAAGCGAGTCGTTATTTATTATGAATAAGAATGTCCTCTAACAGTGGTAACACGACACCTGAAAGTGTAAACTGTGACTAAAGTATTGGTGTTTGCACTCGTAGAAAAATAATTTATACTATTAGGGAATCACACTTTAGTATAATTTATATGTTACAGTCAAATCTCTTGACATTCCAAACAAGTTTGGTCTGAACAGGTTCATAAGTACAATATTTGTCGGAAATATAAAAATTGTTGTCCGTGTAGTGACGGATTAAGAATACGGAATGTCACTACCCCAATTGATCGTAAGAGTCTACTAAGGGCGCAAAACAACGCAGGACACCAGCACTGCCAAAAGAAAGAAAACTTGACACAAACCCTATACCAACCCGTCTGGCCAGCGTGCTATAGTAGACCAAAACCTCCTTTCTAAGGAGAGGCCATGTCCAGCGGTGGACTATTAAAGGCTGTTAATGTGATGTTGATGTTGATAAAAATTGTAACTTCGAAGCTAAACCTAATTAAGAGTCCTCTGATTGATTAAGAGGTTCGAATGCAACAAATATAGTGTATACTACGTACGCGTTTACGTGCGCGTAAACGTCTCCCCCGAGAATAGTACTTTTTCTGGATGAATGGTACACAGTACACACTCACCACGACGTCTGTGTTGATTGCCTATATGCTAATATTTAACACTTATGTATACTTTATACAAAACACAATCTGTGCAGCCTTTGTTCTTGTTGTGAAATTGTGCTTTTTTTTATTTTCACTGCGCTCAGCTTTTGGCGAGCAAAAAGGTCAGAATCGCTGTCTATATGTCATATTATCACGTCGTCACGCTTCTCATGATTGTAATTACACAATACACTTTAGTGGCACAGGTTACACCCATCACCAAACTACTTTTTCGAATAATATGGTATTAGATAGTTTGTATATACGAATTAAATAATTGGTATATTTGTATATATGTTTTCACTTTCACACCGATAATCTTGGTAATCGTCTACGATGAAGTAGATTTGAGGCCCCTCATCATCACATACTTCCCGTTTTTGCAATTTTATATGGGGTCGTTTTGTTGGTGTTTTTTGGTTGGCCATCTACCCCTAAGCCAACTCTCCGTGTCTCCGCAATCCACCGTCTGTAAACATTTCCAATGTATTCGTTTATAGACGGGACGAAAGGAGGAACGTAAATTGGGTTACGGAGAAAGCATAGAATGAGGAAGTTAGGTAAGGGATAGCTCAAGTCAAGCTCAAGAAATGGAAACGGGTCCTGAGACTGCAGAAGGCCAAAGAGACCAGGACCGCGTAGGTGTGTCCATCCTTTTGGAGAGACCACTAGGATACGAACATCAACGGACAAAAAAAGCCTGTACCATTTAAAAAAAAGAGTATTTTGCGAAAACATAAAAATCGTCATCTTCCCTTTATCGCTTGGATTTTTTAGATTATTATAAATAAAGCAACGATTTATAAGACATGATTTTGTTTCAACATGTCAATGGTTAATCTATATGTGCTCTAACAGATCCGTCTGTCAATGTGCACGGCGAACAAATTGGAAGGCTCCCTGAGCGGGCTCAAGCGGCGGTTAGGTCTGACGTTCATCAAGTTCGAGGATGCTGCCGTGGAGCTGGAACCGTTCGTGCGAGCGCACGTGTTCGACACAGCTTCCTATCTCGGACGACAAATGTTGCAGCACTTCAAAGATGTGAGTTAATCATTTAATTAAAATATTCTTCTTTCATTTCTTCAAATGTTTGTTTGATTCATTAATGTAATGTGTTATTTTTGACTTACGGCTTTTGCTGCAGTCGAGCCGCCGAGTGTTGTGGGTTCGAACCCCCTATGGGACGACACTTTGTGTCCGTTTCATGTATGTTTGTAAAGTCCGACACAGGAATAAATTTCTAATGCGGGAATTCTATTTTAAAACATTTTTTTTTTGTTAAAGTAAGACAAATATTTTCAAAATACAAATAAACAAATTACTGATAAACTAAAACTCAATTCAACTCGAACCAGGATAATCGCGTTTTTAAAACCACAAATTAAAGAATGAGAACAATACGGAGTCAACTACAAATATAAATTTAAAAATTTCGCAGGAGTTAAAATGGCAAGCGGCAAAAATCCTCGGTTCAGTAGACTTCCTGGGCAACCCGCTAGGGTTCGTGGCGGATGTGTCGGAGGGCGTCACCGGGCTGCTACTCGAGGGAAACGTCAGGGCTCTGCTCAAGAATGTCACTCACGGGATATCCAACTCTGCCGCTAAGGTTTCAGGTAAGTCAATAAACTTATAACTTTATAAACTTATAACTTTAGTCGAACGGTCTTATTTTAAAATAAAAATCAAATAGTCGAATTTGTGTGCGTGCGTTCTTGCGTGCATGTGGACGTTGTTGCGTGTGTATTTGTACGTCTTTTCAATGTATTCTTGCTACCTAATAATTTTATATTCGTTCTATTCATTTTTATAAAGCATCATACTATCCTCAGACTTTGCCCGAGATGCTCAATACGTAGGTTAGGGTAATGCAGTATGATGCACAATGAGAGGTGTGTGTGTGTCAGAGTCGCTGGGCGACGGGCTGGAGCGCGTGGTGGGCGACGAGGCGCACGAGGAGACGCGGCGCCGCATCCGCTCGGCCGCGGGCGGCGCGCACCTCGCCGCCGGCTTCCGCGGCCTCGGCCTCGGCATCCTCGGTGGGTATCACCTTCCTACACTTTTTATAGAGTCGCATCACTATAAAAAACAATTCTCTACTTTTTTAGACGATAATCATGCAATAGCGAGATGGTCGGTCGGTCAAAAAAAATATTTATGATTTTTTCTACAACTGTGTTCAAAATATGAGTTCGTTATAGGCGGTATGACATCATTAGTGAAGCACAGCTACGAGGGCGCCACGCAGGAGGGTCTAGGAGGATTCCTGGCAGGAGTGGGCAAGGGCCTCGTGGGCACTGTCACGAAACCCGTTATAGGCGTGCTGGATTTGGCTGCCGAGACAGCTTCTGCTCTCAGGGACACTAGCAGAAGGTTTGTAAACTGATTTACTGAACTAAATTTATGAACTCTAAGGGCCAGTTGCGTGTCATAACTTATACAAGGTGGGCCAAAAGACGTCATCCGATATTGTTTGGCTCTCATTTTTTTTCTGAATAAAAAACTTCAATTCTGTTTTTTGATTATGTTTATTTGAACTTTTAGAATTTTATTGGTCAAGTCGAAAAGATGATATCGGCCAAATGGGCGCCGCCACAATTGATTGCTATACGGGCTCGTTTTATGGCATTTTTCATCACTTCGGCGAGAACTTCGGGCGACAGATTCTTGCACTCGTGTCTAATATTGTCCTTGAGGGCTTCCAGGGTCTCGGGCTTGTTCACGTAAACACGGGACTTCAAAAAACCCCACAAAAAAAAGTCTGGAACGGTTAAATCGGGCGATCTTGCGGGCCAGTGCAAATCGCCAAAACGAGAGATGAGGCGACCCGGGAACGCCGTCTTCAGAATATCGGTTGTGGCTCGCGCAGTGTGTGCCGTTGCTCCATCCTGTTGGAACCACATGTCCTCCAGTCCTAATTCGTTCAATTGCAGCAGAAAAAACTCTGTTAACATGGCCCTATAGCGCGCACCGTCCACTGTTGTCGTTTGACCAGCGGCGTCCTCGAAAAAAAATGGCCCGATGACTCCTCCAGCGTGAACAGCGCACCATGCAGTCACTTTGAGTGGGTGTAATGGCTCTTCGTGCATCACTCGTGGATTTTCGGTGCCCCAGAAGCGATAGTTTTGCTTGTTCACGTACCCGTTGAGGTGGAAATGAGCCTCATCGCTCATTATGATTTTGGTCGAAAAATCGTCCACTTCGTCCTCGAGATTGAGGATGGCTTGGGCGTAGGTTACACGCGTTTGGCGGTCGACAGGCAGCAGGTGATGCACGGACTGGACTTTGTACGGGAACATGCGCAGGTCTTTGACCAAAATTCGCCTTAGGGACGACCGGCTGATGGCTAATTGCGAGGCACGGCGTCTGGTCGATGTTTCTGGCGACAGCTCGACATCCTCGGCAACAGCGGCGATATTCTCGGCAGAACGGGCGCTCCGAGGCCGGCCACTCTTGGCAGCGTCTCGTGTGGTTCCATACTCTTCAAGGTTGGTGGCCAAACGGCGCAGTGTTTGCGCAGTCGGTGCCGGACGACCGGGGAATCGGCGACGGAATTCGCGCTGCGCCAACACCACAGACGAATTGTTACGCAAAAAAATAGACACGATTGTGCCGCGTTCTTGGTGAGTGTATCGCTCCATGGCTTGTTCACTTGTATTCTACTTCTGTCTAGTTTACAAATGTTAAAACAGATTTGACATTGGCCGCCATTTGCAAAAATAAGAGCATCTTCCAATAGGGTGATTTCTTTTGGCCCACCTGTTATATATTTAAACGTACGAAACGCTTTAAAAATATTAGGTCTTTACCTATGAAATTTCCGTTTTGTATGCAATAAGTGAAAGTACTTATTTTTTCAAACTTTTTATTTCTGTTATTCGAAGTAATCACCGCAATCGACGCATCTTTGTCAACGCATTGGCAGTTTATTAATGCCCTTCTTGTAAAAATCAGCTGGACGGGAGGCAACAAACTCTTCAAAGGCATTTTGTACTGCCTCTCGGGAATTGAATTTTTTACCCACTAAAAAGATTGTCTAAATTTTGGAAATAGTAATAGTCGGTAGGTGTCGTTTAGTAGCTACGGAAGTCAAACGTTGTGCAAGTCGTCCTGAGAATATGAGCAACGTTATTCGATTACACTTCAGCCGATTTAACCATGTTAACGACGTTCCGACTCGAGGGCAATAAAATTATTTACATTCAAATCTAATTATGTTTTGATATCTTCTAACAAAGCGCCTGCCCTTTCGTCGAAGTATATTTGATCGATGAGCGCGGTGAAAGCGTATGTCGTTATACGCTGTCGTCCGTAATGAAGTAAACTGTATATCGACTGAGGGTTTAAAACGGTGTGAAGGTCGGACAAGTGGGTGCCGGCGCGCGTGCGGGGCCCGCGCTGCGCGTCGGGCTGCGGCGGGCTGCTGCCGCGCTACTGCGGCGCGCAGGCGGCGGGCGCGGCGCTGCTGTACGCGCTCAACCACACCGACTACTCCGAGCGCTTCCTGGCCTACCGCGCCGTGCGCGACACGCCGCACGACATCCGCGCGCTGCTCAGCGACACCTACCTGCGCATCATCACCTGCAAGCACGCCGCGCCCTGCGTCGTCATGGAGACGCACCTCAGGTACACCCTACCGCCTATCCTAACCGACGATCTTTTTTATTTATGTTGATCAATTAAATGAATTTTATTTTGTCCAATTACCACACCGTATTAAAGTAATCGCGATTCGCCATTGCAGTAACCTGGTGTCGTGCACGGTGGTGTCCTCCGGCGGCGCGTACTTCGTGGAGCTGGGCGTGCGCGGCGGCGCGGCGGGCGCGGGGGGCGCGGAGGGCGCGGTGCGGCGGCCGCGCGTGCAGTGCGACAGCGAGGAGCTGGCCGCGTGGGTGGCGCGCCACGCCGCGCTGGCGCGCCAGCTGCACCACGAGCACGTGCACACGCTGCTGCCGCACGCCGACCTGTGACGTCACCGCCACTGCCACACCCTACAGCTTAACGTGCAACAAAAAATAAAACGAAGCACGGTATATCACTTTTCACTTCTGCGTTACTGAGCATTAAATAAGTTTTGTAAAATTAAGTTCCATTTAGATCGGTACCCTCCAAATCGATTTAGACTGATGACTGTCACTGTATAATGTTAATGACGTTAATATTGCAAGTATTATTAAATGGACAAAATTTTATATTTAACTATTGTAAGGTCGTCTCATCGTTAGAAGTTAGCAGAAATGTGAACGTACCTTTTTTACGCTCATTAAATATACAATAATTAACTTTTATATTTTCACGTTGCATTATCTATAATTATGTAAAAGTAGAGAAATAAATATTAAATACCCTGGAAATTTTCCGACCAGGTTTGCACAAACCGTGGTCTCAGATTGACTCTGACCACGGTCTCTACAAACGTTAATTCTCTAAATACTATATAAAATAGGAAACCTTCAACTATCGACATAACAGAACAACACTACGTTTCATATCTTGAACTATTCAAAATCAGTATATTTATAATATCTTATCTCGTAATAACACACCTAATAACATTTTTACGTTAAAAGTAAGTTAAAGACAATATTAAGATTAACTTAAAAAATAAGCGTTTAGATATATACCGCACAGTTATATATAGATATAACTTAAGGTGAATAGACAGCAATGAAAATTCCTTAACGTACCTATCACTACTGAAACCTTTCATCTAACAAAAAGACATTCCACAAATTCGCCATTTTGTTTGAAACATCCTAACCATGATTCTTTATTGAGTAAACAAATCACCATCTTTCGTCCCGCTTTCCGTGGTAGAAATTTCGTAAAACGGGACGGAAATGTGTAACAACGACTCTTTGCCCCAACTTCTTGCTGCTAGATTTGATATGTTTCATACGACTACTACAAAGTTCTTTAGTTCTTATATTTGACTGCACGGGTGGCGCAGTGGTTTAAGCAGTCGCCACGCCGCTTACTTTTACGCTGAATGTTGTGGGTCCCAGACTCAGAAGTCAGAACAACAATTTGTGTGATCCACAAATTGTTGTTCTGAGTCTGAGTGTCCTTTGTGACCGTTTCATGTATGTTTGTAAAGTCCCCCGCGACACAGGACTTATTCCTAGTGCGGGAGTTGTCTTTTTACAAAGAAAGACAAAGAAAGATTTAAAACTTAATACTTAACTAATTTTCATTGCTGACTGTACTTGTAATACTCTATAAGCGTTTATCTTTTTGTAACGTCGTTTAATACAATAACAGTTCCATTTCTAAAACTTTAGGAGGTCTAATACATTAATAATAATAATTAATCACCTTTTCAAAATCATTTATATTGTAGTTAGGTGTACAGGTTTTAAGTTCGGCTATTTCTATTAAAGTTGTAATATAAACTTACTTAAGTCTTGTTGTTAATGAGAGGAGGCCAAACACTGATGCGACAGGTTCGATCCTGTAAATGACACTTGACACTTATGGTGCTATTAGTATTGTCAAAAGTAGAGGGATGTTGTCTTTGACTTCAAGCAGTAGCTGGAGTCAGGAAGAGATTCGTGTTCTATATAACACGATCTGGAGATTACAAATAGGTGTGGTCAAGTTTTAGGAGTGATGTGTGAAACCCTTAGTTCATTTGGTTAAAAAAATATTAAAAATAAATTTCTTTTTCTTAAAAGCTTTTTACACTATTGGTACACATTCCGAAACAAATCAGCTTTAAATAAAAAAAAAACATTTTCAAAAAAACAAGCTGTACATTCCATCAGCATCCATAGTGTTAAATGCCCATAGTTTCATTGATGTTATTATTACTCTTACAAAATATTACATTTATCAGTCAATTTTCAAATACAACATATTCATTTCAAAATGTGATTTCTGTATTAAAATAAACACTGTTTGTAACAAAATCCGCGATAGGAGCTTTAAATATGACCACACACTACCTTACTATAACACTGTATATTTTTATTACTCTATAAATCACTACTATACTATAAATCACGCATTTGACGGTTAAAGCGCAGCTATCTGTTGCTAAATATTGTCAAGAAAACATGAGAGTAGAATTAATGTATCTCCAGATTAATATATTTTGTGTACCTCTTGTATATGTGAGCGAGTTGTATCTGTGTGAATGATATGTGTCTTGTAGGCTGTGATATAAGAAGGTATGATAATTATAGTGGCTGGTACTGGCAACACTGACTTGCATAAAATGGTGGTGTTTATCATTCTACTTTTAAAAGACATAGTGTAAGACAATTCTCAAATCTTACCTATTTGTTGTTAATTATTTTTAGTTTATAGCTTTCAGTTTTTGCGACTCATAAAAAGTAGTGTAATTTTGTATGTGCAGAATTTTGATTGTGTTAGGAAGATAATATACTAAAGTACAGATACAATACTAACTAATTATTATTTTTAATTGACTTGATTTCTTAATAAGCACACTATTTACGCAAGACAAGTAGGTCCTCTAGGCTGATCAAAAACTTACAAAGCATACGTAACATTTTAATTATTAATTAAGGTTTCAAATAATTTGACATTCCAAATCAACTCTGGTGGTCCTTCGAGCCGACTGCATTCCATAAGTACGGCAACTATTACAACATCCAGAGATCAGTGTAGAGCGTAATTCGTACAAAGACAATGACGTCACATCTATTGTGTAGCGGTTTTCGAGAAAAACTTGAGTGCGACCGCAAAAGAAGGTCTGGTTTATGAACCTTCCAAAAAATTGAATAAATAAATACACTAAAATACCTAAAGCAACTGGTTTCCAAAGTGTAATATGAAGTACCTACTTGTCTTAAATGCAAATATCATAAACGTCCTTACTTAGTATAAAGAGGGTACATGATGAAAATAATGAATCTGTATTATTTTACTGAGTTCAGAATACCTTATAAGGGTCAATGTTATTACAATATAGGTTATGTTATGTTAGTCTCGAGTGAAAATACGCCTTTAGGTTGTAAAGTGATTGCGCACTAATTTTTATATTTGTTTGTTAGATTCTGACGTCACCAAGTACCGATTGATTGTAAAAGCTAATGGAGAATTTTATGCTTTTGCTTTTTTATTCAGCACTGTGAACAAATATTGATGTTAAGAATTTAAGTTGACATAGAAACATAATTTGCACGACAGGTCGCTTTGCTCCCTGATAGACATGTCAGGCCCCGATCTCATTTGGCTTTTCTAGAAATGTTGCCAGATAACAAATGTCTATATACTACGAAGGAAAAGTGTCATTATTGTGGTCAGTTAAGTTGTTTGTGTGACGTCAGAGTATAGTTTATTATTGTTGAGTCCGCATTACCAAAGTACTTGTTATTTCTAAGTGGAGTATGCTTTTTAATTATTTATTTATTACATGTGACGATATGATAATATATTACTATCTGTTGTGATTTAGTTGATATTAAAATTAAACGTCTTGTATATCGTTGTTTTAATTCTACTTTTTGTTTTAAATCTAGTCTAAATCTTTTTTTTTGATACCCTTTTTAGGTACCCGACATTTTGACGTACGTTTATGAATATTACCGAGATTATGTTTATGTATGTAATGTAATGCGTCTAGAATTTTTTCTGTGTGGCGTGTGACGAGAGTAGTGTAATTTTTTATACAGTCGCTTAAGTTCTGTGTAGATTAATTACAAAAAACATTGTTTTGCTTAATTATGCATTGATTGCTTCCGTTTGGGTCCGTGTGGTGACGGATTAAGAATCCAGAGTGTCACCATCCCTATTCATTCCGTGGGTGTCGTAAGAGCCGACTAAGGGAGAAAACTACGCAAAACAACAGCACTGCAGAGAGAAGGAAAACTTGACACAAACCCTATGCCAACCCGTCTGACCAGCGTGGTATAGTAGGCCAAAACCTCCTTTCTAAGGAGAGGTTTATAAGATGATGATGATGATGCTTTATTTTGTGTAAATTCTCATTATGTATTCTGTGTATTCTTTAAGGAGCTCGTGGCTAAGTGGTATCCGATTGGTTAGCACATTCCTAAATCTAAGCAATCCTAGTCAGATCAGTCAATGGATGGATGAGTATTCTTAAAACATCGAGACCCCTCCGTGCCTTTGAGAGCACGTTAAGACATTAGTCCAGGTTGCCATACGGACATCTCTGGCAATCATTGGGGATAGTTGGAGCCCTAAAAAGTCTGAAAACAGTCCATCTACAGAACTTCGATATCACTTTGTACTTGGTTTGCCGAGGTCGGATAGCAGTTGCTACACGTAAAAAATCGAAGGTCAGCCGTATCTTTGTAGACTGATAGTCGACCCCAAACTAGTTTCTGCTCAATTTCCTTTATTTCAATATTTATCCTGAACAAAACAATATATAATAAGTATTAGCTGTACGATGCCAAGCTTCGCTGTGGCACAAACAAATAGATAAAAACAATATTTGAAACGGGTTGTACATTGTGTCAAAATTTGAGCTCAATCGGTGCAGAACTGAGTTTTTGATGCGTACAAAAACCAAATTAACATTTTGAAACATATGTATATATTTGGTAGAATAATTAGGGATTTAGTGCAACTATCCGTCAGGATTAAGAATACAGAGTGTCACCACCCCTATTCATCCCGTGGGTGTCGTAAGAGCCGACTAAGGGAGCAAACTGTGCAAAACAACAGCACTGAAAAAATAAGAAGAACTGGAAACAAACTCGGTCTGGCCAGCGTGGTATAGTAGGCCAAAACCTCCATTGTAAGGAGAGACCTATATCCAGCAGTTGACTGTTAAGTGCTGTTGATGATGATGATGATGATGATGATCGTGTTAGGGATACGGGATAGATGAGCCAGTTATAACGTTTGAGACTGACCACGTCAATATAACATATTTTTAAACTAAATGTAATTTGGGAACAAAATTAATCACTAAAATTCAGGATTTTAGTTGTGATCGTTATCGGTTGAGACTATCAGATAGCTATTATTTCTATTTTTGTAGGTATATTGTCACATATATTGTGTAAATAACTACTTACAAACCCTTGGAAGACACCCTCTCGACTATTACCTATTGTTATGATCATACATCAAAATAAGAAGGTATTTTTATGTGATCTCACTTTGTTAGTACAATTTAGAGCATTTGACCTTGGTTTTATTCAAAACAAAACTATCTGAGGTTGGATAAAAATTATTTGATTCTAACATCAACTTATCACCGTAAATAAAACTATTCAGATAAGTAAACTTCGATCGTCAATTTGTTAGTAAACTATTAAATGATCTGGAAGCTCTTAAACAATGTAATGATAAATCACACGATAGATAACCGCACAATCTCGGCGCGACCAATAACACTAGCCCGGCACGGAGCTGCGCGGACGCACGCCACACAACACCACTGATCTACGTAAATCAAGCCATCTCAGAGGTCACGACAGGTCAAGCTGTAGGAATTTAAAAAAAAAGTTATTACTCCATACGTGTAAGTAGAACTTATATTACAGTTGTCAAGTGAGGTTAATTATGTCAGTGAAGGTGCTAATAGTGGCCGCATGGCTGTCGGCGGTGAGAGCGGCGACCTTGCCTGTTGCGAGGTGAGTAAAAGCAATGACTTGTAAACGGTCGCTACTTTGTGCCGAGCTGCAATCGAAACTCGACCCTATGTTGCTTTAGTAAAGCCAGTTTATGCTCAAATTCTACTTTCGGTCGATAAATACAGTAGTACGTTAATGAATTTGACGCAGGTTTGTATTTCTTTATATATTTACTTAGTTTTCCTGTACCTAATTCCTGTGTCACATTTTGACCCATTAATATGTCTGTTTTAAACATTGATCTGTGTTGTAAGAACATAGTATAAATAATATTCCGTATACCATATAAAAATATACGGGATATTTTTTAATGGTATACAGATATTTTTATTGTGTTCATATTCCAGCATGACATCTGTTGACTATGCGTCGGTGCCGATCAAGGAGAAGGCTCTTCACCAGCCGCCTCTCCAGGAAGTAGCTGATGGTAAGACTTGCAAAATATACTGTGTTCGCAATTAAATAGTTTCGATAGTTGATTTGGTCCTATTTGTGTGTGAAAACAGATTTAAACATGTATGTAATCATCTACAAGCAAGGCCTTAGATTATATGTTTCCAAAAATATACATGGGCATACCTTTGAGGTCCTATATTTTACCTCTGTCCACTAAAATCCATTGAAAAGATCCATAACGGATTTTTGTGCACTTTTATGTCCACTTTAATACACTCAACAATTTTTTACGAGAAATGTATCATCAAATGGATCATTTTATCATTGTCCAATCATAATCAAATGGATCCTTTTATCATTGCCTAATAATTTATGTATACGGACCCACATCCTTCTTCATGCATCGATGTACCCAAAAATTACTCTTAGATAATTTTTGTACGGAGTTTACTTGTTTATTTATTGTGTATATACGTAGGTCACTATATAAATTTTGAAATACGTAAAAAGTAAACAAAAACGTAATTTATATTATACTATATACATTATTTCACGGAAATATTGAAAAATAAAAATGGGGGTGGGTCACCCTTTTCATTTAGAGGTATGAAAAATAGATGTTGACCGATTCTCAGACCTACCCGAAGTGCACATAAAAGTTCATAAAAATCGGTCCAGCCGTTTCGGAGGAGTATGGTAACTATCATTGTGACACGAGAATTTTATTTATAAGATTTTTACATAATACTCTCCTTTACTCTCTATAAGAATCCATCCGCTTTAACCACTCTTGGAAACACTTATTCCAATCTTCCTCCGACAGGTCAAAAATTGCTGATTCGTAGGCAGCCTTAAAATTTTCTAGCATTCATGTTGCTAGATGTCCACTCCGTGAAAAAAAATATGGCCACCAACTTTTTGCCAATGTTGCGCGGTCTGCAATTTTGTTGGTCATTAAGAAACACCCATACCGAGGAACGCTTCTTGCTTTCCGGGTTATAAATCGATGTTTCGTCGCCAGTATCGATTTCATAAACACGTCTTGACCTCCCATTTTCAAAATGAAGACGCATTTCACTGCACTATGCCAAATGGACTTCCTTTTTCGTTTCGGAGAACAAACGAGGTATCCAAGGACAACAAAGCTTCCTCATTCTAAGATGTTTATGTAAAATGATGTAAACACTAACCGAACTGATGCCTAAGATTTTCTCTATGTCTCTGTATGTAATTCGTGGGTCATCTCGCATAAGCACTTCAGTATTTTGAGCACACACACACCACTTCTGTCATTATCTTTAAGGCTAGTTTTTCCCTTTTTAAATTAGTTAAACCATCTAAAAAAAACCCGAGAAGGAGTACACACCCGAAGCTGATTTTCATATATGTATCACGCAATATCAGCAATATAGCACGCAAATGTTCACGTTTAAGCTGCAATGTAGCAGGCGAAAAAGCGGGAAATGATGACCATAAAATACTCTTTTTTTGTATTCGTACGTTTCATTTTAAAATTTCGAGCATCTCAAAACTTATATAGTGACCTACGTAATAAGAGTCTACTGAAATATCTGACCGGGGTTAGGATGCCTAAGAAAACTGGTCTACAGAGAAATTTGAAGCCAAAAATTAAATGAATGAAACCTCTTGATTAACGATGAGGTGAGGATTTAGGTAAGACTAAATGGCGTGCAATGGGAGAGCCATATGTCCAGCAGTGGACTACGATAGGCTAATGATGATGATGATGACAAGAGTTTAATAGGCAAGCTTAGAAGCTTCGCGGGACTCATAGCTTTTTGGGAGCGAATACTTGTCCTTCTGCAGTTTCGTTCTTCGATTACTTATGATTAGCTTCTTATAAATAAAAATAGAACTTCTCATTAAGTAGTACTCCAACGGTCTGGCTAAGGGTATATTTATTTTTTATTTAACGTATTGCCACAATGTTTGCATGTCAGACAGTACCCGGTGTCAAAAAACAAACAAAATACTATTTGTTTCTTATACTTTTTAAATACTTTCTTAATTTACAGTTTTATCAAAGGGCCTGACGAGCTCATTCGCTACAGTGCAAGTGTCTGTGGAAGACTCGCCAGACCTCACCAAGGGTCCATACAATCTCACATCACCAGGTAGGCTTTCAAATTTAATTAATAATAAGGTGTCTGATTAAAACAATTGCATACGCCTACTGACTGTTAACCTTTTTTTTTACGTATGGAAACACCCTTGGTTTTTCACCCCACCGGGGTTTACGGCGGGGTGGTGTGTTGGAATCGGATCGACTAAAACCACACGGTGTACCACTCTGCGCCTGTAATAGGAGGAATCCGGGAACTGCTGTTATTAAGATAACCGGACCCCTCCTAGCGCCTGCCGCAACGACGCGGGCACCACCTAAGGGTACATTCTCTATTTAGAAGACGTCCGGCAGGAGACTCCTCGCGGCTGGCCGTTATGACAGGTGGAGGAGAAAACCCGTCCCGTCCACCCGCGGCCACACTCAGGGCGGCATGAGGCTCATGTTGATGAACTCTTGACTTATGAATGATTGCTGAAACTTTTTTAGTGTCGTCCCAGCTGTTTGTATGAAGATATACTACGGCTCATCATAGACGAACTGTTAAAACATTCCTAACTAGGGTCCGTGTGTCTCCGGGTAGTGTTTCCGTGTGGTGACGTATTAAGAATACGGACTGTCACCGCCCCTATTCATCCCGTGGGTCGTAAGAGCCGACTAAGGGAACAAACTGCACAGGACAACAGCACTGCAGTAAGCAGGAAAACTTGAAACAAACCCTATACCAACCCGTCTGTTCAGTGTGGTATAGTAGGCCAAAACCTCCTTTCTAAGAAGAGGTCTATTCCAGCAGATGACTACTATAGGCTGTTGATGAACTGGGGTCGCGACTTCGGCTGCTTGGACTTTAATATTGAAAAGGTTGTTTGACACAACTACCTAATACTAAATGGTTGTAAAAAAATCTTGTTGTATTTAATCGCGATTCAGCTAACGGAATATGTATGATATATGCCATCACTTTCAGTATTTGTAAACATTGATGACTTGTCGTGACATTATAAATATTATAACTCTTTAACGGCTGATTACTTATGATAAATTAAAGTGTATTGAGTAGCGTAGTAGTGTAGTGAGACTAGTACACTCACTCTGACGGGCCTGTTGGTCTAGTGGTTAGTGACCCTAACTGCTAAGCCGGAGGTCGTGGGTTCGATTCCCACCCAGGACAAAAATTGTATGATGAGCACGGTCATTTGTTCTGTGTCTGGGTATAATTTATCTATAATATGTATGTATTTAAAAATATATAAGTATGTTTATCAGCAGTTTGGTTACCATAGTACAGGCCCTGCCTAGTTTGGGCTACGTCTTTCAAGTCTTTCATTGTATGCCGCCGAAGGTGGTACACATAATGGCAGATAACTGTCAGTGATTTTGACTGGAGAGTCTGATAATGATAACTTGCCACTTTTGATACGATCGATAGCTGAGTGTCTTTTTAATTATAATCTCCTCGTGCCCGGACTCTTCAAACTGATGTAGTATCAGGACCGTTTCTTTCTAGATTTGCGGTATCCCTTGCCCCTATACTAAATTTTACATTCTACAGTAGTTAGCTTACCTTCAGTCTGCTGTGAGAGACCAACCAAAATTCAATTAAATTTGGAAAAAATTCAGGATGGTGTTGATAATGCAACAGAAAAAATACTTATCCAAAATTAACAAAAAAAATGTTGGTTGTAGATGGCAATTTTTATTTACAGCTACGAGTATACTTGTGATGAATAAACTGCTGTAAAATAACACTTATCTAAAGTCAATAATTGATAATTGTTCCACGTTCCTACTGTAACATTGTTTTGTTTAACATAGATAAGTACATACCTATCTGATTTCGGTAGGTTCCTGTCACTGTTTACCATTTATAATTATCTGAAATGATATAATTAAGTTAGTGGTTTAACACTACTAACACTGTAAGATTTTAAGATACTTCGTGAATTTAGTAAATCTAAATGATTGTCAAGTGTTTGAGGGTGGAAACGCTCGTCTCTGAAATATTCCGAAGAGCAAAGCAACACCTCGAAAGACTGATTGCAGGTCAGAAGGTGAAATCCAGATGTGCAGTTAATAGATCAATAGTCACCATACCAGTAGAACATAAAAACATAGTTTTAGAATAAGGGACGGTACGATACCAGGTCTGCGTCAGAATATAGAAACGAGACAGTAAAGAAACTTCGGTGGCGAACTACTGTTTACCTAGTTAATCTCAGAACAGTTTTAATAGGTCTCTACCTATGAAATTGCCGTTATGTATGCAATAAGTAAAAGTACTTATTTTTTCAAACTTTTTTATTTCTGTTATTCGAAGTAATCACCCATGCAATCGACGCATCTTTGCCAACGCATTGGCAGTTTATTGATGCCCTTCTTGTAAAAATCAGCTGGACGGGAGGCAACAAACGCTTCAAAGGCATTTTGTACTGCCTCTCGGGAATTGAATTTTTTACCCACTAAAAAGTTGTCTAAATTTTGGAAAAAGTAATAGTCGGTAGGTGCAAGGTCTGGTGAGTATGACGGATGAGAGAGAGCTTCCAACCCCAGCTCTTGCAGCTTGGAGACTGTCTGTTGCGCAGTATGGGGTCGCGCGTTGTCTTGAAGGAGCAGTGGGGACGACCGATTGACCAAAGCTGGTTGCAGATGTGACCACCAGACTTTGCACCTACCGACTATTACTTTTTCCAAAATTTAGACAACTTTTTAGTGGGTCATGGATCACACAAAGTGTCGTCCCATGTGGGGGTCCCATAACACTCGGCGTAGTAGAAAACGGCGTGGCGACCGCTTAAACCACTACGCCATCCGTGCAGACAATGTCACATCAGAAAAAGGTTTCGATAAAGAAACGTTGACTGTTGCTGTAATAAAAACTTTATCCCTATTTTCCACTGGCTGTTATAAATATCACAAATCTCTCCACTGGATCGTCAACTTACTCTAGATAGACTAACACGTCTACTGTCGCCTGTTACAGGCAAAAAAAAACAGTACTGACCCCAGAACACTAATCGATTTGCTTTTTTTCTGATAGTTATATATGTATGGTATATATCATGCAACTACACTTGTGTAATAGAAATCCTCCGGAGATCATAGTCCCTTTTAAATAAATAGAATGTACTATGTATGTTCCTTATTCCCGCAGGACTTACAGGCAATGAGAAGCTAGTGGAGATCGGTGGTCCACCCTATCTACTGCCTCTAGTGCAACGTGACAAGATTTACGACCTGGCGTTGCTCGCCAAGCACCTGCAGAGAGACCCTGCATTCATCGCGGGTGCGGGCGCAGGTCCCTGGCCACATATTGGTGTCAACTGCGAGGTGAGACGCTTGTGTTTGTTGGGAATTTAACTACTAATTTTGTGTCTATTAGTACTTTTACTTACGAAGTTAAACCTAGTGCATTTCTAGTCTAACTTTCCTTTGAACTTTATGCATTTTATCCTAGGGACCAAACTACAAACAAATAGGAATTGGAAACTTTTACTTTTAAAAATATATTGTTTTTTTTTTTTAATTGAACCCGTAAGTAAAGATCCAGGCAGGGAAAAGTCATGGCTTTAATTTCCAATGGCCAATTTACAATAGTTTGCGTCCTTTTACAATCAAATGAATAAGATTAGTAAATGAACAATAAGGTATTAGCTTGAAGGGAGAATCTCCCCTCAAGCACCTACCTATAGAACAATGGCGATCTAAATTCCAGCACGCTTTAGTCCTGATTAGTTATTTCTTCAGGTATTAACAATTTTGACATTGAATTCCAGGGTATAATAAATCTGAGCATTAAAAATGGCTCCATAGATCAGGGCACGCGAATAGTGACCGTGGAGCCATTGGGAGCCCCCAAAGGCACTGGGCTGTACCTCCAGCGGCGACTGCCCAATAATGAGACCAGGACAGCACTCCTCGGGAACTACCTACTCAGTGAAGGGAAACCTGGCAAGGTAATTCTTTCTGGTTTCTATTCTTCTTAGTTAAAGATCCGAAAACCGAGATTTTAAGTGGTCTGGTATAAATATTGTAGTTTCATTAATTAGATGTATTTATTTTCTAATTTAGGTTATCAAAGTGGTTGCTAAAACACGTATAGGTCAGTCCAACTTCATCACAGCTATCAGAGAAACACTCAAAAACCATTACGGTGACAAAGTTGTCGGTAAGTATTATTGCTGTTTGGCTTTTTAAATAATAAACTCTAAATTACTTCCATTTTAAGGTATCATTCCCAATTTCTATCTAAATCCATCTAAAAGGTTTTCAATATCACGTGGTGACACGTAGTCTGTACTTCTGTAGACGCCTGCTATTGAATGCCAAACAGACAAAATGCGAACTATACTCACTCCGTTCTTGATGAAATCTTCGGCAGAAGACTTATTCCGCGACTTGTCGAGCGTTTGCGGGATGAAATTTCTCTAATAGTATACCGTGTATGCAGTCGTGGGCATTATAATAACAGTTCTTTGAAGCAAACCCATACTACAAGCGTCGCTGCAGTATGTATTATATAGTATACATATGTGTTGTATATGTATATTTATAATGTTGTGACTTTCTAGGTTTGGGAGGAACATTCCTACTTCGCGCGGGCAAGGTAAAGTTCCACGTGATGCCGGACTTCTCAACGAAACCCCTTTGTAGCGATAGTGATGTCGACACATGGCTACACTACTTCGAGATGAAAGCACCCATCACTCATGTGGGAACACTAGTTAGCGGAGACCTTGTAAGTATCGCCGTTCAGTTATTAAAAAGTCTGAAATAACAACTGGATCAAGATTAATCTAGATTCTTTCCGCATCAGAGACAGTTGGCTGTCATGGCTGTTTTGGTCGACCGGTGAAACTCCGATCGTTACGTTGTCTTTTATTGGTATGGGAAAATGAGTAACTCTGTTAAGTTCTCTTTTTCATGTATAAGCCTCTTTGGTTAGTCAAGGATTCGTTATTCTACTCCCATTGGTTCTAAAACCAATTATCGTCATGAGGTCGAAGTTTCACAAATCCTTGGCCCTCTTGGCTTTGCTTTAAAGAAAAATATGCAACTCGCGCAGTTTCTGTTTATCCTCAAAAAACTGTGGTGACTTAGTTCCTTCAGATACCAGAAACTTTTTGCAGGCAAATTATTAAAAAAAAGTTGTACAGTAACAGTAGGGTATTCTTGATTCAGGGTTTGGACCTCCGTGTGCAGCACTTCCACGGGTTTAGTGCTCACGGCGACGGCGGGCACTACCACTACGACACCACTCCTGAAGAGGTAGAGTACGAGGGGTACTTTGTGGTGGCTGGTTCCCTCGTGCGAGTGGATCAACCACAAGACACACATGCATTTGGTCGAGACTAGAACGCTTTGTTAAAAAATTCTGCACAAACGTGTCATTAGCTATCTGTTGCCGGATCTACTGAACTGTTAATGAATTTATTGTCATGTTGACTGAAATAAACTGGTGTGATCGTTGCGTCCTCAAAATGTTTTTTTTTTTTATCTCCTACGGCCCAGTGTTGTTGTTTGTGTATGGTCTATACAGACCGTGTAGTGAAACCTTAATCCCAGCCGAGGGTATACCTGGTTTTTCTAGGGTGTACCTGGTTCCTCGGCTATTAGTACCCGAGACGGCGTGCGGTTTTAGTCGGTTCGAGTCCGACATGCCACCGACAGGTGGTATCCGAGGGGATTTCCGCATGGAAAAAAAAAAAAAAATGCCGGCGACAGATACTTTTTGAAGCTGTACGGAAGATACCTATTCCTCCTCCAAGTCCCATTTGAATCACCATTATACAGGGTGAAAGGGGCGGTGTAACGAATACTGAAATAGTGTTTTAAACCATCATTCCGAGTCAAATGTCATTGGAATTTTCTGCCGGAAAATTAAACTCAATACTCAATATATTTATTGCATTCCACAATGTTTACTTAGTTGGTGACTTAAATATAAGATCAGATCATCATGGACCCTGTCGGGCACAGCAATAGATGAGAGAGGGAAAGAATCAGCTGTCAAACGTTAAGATCATTCCCCGTAGGTATCGCACAAAAGTAATAACTACATATGTATTCCGTGCAAACAGTTTACGCACACTAACACAAGTTGGCGGTTGAGGGGGAGGTCCCACGCGCTGCGGTCGTTTGATTAATGACATTGCAGTATTTGACCGTGTGCGGCATTTGTTAAAAGAATCGGTAAAATGTTCTGTTAACTCGTTGTGATAATGCACCTCACTTGGCTGCACGGATGGCGTAGTGCAGCACGCCGCTTATTACTAGGCTGAGTGTTGTGGGTCCGATCCCCGCATGGGGCGACCCTTTCTGTGATCCACCAATTGTTGTTCTGAGTTTGGGTGTTTTTTGTGACCGCTTCATGTATGTTTGTAAAGTCCCCCGCGACACAGGATATAATCCTAAAGTGGGAGATGTCTTAAAAAAAGAAAAAAATTAATCATTTTTAATCAGAAAAATGAAAAATTTAAAAAAAATGATAAAAATTCCAATGACTTTCGACTCAGAATGATGGTCTGAATACAATATTTCAGTATTCGTTACACTGACCCTTACACCCTGTATGATACTATGAAATCAACATCACATAATAGTTGACCTTTGCGTATTTTATCAAATCCATTGGCGAAGTATGAACCAGACAGAAATTTCCTATAACTGATTAATTTTGTATATAACTTTTCCTCCCTCCACTAGCACATATAAACATTTAGATATCTCATCGACATCGACAGCCTATACTAGTCCACTGCTGGACATAGGCCTCTCCTTAGAAAGGAGGTTTTGGCCTACTATACCACGCTGGCCAGACGGGTTGGTATAGGGTTTGTTTCAAGTTTTCCTTCTCTTTGCAGTGCTGTTGTCCTGCGTTGTTTTGCGCCCTTAGTCGGCTCTTACGACACCCACGGGATGAATTGGGGTAGTGACAATTTGTATTCTTAATCCGTCACCACACGGACTTTAGATATCTATTAAGGTTAAAATAAAACAAGGATTATTAAGTTTACCGTGTATTTGATTTATCTATGTGTTTTACAATTTTTATTGAAATGATTGCAATTCATTTTATGTACACGGAACATATTTATATAGTAGTATGTACAACGCGAGCCCTTCATGTCTTGATACAATTTTATATCACATAAATGAGATAAACATACTCCAAGGTACACCTTTCTTGACATGACAATCTGTGACGTATACTTTAAATAAAGGCTGCCTTGAAACGGTCGTAATTAACATATGTATGCACGCACTGCTTGTAGCATTAAATGAGTTATGTCTCATACGCGTGAAGTGACAGATCAAGAATTAAAGACACTGACAATTAAATATATATTACTTGTATAAACGGTTTTACTAACGTGTACATTACGGGGACTCCCGGCGTCGCACAGTACGTGACCCATCGAAATTTTAGCTTCTTGAAGAGAAGCGAAGAGAGGGGTCCCTGTTTGGTCCGAAAGTAGCAGGGCATCCCCGAAATATGCACGTGAATAAGACCGTTTATCCTTTATAAATATGAATACGACTCACCAACTGACAAATTAAAAAGGAGGGAAGCGCCTTGTAGTGATTACAAGTGTCACAATTAAGCGAAGATATACGATATGTATAGTATAAAGCACCTGACTGGATAATATACAATTAGTCAAACAATAGTATTGAAATATCAAAACTGAATAAGGCCAATTGACCTCGTTTTATGTAAACTATACATCATTTGTGACAGAACACTATTGTCAGTAAAGTTTGGTTTCTTAACTAAGATCTTATACCCTGTCTTCCTTTGTTAGCGAGTTCGTCAATAAATATTAAGGGGTTGATTTTGCTAAAACTTGGCTCACGTTGTACCGTACTACCCTGCAACTTTAAAGCGCCGAGTCCTCAGCAATTAGCATTAAAACCCTTTCTTAGAAGACTACATACAGTATATATGATTATTTTATTTGATAAAATTATTACTTAGATGTAACTTTTTTACAAAACTTAACAAATGTCACAAGCCGCCACGGCTCCCTCTTACATTGTTCTTTGTTTTGTAATCACTTTCACAGATGTTACAAGATGTTAGCTAGTAACTATATTACGAAGGACTCGGCACTTGCAAAATTGCAGATAATTTGTATACCGACAGCTCGCCATTACCATGGATATATTAAACTTGGCGCGGGCTCTCGCCTACATATAAAAATACAATGTATTATATACAATAATAGATCGGGTGCGATCTGGCCGGAGCGACGGGCGCTGGCACGTAGGCTTACATAGCGGTACTGTATACGATTCGAAAAATAAAAGCTATGACGTTTACAATATGATACTACTTCTTGCAAATAACAATTTGATATGAACCATACTCTGTACATTCGATTATTTTCATTTCGACAGTTGATTGAGAACGTAACTGCATCGCATTCGTTAAATTCTACTTAAAATTCAGCATTTACTATATTTTTAGCATTTGTCAATTTATACAATATATTTTTTTATGTTAGAGGATGCAGACGAGCAGACGGGTCACCTGATGGAAAGTGACCATCGCCGCCCATGAACGTTTGCAACTCAGGAGTCAAACGCGTTGCCCCCTTTTAGGAAGGAGAACGCTCTTTTCTTGAAGGTCGCTTTGAATTTAATATTACTTGTGGATATTATGATATTGCACATACTGTAATATCTTAACATAAATGTTTATTGTCATACACAAAACGGTTACGTCCTATTGTATGCAGTGAACAAATATTTCTTATGCGTATTTATGAACTGATATAAATTGTTTGTAACCCTTTCGAATTTACTTGCTATAAATAACATTAAAATGTTGCAATTAAATTATAGGTACACAAAAAAACTAGTTTCGACCAATCAAAACTTAATCCGATTTTCTTTTTGGAATCGACGACGAGTGGTTCTTCTCTGTTTTCCATTCGATCAGGAGTCACTTAAGGATCTAAGTGATCGAAGCGAAGCGAATTGGAAAATAAAAGAAATGTTAGAGTATAGTGATCGCTCAATGATTCATTTAGAACCGCACTTTTACACAAACGGCAACACTGTAAAGGTGTTTTGTTGAGAAATTACGCAACTTACATTTGTCACATTCCGTCAATTTTTACGCAATTTCGCAACAAAACATCTGTAAGCTATCAATGAACTGGTGAATTCAAACACCGTGGTTTACACCCCCGCCGTCTTTACAAAATAAATTGCGAATCCATTTATTTTGGATTTTTTTATAAACAATAATATTTATACAATTAAAGCGAATTTTCGTGAGGTCACGTGACCTGGTGTACCCACGCGCCACCAGTGCGGCGTGAACTATATGCCCGTGGGTACACACACCTAAAACAATACAAGTCTTGGAGACACAGCCGTCGCTACCATAAAAGTAATAATAAATAAACATATTAGATACAAGACAGTACGTAAAATCGCTCTATTGTTGATTTATTTAATCTTGTTCTATTTAAATAAATATTTTTATTTTTATTTTTAAAGGTAGTTTCGCCCTGAGGTGCTGCCATTTTATCGATATGATATCTAACAGTGGGGTTAGTCCACCAGCTTACTAATCACTTGAAGAATAAGGTTCGTAATGAGGACATTCGACAAATAACCAAAGCTACCGACAGAGTTTTAAAGTGCTGAGCTTGCAATGGACTGGCCACAAACAAAGAGCTTTAGGGAAAAAAGGGTACTTAAGTGGAAACGGAATGTGAGAGGCCAACATTGTTGGAGTACAATATTGCATTATTATGGGCTAATTTATTGATTATTTACATTTAGTCTTCTTAAACTGAGCGTCAAGAAGAACAAGCAGTGTGTGATCATTAAACTTTTTTTATTTAGTGTCTGTGCACACATTTAAAAAAATACTTGAACGTAGGTGAAATGTATTTATTAAAATGTAACGGGAATAAAATTGAAGGTTGTCTATGAGATGAAACCATCAACAATAGAGCGGCATAATGTACTTGCATATCTTTCACTATACAATATATTTCTTGAGCTAAATAACCAATTAAAACATTTAACACCTAGTGAGCTGGAAGCGTTCGGAAGATAACATGAATAGGTACAAAAATGAATATTATATTTTAATATTTAAAATACTTTTAAAATTTGAAATGAATAAAAATCTTGTCTATGGTTTCGTCATTAAAGCCAAGCATATAATAGCAAAAATTTGAGGAACTTTAGCAAATATATAATTCAAATTAACGTTTTCCGTAACCTTGGACGGACTATGACAGCCCAGCCATGAATGCTCGAGCGAGGTGCGTTTCTCCCCGCTAATTACTTGTTTTACCCCCTTTTAATTTGTTATTATTAAAAGAAAAATATAATGCTATTACTGGTTTCCAATCAAAAATAAAAAGGAAACCATTTTGTAACATAAAAAACAACAGTAAACTTTTTGAAAATAAGAACTGTCAAACAAATCTGTCAGTTGATTTCAGATAATTACGTATTTGATTTTTAAAATTTCTTCGCTCTATGTTTTAGACGTGATATCGTCAGAACGCTCACAGTTTCATCCTTTTACGTATAAACAAGCACAATTACACATACTTGATTGGGTGCCCCCCCCTGTTATTAAAGTTAAGGGAGAAAGGGTCAAAGCCCACATAGCAATATGGTCATAATATCTGTGTAAGGTAAACGTTTACGTTATAATCATTACGACTTGTAAAACCTTACCATACGTACGTATGCTACGAGGAATTACTGGACTGATTATAGTAAAATTTTAATACAATAATGATTCAAATATTTATAAAATCTAATAAAAATGTTATTTACACAATCAGTTCTGTACTTTTGGCATAAACAACGGTGTGACTATGGCCACCTCTGTATTGTCTATTGCAAGCCTTTGCGAACGTGTAATTATATTACAGTTCTCGTCGCGTCATGCGTCGGAGAGGACAGATTACGTCACCAACGATTGCAATAAGTTGCTAATACACAGCGTTAGGTGCCGCTCTAGTCGCTCATTGTAGCAAGGCAGTGGTTGCTTGCTGGAATAGGATTGTTAACGCTAATCCTTGGAACAAATGGAAAAAAACAAGATCCAAATTTCAATTGCTAGTGAGGAGTTAAAATTGCATATATTTTTCTATTTCTGACTGTCTTGATGATGTCAAATTAGCTTACAAATGTATTTCGAAATTGGAACTGCAGATAAACTAGTGAACACAATGTTGCTAGTCTACAAAATTTCTGTATCAGTACATACGCAATACAGGGTGTTTTCGCACCTGACATGAATCTTTAGATATGTCTCGACTGAAAATGAATCTAGAATATCATTCTATTCTACACTGAAAACTTAGAATAATATAATATTTCAGATTTATTTTGTAAATTTAATTTATAAAAAATGTTATTATTATAAGAATCGATTTGTATTTCCGAAGCTAACAAACAAAGGAAAAACATCCTAAATGTTTTTCCTTTCCTTACAAAAAAAAACAGATGGTGCACAAATTTCTGTTAAAGGGAGAATCGAAGGAAACGTCACCGAATTCGCTTAAGAAATATTTCTATAGTTCTGTCACTCTGCGGTGGGAAAATAGTGACGTATCGAACAAGCCCCGCCCCCATGGCCAATCAGGTACCAAGCTTTCGTTCGAAACGATGAATATTATTCACTATTTTCTTACCGCGAATGGACTATAACAATTATAGATTTGTTGAGTAGATTACCGAATTCGGGTGTAGTAGTTGCGCTTTGAACTTTTAAAGCATTTTAAATATAGAATATACTTTAAAAAGTTTGCAGTAGGATTAGCGTTAGAAGAAGAAGTACGGTTTTGAAGCACGGGAACCATATTACTAGCTTATTTAAATGATTACATAACACTCATCAAACGTTCGGAGTCATGGACACATGGAATACCTCGATGGCTAGGGGAGCAAGCGAGGAGGTGGGCGGTGGGGGGTGCTCAGGAGCGGAAGAAGCGCACGGCGCGCACGACGTACTGGCGGCAGATGGGGCACTCGGCCAGCTGCTTGGAGCACGCCGTGCACGCCGCGATGTGGCCGCACTCCAGCAGCACGCACTCCAGCGGCGCCGCCATGCAGATCTTGCAGCACTCCTCGATCGGCATGTTCTCCACGTCTGTCGGCGGAAACATTGCACTCGTATCTGTCTCTGAATGGTTAAGCTATGTATGCAGTAATAAAGAATCTTTTAAATATCGAAATGAAATGAAATTATATTTATTTCTGCAAGTAAATCTTTTCAGATATTTTTAAAAGTCGGAAGATATCGATTTTTAGAATCATAGTCGAGTGTCTTCCTTCCGCTATATTTTACCGTTTTTATTCGACACTGATGTGTAGAATAAAAACTCGCGTCCTTTCGGTAAAATTTAGTGAAATTTTGGTAAAATTTACTGAAATTTAGAGAAATAAAATTTCATTTTCAATTATCAACTTTTGTTAAGCAAATATCATACAAACTATAGACCTTTCTACATATTAAAAAAAATATCTCTATTAATATTACCGATCCACTTATGACGAAACATACCATCTTTAAACTGCTGGTGGTTCCTCCACAGGGTCTTGGCTCGCTGCAGCAGGTCCTCCCGCTCGAGGCAGCCGCGGTACTCCACGCGGCTGCGCGTCAACAACTCTTTGAGCTGCTTCACGTTCAGCTGTTCCAGTTCTGACGAGTCTTTAAACTGCTCTACACTTATGTACTTAGGCGTACCTAGAAAGATTACAAAACTAGCTAATCCAACATGTTGATTTCTATGGAGGTACATTACTAACATATTAGGTCTTTACCTATGAAGTTGAAGATTTGTATGAAAATTTTAAAATATAAAAAAAAAGGTATTGTTTTATTTTAGCTAATCAAAGTACTGGCCAAGTTATTGTAGAAGTCTGCTGGACGAGAGGCGATGAAGTCAGCGAAAGTGTTTCGTACTGCCTCTCGGGTGTTGAATTTTTTCCACTTAAAAAATTTACTAAATTTTGAAAAAAGTAGAAAAATGGGATACGTTTCGGTGAGTACGGTGAGTGACGGAGAACTTCTAGCTGTTTCTCTTAGATTTGCGATGGCAGACCAGCCGTGGTTTTTGAATTGCGAGTTTCTCCATCATCACTTGCAACTCTTGGCAATAGACATCTGCCGCCACTGTTGTGCCATTCGTCCACAGCCACCATCATCTTCCTATTGGTAATCTTTTTTTTAACGTACGACTAATGACTAAAAGCACCTGGCTGTACCCGGGTTCACCCAATGAGGCGAACACTTACGGTTGTCAGACAGGATCCACTTTTTATCGCAGGTAACAATTCTATTCAGAATTCCCTCTTTTCTATGCCGATTTAGTAGTGCTATGCATGCTTCGACGTGTAAGTCTCGCTGATGGTCGCTTAGGTCGTGTGGCGCCCACTTATCTGCCTTTTTTATCTTTCTGATTTTGCTTCAAGTGTTTCAATATTGTTTTGACACTAACTCCAAAGCCCGCATTACGATCAGCCGTAGATTGAGTTGGATCCGCTTCCACTATCGCCTTCCATTCCTCGTTGTAGACTATAGTTACCGGACAACCGCGAGGTTCGTTCTTCAACTCAAAATTTCTAGATCTAAAACGATTGAACTAATAATGGACCCTTTTTATGCAAGCAGTGTTGGCTCGTACATGTCGTTGGCTAATGTTCCGTGTATTTACAGTAGGAACTCATATTCAAAAAATTTAAGAATTATCAGTTTTCCCATGGCGCCAAAAACTACCACAATTTCACAAAAAAAAAACACTATCGAAAGCAAATGACCGAATTTTAAATAAAAATAACTGGCCTTCGAATACTTACAATTTATTTGAATTTCGAATTGCGCGCCAATCCACAGACAATTAAATCTGAAAATGCTGGTGTTAAAAATCATACATCTGTGTTTAGAATACACAGTACAAACTATGCTCAGTTTGGCATAGTGATGTGTAATAAATACACTCGAGATTATCATTATTAGTAATTAGTTTTTTTCCGAAAATTATTTCTCTCTAGTGTCATTTTACAATATAAAACCCTATTATGATAATAATATATATGAAAACAGTTTCCAAAATCAGTTTAGTTATTAAGATATGTGTAAGCACTCACTAGTGTGGTGTGTGGTGTGGGGCTCGGTGGGCCCCAGCGGCTCGTCCTGCAGGCTGGCCGAGTCCGTGTTGGTGTCCGTGTTGTCGGCGTCCAGCACGTTGAGCTCGAGCTCGGAGGCGGCGCGCGGCTGGCTGTCGATGACGGCTCCGCGCGCCGGCCCGCCCTCGTGGCTCACCGTCATCAAGATCTCCGCCGAGTCTACGACATGCCATCAGCGTTCTTACTTATTGTAAGTAAATCATATTAAGAGAAAAAAAAGTACTAAGCTTCACCATATATTTTAAATAATCATATGTGTACATTCTAAAACGTGCAAAATGGTTCAGTACCTAATCGATTTTAATAATTTTTATATCATAAGAAAATTACCAAAATATAATCATTCCGAATTATTTTATTTGAGTAATCAATATACATAAAAAATCAGAATCGGTACATCCGTTTAAGAGCTACGATCCACAGTCAGGATCCTCCTTTCAGCAGTGTGTACTGGCAGTATCTGTGATTATTACCGTGAGGCAGTGGCTCTGCCGGTCTGTTGACGAACTCCCATCCAGCTTCGTCGACGTCTTCGATCTCGAAGCAGTCCTCGGTGTCGACGCGCGCGGTCTCGTCCGACGAGCTGCGCGACAAGGACGCGCTCGAGTCCGGTACGTACACGCGGATGTCTGTCTCGCCACCTTACACGTCACCAGACACATAAAAGCAAGATTGCAAACGTTCCACAGTGCAGTTGGTCCGATTATATTTCCTTTTACGTATATATGGAAATTTTATTGAGAAATAATTGCCACGGATACAAAAAAAAACAAAATTTTTAATAAGTAATTCTTCGTTGAATGAATTTCGTTTATTTCTGCATTATTGTATGTTAGTTCAAATTTTTGTTAAAAAATTACAGTGGCCTTTCATATGCCTCAAGTTCTTTTTTTCGACTTCGGCAACAAAATAATCCGCCTTACTAGCGTCACCTGTTATGAAATAGTGAAACTAAATCAATGCTCCAAAAAAGTTTGAACACTAGAATACGAGTTCTAGAAGTTTCCAAATTGGGTTTCGGGACTGTCGGGTTATACTTATTTTTTTCTGACTCAAGCAAGACTATGAGCGGACACAAAGCCGAAAACCCTTCATAAAGCAGCCCATAATTAGCCTCTAGCAAAATAGGACAAATCATTTCAAAATAGGACATACATTTTCTTTTGTTTTTATTTTACTTTGCTAAAGCACATACACCCAGTAGATCAAATGAATAAAACGTTATTGGTATTAGGTATACCTGGTCTGGTGGTGAATCTGTCAGGGTTAGGCCGAGGCGGTGTTGTTGTAGGAGGGACATTGTTTGGGGGCGGCGCTGACGCGTGGGCATGTGCCGAGTTAAAACAGCTGCCTGGAACACATATGAACGACATTCAACAAGACATAGAAATATAAAAACCACACATCAAAATTTTTCGGCGAAGAATGCGACGCCATCGCAATGCAAAATGTACGTACATTCCAGAACTTCCCTTAATATTCTAGAAGTTTCCGGAGACGTGGTAAATCAGTTGGATTGTTACGAAATTTTTCGCGCTCTTAACAACAGTATGATAAAGCTTACTAGAAAATCCACGTGTCGGTGGAGGTGGGGCCTGCTGTGCTTGAGGACCATTTCGCAAGTCGAAAGCAGATGTGATTAGGTCGTTGATGTTATTGGTGAAACCCTTCAAGGAGCTGAAGGGGCTGGCACCAGCGCGCTGACCCCGACGCCGGTATGACGTACTGTTCACGTGCGATTCGCACAATCTCACCAATTCCTCCTTTTCTGAAAACCAAATCAATATTTCTTGATATATGGAAAACCAAAGAAAATAATAATAGATAATTAAAAAATATATTTTTAAACAGACAGGGTGTGAGTGAGGCTCGAATTGACTACCTAGACCACAATTTTTACATTAAACTCAACATCCTTATTGCATGTATTCCACAAGACTTCTCTAATACACATGATGCAATACAGTGAACTCGCAATTGTTGAGATAAACCAACCATCCTTTCCATTGTAGAAATAATTTTTAAAATCGGTTTAGTTGTTTAGGGATGAAAGTGTAACAAACAAACAAACTCACTTCCACAGTTATAATATAAGTATCGATATGAAAGACAGCTTCACTAAACTTAAGTGGTCAATAAGGCATACATTTTAAAATTTGCCCTAAAGCCAATTACAAGTCTGAAGCCTTTGATAATTTGGATTTATATTTACAATTTATTTTGCAATTTAAACAAAAGTTAAAAGACAAAATGAATTAAAAGATGATCTCGAATCAAACATCTAAAAAAAGAACTAGAAGAACAAGAAACACCATTAAAGAAAAACTTCTAGAAAAAAGAACAAGGAAGGAATTAATATTATGCACTTTTATGTTTTGTGACATTTCTGCTTGCACACAGAAAATAACTATTCTGCCTATAATAAGTAATGAAGTAAATCGATTCAGTGGATAATTAAAATAAATTTTGGCTAAAAGCAGTGTATCATTTATAATAGTATTAAAAGTATTAAATAGTCAGCTATTTCACATTAGTTATAATGAAGTAACATATATTTCTAGAAAACGGTAGATAATTATTATACTGATATAGACTCCTGTTGACATAAGTACTTAAATATATTAAAACCCTTACATGATTGTATTTAATAATAAGTAAGTAATTGCATACATTACACTGCATAATAAACATTATTGTTACTTATTTACATACTTTGTGTACCCTTCTATTACGATTATCTGTTTCACCATTGTTTTGATTACTTTACTAGATAGTTTTTTTTCAATACTCAATACTTTATTGCTTCCATGAAGCTGAAGCTAGCCAACGGAGGTAGCCGACGGATATAGCCTGCGTAGTATATGGCATGCCCCTCAAATTGTTTTTTTTTTTAATCAACAAAGAGAGCAAACAGTCATTTTCCTGCATCAAATTAATATACAATGAACCAGGGCCTTTTAAGATTAAAAATATATATTTAAATAATCATATTAAGTAAATGAATAAACGCTGTTTATTAGCAAAAACTCGAGTTTTTCAATGGTAAATTTATCCTAACTTTTTTCACAAAAATAGGATTGCTTTCAAATTTTGTATAGTTAATCCCTAAGTATCATACAATAATAGCAAATTAATTTACGTTGGCAGAAAAGTTATAATTGTTATTATTAAATGAACAATATTAAATGAAAAATTCTTTTTTTATTCAGTTTTTATTTTAATTAATAATTAACTGATCAAATAGATCAGTTAATTATTATTGTTTTAGTAGTCGTAAATATATTATTAAGAAAGGAAAGAAAAGAGGACAGTATAACTTTATTTCATCCATGTGAAAAATTTATTTATCTGATTAATCCCTATCCTAATCTGATTATAATAATTATAGAATTTATCATTTTAAAGTATATTATCTATCTAATTTAGTAACCAACGTTTTAAACTTAGTCACGTTTTTAATGTAATTTATTGTAAACTTTTAGGGTGCTTCTACTCGGTGCAAGTAGTAGGAGCAAGTTACTTGCTCGTAACTTGTATATGATTCTCGCACATGTTACATGTATGGGTCTTTGAACAGCTCAGTACCAGGTTGCTGGTACACGGTGTAGTAGCTGGAGTAAGTAATAGCGTTAAAATGCCTCAACGAACGAGAATTCTCATGAAAACATTTGTTAAAAATCTTATTCAACTAGAGTTAATAAATTTAGTGTGTGTTGCAAATCGCACGAATACTGGAGTTACTGGACTTGCTTAGTCCTTTTTGCAGAGCATATAACCTGCGCAAGTGCAACCTACTTGCATTGTAGAATTTTGCATGTGTTTATAGACTTATAGACATGACCAAAATACCAGGAGAATGCATTATTAGTCTAGAAGGAAGGTATCATCTGTTCTTTTGTCTTAAGGAAAAGTTTTTTTTTTTTGTCTTCCCATTTACAATACAGTTTTGGGTATTTTTAGATGAATTCATTTATTTCTAATACAAGTATTTACTGGGTAATGTTAGGATGCCTAGTTTTTGGAAATGAGGTTTACATGTATCGGTTTCTCCTATATTAACTAAAATTCTTATTCACTTTTTCGTAGGGCAAATATGGTAGATGTGTCAGTGTACCATTCTTTACCCCACAATATCACTTCATAAGGTAGCCATGAAGAGACGTAGGCGTAGTAGGTGACTAGTGCTATAGCTTACTATGTAGATTTTTTGATTTCTTGCAAGGTGTAAGTGATTTTGACTTTTTTTATATGTTATTTCCAATTGATGTTTGAGTCTATAGTAAAAAGGTACCTCATAATGTGAAGTTTATTACTTTTATTCTGTTTAATATTTATCTCTGAATTACTAATGGTGCAATAAGATGTACACAAAGAATCATTAAAACTCTTTTTATGTTGACTGATGGCACTTGGTAGATCTTGCTACACATATTGAATTAAGTCCCTTATACTGTTCCACAATATTCATTTACTAACCCTGACCAGTTTCGCCTCAAGGCATTTTCAAAATGTTATTATATATAAAACAACAAATTGACTAAATCTCAGGAATCAGTCTTTTATAGTTGAAATATACAACATTCTGGAATGTATCATTTTCTCGGACAAGCATAATCCAATGCAAGACATAATTTAAACTATTATTGGGTATTTCTAATAAGAATGTTACTAAATATTTAGAAACAACAAACATGTTCAAAGGCTGTCTGGCTATAGTTATGTCATAATGATATGCAATAACAAATCAGCCTTTAACATAACTAGTTTTGGCAGAACGACTAATAAAATATTGTTTTGGCAAAGTCTTAGGGAGACTCCACAAAAAAGAGAATATAATTTCAGTCAACTAAGAGGATAAACCTACCAACACATCCTCTTGTGGAGACGTTCTGTCGCTGCAGGAAGCACTGTAAGTCGCGCACTTTTAGGCTGGCGATGGTGTCTCGCGTAGGGCGGGTGGACAAGATTCGACAAGGGGCACACATGCCGCCGCCGCGCCGGAGGCAGCCACTGCAGTAGTAGCGGTCACACTCACAACACGCGCGCTTCCTCTTAAAGACGCTGAACTGCACAGCGCAGCTCTCGCACGGCATCGTACTTCCTCCTATCCTTCCACACCATCCGGCTGCGTTACACACACATTACACGATTGTGGATATAAAAAAGATTAAAAGACGAGGAACATTAGATACATGTTTTTGTTTAATGTATTTATCTAAAAAATCAAAACATATGAATGACACACCTGCCATCATGAAATTGGTGTTCCGAACTGCGCTACATTGCACACACTGTGTCAAATCGTCACGCGATAAAAAATTCCTACTAATAAAAATATAAAAATTAAGAGTATTGATGAAAAAATAAAATATTATGAAGAGATAAAATACATACTACTAAATACTATTTTAGCATAATAACTATTTAAAGGCTAGGAAAGCAAAATTAATTTTTTTTTATCAGTCTTGCGTGTAATGAACTTTTCTCTTCTACTTTCTTAGGCAGTGCACGCACGGGTGACTTATGTCACGTTTTGTCATTGTCACGTCACGTCTCTCAAGTGGAGGCGCAAGAAGTGATAGTGACAAAACTTTTTTGACATTTTTAAGTGTCATCTGGAGATATGGATTTTGAAGACACGGTCGTTGTCTGCGAATTGCTTAGAATCAGGAGAAAAAGCGAAATGAATATTGGGTACATCCTCTTTGGACCGACAAGCTACTGAGCGGAAAGTTCTACACTATGTTTAATAAACTTCGGGCACATCCTAAGATTTTTTTCAATATTTCTGAATGAGTGTTGAAAGTTTCGATGAATTGTCTTGAGCTGGGTCTAGAAGCTTGAAACTGTGCACAAGTGACGTAAAAAAAAATCTTTTAAATTCTACCCCTAAGTGTGCAAAATGGGGGTTGAAAATTTAAATGAAACTTCGTAGTAGCGTTTTCAAAGTTACAGTAAATACTCTATGAAAAGTTATAAAAAACGTTGTAAATAATTTTTAAAAACTACCCTTAAAAGGGGTGCCCGTTTGTATTGGGAATTATTTGTTTTTAAACTTATCAATTTAACTCTCAGTATAATTATATTCTTCATAATGCGGGAGCTGTCTTTTTACAAAAAAATAAATGAATTATAAATTTGATTTGATTTCATATTATAATAAAAATGCTTGCTATATATCTATGTATAGTTATATGATAATTGATAAGGATATAAAGTATCAACACCGCTGTTGTATTTCAGGTTTATATGCATACTTTACACTATACAATTCACTCTTAATTATAAGTAGGTACGACCTACCACTTTGACCGTCCCAACTCGAATGCCCCGCTCCATTCATTCCATTTTTTCTCTCCCTTTCAATCCCCACTATTGCCATCCACTTCCCCTGTGAATGATGCCATGTTAAAAATATTACTTTCAAGTAGACTATAATCGATTAATCAGGGAAGTCGATAACTCAAGTGACGGCATTGGCTGTGTAAACATTTAAATACTAACATAATATTTTAAAGAGACACATTTTATATTAAGAAATGATTACCTAACCTTACAATATGAACATTACAATAAGTAAGGAAGAAGCCACACGATGCGGCGCCGCTGCGTTATACATACAAATGTCCATGGTATACTACACACCGCACGCATACAGTTCCAAGATGAGGGGGGAGGGTGTATGCGTCGGAGCGTCCCCGGTTATACTCCGACGTCGCAGACAGAAGATGTTGTAAAATTTAGGTTCTTGCTTGCATCGAGTATTTTTTACGGAATTTAATATCAATCTAAACTTGTAAAATTATGAGTACTAACGAGGACGATAATATATATATGGACTATCTCATATCTACCAAACAGCGGTGCACTGCGGTGCTGCACCATCCGTGTTGCACCTTGTATTTTAAATGCATTACGGTGCGTCGCAGCACCGCATCTGTATCGCATTGTGCCGATATAAACAAGCCGATAGCCCCTGTACGGTCGCCTAACTGTGCCCTACCCTAACGGCGCTACTGATTTGGCACATAGATAGTTTATGGTCTATAGCGCAAAAATAGCGCAGAGGCTATTATTTAAAATTAACATTTACGAAGGCGAAGCCGTGGGCAAAAGCAAAAAGCCGTGGGCAAAGGCAAAATGATAACGACATTTCATCTAATTCAATAATATATGTTAGTGGCTAAGTTTATAAGTAAGTTATGTAGCTACTTGTACTTATTTCAATAAAACATTATTTTTTTATAATAATAATTATTATTAAAGTTTATAATAATAATAACATCGCATGCTTACTGCTTACAAAACCCGTCCTTTCATCACTGCGGCGCATACGTATGACTACATTCGTGCCGACCGTTTGTGTGAAGATAGAATACTGGCAGGTAAGATAACATTAACTTGGAAGTGCTCAAGGAGAGAAAGATTAATAATTTTAGGTAGTAGGATGATGTGGGCTCTAATGTAACAGAGAGGTTAAGGTTCCGGAGCCGAGAGAGTAGTCAATAATGTGGGCTAAGACTACGATTAAGGTGCAGAAAAAATGATTTATATAAATAAGACGAATTAATTAAAAATAATTAACTGTTGTGTTTTTTCGTTTCTGATCTTGACTTGTTGATTTTTGGGATTAGTATTGCGCAATAACAAAGGCAATTTATTTTTAATATACTTATGGAGACTTTATGTAACTGTTCTCCACACTGAGAGAGTGACAATTTTGCCACGGACTTGTTGGCAGAAAAAAGCCACCAAGATGTCACGTCGCTATGTGCGCGCAAATAAACTCAAAAAAAAGTCACGGTGACAAAAGTCACTCGTGCGCGCACTGCCTTAGCAATGATCAATCATGCAAGCTATAGCAGGTACTTATCATAGATAAATTATAAACTTTATATGAAAACCCTCGAACGTTATCTGATAATATATGAATTAGATTACTGAAAAAACATTATTAGCGATTAAAGTAAAAACCGTAATGATCATAGTCTGATAATTGTATGACTTTTTATTGTGTTACAAGACAGCAAATTGGCCTATCTGATAAAATTAAGCTAGTCTTCTGTAGATGATAGTCTTCAGTCGAGTGCTACTAATTCGAGTAAAAATTTTAGAAGTTTTTTGCTGATCCTTACTATTCTATCCAGTTAACCACGCTTTTTTCTTTTCTGTGCGGAAATTCGTTATGTCGGACTCGAACCGACTGAAAACCACACGCCATCTACGGCTTGTAGATGACCCCCCAGTGTGTGGAAACCACGGTGTTCCCCATTCTACTCCCTAGGCAGCTGCGTCAGGCGGTATGAGAGGGTCCCATGATGTCTCTCGAGCCAATCCTCCATCGAGTTAAACACAACTATATAAGTAATTAATGGAATGTTTGTAAAAACTATACCATTAATACGTGTAACTATCAGAGTGGTAATTATTGGTTGGAATGAATCATTATACTTGATAAGTTGAGGAAGATTTTTTACAATATATCCGCTAAAGGCGTACACATAGTACTCAGTAGTAATTTCCACTAGTACGGTGGCCACTGGACTAAAATTACACGATTGATTGTTCAAGAACTTAAGTGCACAGTAAAAAATAATAGTTTTAAAAAACTAAAAAACACGCTTTTTATAGAAAACCAAACTAAAAAATAGGAAATATTTTTGATTAAATTTGTAAAAAAGGGTTGGGTGCCTATTGTCAATTTATTAAAATTAATAATTTATTAAAATTTACTTTTTTTTTTTTAATTGGTGTATTGTCATCGGTCTTCGATATATCTACAAAGTTTGAACGAATTCTGACCGTAAGGTCAGTCAAAACCACACCCAAAGGAGTCGGTTACAAACAAACATACAACCATACAAGTGAAGCTAATATAAAGCGTGTAAATAAACAATGAATAAGTAAGGGTGACTTACAATAACAGTCCATTGGATGTTAAAAAGTGTTATTTTATGTCACTGTGTAGAATAGACTTCAATTTAATGGAATATCGTATATTTTCTCACGCCTCATGTCACGTCTATCTACAATAGGGTATGTACTATAGTGTTCTCTTTGGCACGGCGTCACAATACTTATTGAAGTGCCTATGCTGCATACTTGAATGAAACAATCATTATTTTATATCATACATGTTATTATCTCTACTTATTACTACATTATTTTAATGAAAATATTTATGTTTATGATATTTAGGAAGAGAATATTCCAGAATACTAAGCATTGTATAAATAATATCTTGAATAGGAATATACTTTGTTAGTAACATTTTATAAGGGCGGATCCAGAGAGGGCCATTAGGGAAAGGTCGGGACCCGCCTGGGCTGAGTTTAGCTCATACGATTTAAAGTAGGGAATCGAAGCTTGCCGTGAATCCTGACCACACCAAATTGACCCTCCTTCTTTTTTATTTACTCTTCTCGGATGCCACCCATCAGTGGAGTGGTTATGTCGGACTCGCACCAGTAGCCGAGGAACTAGATATAACCTAGAAAGGAAAGCCCTGGTAACCCGAAGTACCTCGGGCTTGTAGATGACCCCTATTGTGTGAGAACCCCATTGTTCCCTTCCAGACGTAGGAGCGCCCACAAAATGACTCCCCAAGTAGGTACTTAAATTCTAACGAATAAATAAAACGTACATTGAATTACTATACGAATTTGTGGCAAATAGATTTTGTGATCCATATGTCATGTGAATAACCATTATTTCTGTAACATTTCTATTCTGCATTTCGTTTGTCTTCGATATACGACACGATAGTGTAAAGTTACATACTACCTACCTTTCTTTGAATAACATAAGTGAATGCAATTCTAAGTACTGAGATTATTCTATTGTACTGTTTTGATAAACAGGTTCAGTTCTGCTACATTTCAAAAGGTTGTGTTATGCGTGTCTACAGTACGTGGGTGTTGATTTAATTCTATATTTGTACTTAACATTTCCTTCTTGTTAGGTAGTTTGGCATTAATCCTTAATTGTTGTATTAATGACGTTTTATTGCTGTATAAATCAGTTAAGTATCGATAGCATGTCTAACGAGGAAACGGATTAGAATTGAAGTTTGTTCGTTTAAAAGGCTAAGAATTCCCGGCTTATGCTACCCTGAACTATTCCAGTTATTGCCACCATATAGCAATATGGTGTGATGACGGATTAAGAATACGGAATGTCATCACCCGTATTCATCCCGTGGGTGTCGTAAGAGCCGACTAAGGACAAACTACGCAGGACAACAGCACTGCAAAGA